TGGAAGGAAATTTGGGAATAATCAAAATCCAGTGAAAGTCACCCATGAAATAAAAATAATTGTATGGAAAGTAACGACTTGCATACATACATGGATCTGCTTGTAAACACTGGGTTCTGTAAACATCCACCTACAACCTGAAATGTATTTTGGCTTTAAATAACACACAAAGGGCTGATGAGCTATAAAAAAAAAAAATCAATCATGTATGTAGGCAGTAATTTAATGACAGATCTAAAACAAATTTTTGCAAAATAAAAAAAATAATTAAAATAATTTTATTTATGATCAAATAATTGCCAGAAAGTTCAAGAAAATCTTAAACCAATATCCGATTTTTTTTTATGGTTTTAAAAAATTAACTTTTTTTTTTCTTTTTTTTTTTTTCCTCCCAAGAAATTAGTTGTGCCATTTTTACCTAAATTCAATTTTTGTGGCCATTAATATTTTTAAAAGTTTAACCTAAATTCACTTTGTCATCAGTGATAAACTGGACATTTACTTTGTAGTCATAGCTATGCTGTCAGGTTCCAGCTGCCAATAAATCAATATGAATAGACTAATAGTGATATATGATAGATAGGATTAGAATGAAGTAATTATCACTAAGATATCCGACTTCTCTCATAGTAGGTAATGGAAAGAAAAATTATTTATTTTATCTCACAACCATGCACACATGTAAGCAGAGAGACGATTTGACAGACATAAAGCTTTTTTCTTTTTTCTTCTCCAATTTTGAAGTTATTGCTCAGTACAGGGCCAGCGTTGTTCAGACTAAAAGGCTAGGAAAATATTATTCCATTGTTTCATTTTAAACTTAGTCAAATTGTGTGTACATTAAATGCCACAAGCACATGTCAGTCACTTATGCACAATAGACATATGCCTGTACATATGTGCACACAGTCGCACTGCAGACTGTATGTAATCAACAGAGAATCAGTTCTTCTTACAATTTGACCATAAAAATTCAAATAATTCCAGGCATGTTAATTCTAATTAAAACAAATCTCTACATGTTGCACTTTCTTTTTCTAATATTTTTTTTTTTTTAAGATGGTGATTCTTGTTCAATAAAAGAGGACATTACTGGAGATAACACTATTCAAAGCTCCCAAGATTCCTTCTATCTGAATGATGATTCTACGTCAAGCATGGAGATTGACATGAGCATGATAGAAAAAGTAAGTAATTTGTTGGTTTTTGTTCAAATGTTTAAGTAAATTACAAATGTAGAATTGATACATTTAATAAAAAAATTTACCATATGATTTTGTTTGACACAGTTTCATTTTTGTAGAATTCTACATCTATATAATAAATGCCAATGTCAGTGTGTAACACTTTTTCAATTAAAGGAACACAACTCTCAATCGCTCATTTTCTATATAATAAATGCCAATGTCAGTGACACAACTTTAATTTTCAATAGCTCATGTTACAGAAATTTTGGATTCCCAAGTTTTCCTTACTGTGATTGTTTTCTGCTTATTTTATTTTTTTACTTTTTTGTTTCATGATTTTTTTGTGACAAACGTTTTTGTACAATAACAACTTTTATAACTTGAAAATTAATTTGAGAATAATTGAAATTAATTGCGAAAATCACCCATGAAAAAAAAATAATTGTTTGTACAGAAAGTAAGGACTTACGTGCATTAAATTGTCTTTAAATTAAGTGTAAGCTTAAATATTAATGCAGTACTTAAAAGCAGCAATCAATTTGAGTTCTGTATTTTATTGTTGCCTATCGCATATGTCAGCAGCTTGCCTCACAAAATGAAATCTCTGCCAACAGAGGACCAGGTTGCAATCAAAAGAGCCAAGACTGCAGTGAGGAAAAGAATGTCCCATGCAAATGAGAACCCAGATCAAATGGCAGTCAAGAGAGCTTCCCTTGCTGAGAATATGCAAAGACTTAGGGACTCTCATACTCCTGAACAAGCCAAAGGCCCAATCAAGAGCCCTCTGCAGCAGCTTGTTTAAATGCTGCCTGATAGGGTGGCTTTTAAGCTAGTTTTTTTAATATTTTCTTTCTTTTATTGTTATGTCAGTGTTAAGACACAATTAATTTTTTCATTAATTGTCACTTTTAAATGAAAAATACAGTGATACCTCAGCTTAAGTCATTTCAAGTTGTCATTTTCGAAGATATGTCGGTTTTTCTTAAATATTATATGGAAAAATAAAACTCATGTTAGGTCATTTTACTTGAGTTTACATTGGCCATTAAAAATATTAGAAAGAGTAAAACATTAAAATAGCAATAAGCACATATAAAATCATATTTAAATAAATTTATATATATATATATATATATATATATATATATATAATGAAATCATCAAAAAGAAAAGTTAGTATATTTAGCAGATGTTCTTATTTCAAGTTCCTGCCAACAAGTGACACTTGTGCATTATTTTATGCTCCAACATTGATTTTGAATTCAGACTTGTTTACATCTGTGCTCTACCATTGAAGTTTTTTCAGTTGTAATTTAAAATACATTCTTGCCCATGCCTCCGAAGAAAAGTCCCAGTGCTAATGCTAAGCGTGAAGCTATATCGCTGGGAGATAGGTGGAAATTAATTTTTTTTTTATTCAGCATATTGTTTGTACATATCATAAATATGGTAATAGGCAATGGGGAATCCTTATTTGTGGTTTATAGTGTGGTTATATTGACTAAGGTCAAAAACGATTTAAGTCGTGACCTGGAACCAATTAACAACATAGGGTGATGTATACCTGTATCTAATTGTTGGTTTTAGTGTATTTCTATCAGGTCTTCAAATATTGCTTAGAATTTAAAACAAAAAAAAAATTGAGCCTGTTTTTAAAACTGAGGTTTTTGTAACAAACAGATAAACACAAATAATATTCTTGAATTATAAAATAACCAATTAATACTTCACAAATTCTCTTAAAATGTTGCTTTTAAAATTTCAGACGTCTCAACAGCAGTTATCCTCTCTTGCTCCTGGTTCGATGTGTGGTAAAGCGGCATCAAAATTGCAGTCGGTTGATGCTCTTATGCCCAAAATTGGCAAGCTGCATCCAGTTGGGCGAAAGAAAATAGGTGCAGGAAGGCCAAAAGTAGGCATACTTTTGTTTGTTAACAAAAGCTTTGTGTTTTGTTTTTTGTGAATGTTTTTATTGTTTATACACAACATTTTTTGCAATCATTTGAATAAATATATGGTTGTAGCAGTGTACTGAGCTGATCATTGAGAGAAGTTGTGGCAAATAGGCAAGGAAAACTTTGGAGTAAAAGTATCAGCAAGGACCTGAACAAATTTAAGTTGAAAGAAAACATGGCTTTAAATAGAATAGTCTGAAGAGGTGCATTGAAGTGGGCTTCTAAAACATTCAGACCTTGTATAAAGGAAAGATGATATACTGAATAGTGATATTTCAGAATAGAATAATTTCCAGGGAATTCATTTTTAAAAAAGTATTTTGTAAAAAAAATTTTTTGTGCTCAAAGATCCTTAAAAAAAAAAAAAAAGGTATAGTGATAGTAAAGGGATTAACACACACACACACACACACAATATATATATATATATATATATATGGGAGTATTTATAATTATAATAAGTGAGATAATATCATATATAATGCCATCTAATTGAAATTTCGCCATAATAACCACTATTAACAAAATAAGATTAATTCATTTCACATTTAAAGCCAAAAGGAAAATACTTTAATGTATAATATTTTGTATATCTATAACATTGTTGTCTTTTAAAACAAAAATTAGAACTCTTCTAATATATTAGAAATTAAATTGAAAATTTTATTTTTGATAACAACTGTCTTGTCTTTATAGGGACGTCCTATTGCTGCTGAAAGGCGTCGTCAGCGTCCAACACATTTGGGTGATCGAAGAAGAGGTCCTAGAGCAAAAGTGAAAACTGGTCAAAATGCTGGGAGTCAGGTAGGTTATTAAACTTCACCTTATAACCTAATCTCAAATTCAACAAAATAAAACATTATCCTGTTATTTTTTCTCCCACTCCCTTTATGTATGCATCAAGTGTGGGACACTGGATAAACCATTTGTTGCATAGTTGTGAAAGAATAATATTTGATAAATTAAAGGACATCCATATATTCTAGATTGCCCTGACTAATGATTATAAGCTTTATATTTCAATTTTTTGAAGACCTTGTTCATATGAAGATATGCATCTTGTTTTATAGGGTTTTGAGTTTTACATATTAGATCTTAATGATTATGAGATTTAAAAAGAAACAACTTAGATGACGTTTTTATTTATTTATTTTTTCTTTTTCCCCAGTCACTTTATCCTACTGCTGTGGACAATGGTGAAGTTGATGATCATCCATCAACAATAGTTATAGCCAATTCTAAAGATGAATTTGTTTTAGAACAGGTAAGTTCAATTTAAATTTGATTACTGTTGTTGATTCAAAAATAATTATTTTTGCTATGAAAGATTTTTGATACTTTGAGGAAATTGTTTTTTTTTTTTTTTTTTTTTAATTTCTTTAAAAAAAATTTGCTTTTTTTTATTTTCGTTTTTCTTTATTTTCGTAACTATAAAACTAAATAGTATTTTTAAAAATTCTCACTGAATAGGATATTGACTTAAAAAAAAATTTTAATTAATTTTCAATTGTTTTAAATTTTATGCTTTTTGTGTGGGTGGCTATAAATTAATCACAGATTTGAAAATTTTTTTTTTTTTTTTTTTTTTAAGGATATCTGCAAAAGTTGTGGGAGTTTTGGTATTGGAGAAGAGAGCCGTGTGATCATATGTTCTCAATGTGGGCAATGTTACCATCCATATTGTGTGAATATAAAGGTAAGTAAAACAAGCTGGAATTCTATTCACTTTTATAAAATATATTCAGATTTTGTGTATTATTCTTGTTTTATATTTAATTGCATCTTAGCAAATATTTTATATTGCTTATTAATATATTCAGAGTAATTATCAGCTTTACATGTAAAGTTTATTATCCTGTATTAATTTCAGGTTACTAAGGTGGTTCTTCAGAAGGGTTGGCGATGTTTGGATTGTACAGTGTGTGAGGGCTGTGGCAAACCTCATGATGAAGGCCGGTTGTTATTATGTGATGAATGTGATATCAGCTATCATATATACTGTCTTGACCCACCACTAGATCAGGTACCCAAAGGACCATGGAAGTGCAAATGGTAAGCTAAAATGACATTTCATTGTTGAATTTTTAATGCAAGAAATTTGTCGAGAAGGATTTCTTGAGAAATCTCTCATTAACATGATCATGTCAATGTAATGTTTTATTTTTTTTTTTCATTTTAGGTGTGTATGGTGTATCAACTGTGGTGCTACAACTCCTGGTTTTTTGTCTCAATGGCAGAACAACTATACTCTGTGCGGACCTTGTTCCAGCAGAACTGTATGTTGTACATGCAAGAAGGCTTATAAGGAGGAAGAATTGGTCATTCAATGTGTTCAGTGTGATAGGTAAATTTTCTCCTCTACTTTTTTTTCTAGTAAAATAAAACTATATTTTCTTTGCATAATTTCTATAATTTCTGATCTGTCTTCTGTATACATCTGCTTTCTCGGATCAATGGTTAAAAATGGCTTTGTGTGAGTGAAGCATGTAGAACTGAATGAAGACCATTCTTCTTTGAACTTCATAGACTGGAAACTACAGAATCGCAAAGAACTGCCAAATAACGGAACTTATACCATTTGAGTACTTTCAACAAAAGCATCAGCTAAAATGGATAGGATGTAATTCAAAGAGATAATTACATGATAAAGATGTTGATGTTTCACACTATGATAAACAAAAGGCTAAGGAAGGAAAGCTTCCATTGGTACTGCAAAGAGCAATACCAGCTATATTTGAGAAATCTGTTTTCTTGAATATTGTTTTAATAGAAAGATTTTATAAATTTCAACTAAAAGTAGCCCTGACTGTTCGGTTAATGAATGCTGAATGTTTCCTTATAATGAAATAGCTGATATTACCATTTTAATTTAAGGGATTTACTATATATTTTGATATAGATGTTTAATTATTTTAATTTTCTTGGTGTTGTATGTTTTGGGAAATAAGTGTTTCATTGATTGGTAAAAGCAGTTTTAAATGCTTTGTACTTTCATGTAAATATAACTGCTATAGTAATTACAAAATAAACTTGACAGCAAAAACTTTTTAAAGCTTATATGTACTGATCATTATTCTTTAAGTAAAGTTTAGAATTATGTAATTTTTGTTCATCAAATAATTTTTTTTTGCAGGTGGCTTCATGCCAGTTGTGATGGTCTGAAGAATGAAGAGGAGGCAGAACGGGCAGCTGATGCTGGCTATCACTGTCTATTTTGCCGCCCCAAGACTGGTCAACCAGGACCTTGTATGTAACATTTTATTAAAAAAAAAAAGTTTCATTTAAATGGCAAAAATTTTAGTGTTTATATTTTCTTAAGAGTAATTTAGCAATAAAAATTAATATTGACTTTGGATATAGTAGAGTTCAAATATTTTTTATTGTTGTAGAACAAGAGTTGGCAGCCATTGTTGTCTCTGCAGGTAAATTTGCATATGAACTCATTAATGCCAATCATCACATTTTTATGACGGTGCACATTAATGGGTTCTAGATAGAAACTTATACTAGGTTGGCCAGAAAGTCCTGACTCGTGTATGAAGCGGAAAGAAAACAAAAATCTTGATCTGGTGGAATCACCAAAGAGCACTGTATTTTGAGCTTGTTCCACATAGTCATGCTATCAATGCTAAACTAAAGGAAGAGTATCTTGTTTTGGTCAATTGAGGTCTGGTTTTGTTTCAGCCTGGCAATACTAGGCCACACGCAGCGACATTGACTAAGAAGTCTCATGCTATTCAGTGACTGGCTTATTATACTCACTGGCACACTTTCACCGCAACCAGTGATTCAACACTTTTGATGAAGTGAAGGAAGCTTGTTTACAGTTTATTGATTCAAAGCCAGTGTACTCGTATCTGGGACAGATTCGGATGTTGGCTGATCGCTGGTAGAAGATCATTGAGAATGATGGACTTTTTTTTTCTTGAAGAATAAATTTTTGTGTTGCTCCATAAAATCTTTTCTTACCAGTTCCTAGGTGAGTCAGGAATTTCTGGACAACTTAATAATTTATACTGGATATAAAAAATGTTTTAATCTTTTTAGATTTTTTATTAAACCTTAATAAGAGATTTTTATTTTAATTTTCATAACACTGAATTTTATAGTGGGCAATAATTGGTTAATGAGTTGATAGCGGTCTAAGGAAAGAACTTAATTTAGTTGTAATTTATTTCTATCAATGTCTTTTGAAAACAAAGAATATCTAAATCAAACAAAAGTATACTCATGATGCATGATTGGAAATTAAGACTTATTAAAAAAAAAAAAATTACTAAATTTTTAATGCAAACGATCAGTATATCAATGTATACACCAGTGTTTGGTTTGAAATCAAATGCAACCTAGGGCCAGTATGTTGAGATACAATGTTTGATCCATCAGTATAGTAATGTGAAACACTTGGAAGAAGGCAAAAATCATTTGTGGCCTGGAGAAGCATATCATCTCAGTGTGTTTGCTTGTTGGCTGGTCAGAATCCTTTCATTAGTCGTTTGTTGCCTACTTTGTAAAATGTTCTAGTTGCCTTTTAGTTAAGATTTCTGTTTTTAATTTCTGGCAAATAAATATTTTTTTTTTTTTTTTTTTTTTTAATGTTTTATTTTGATAGTACCTCCTACTCCGCCACCTCCTCCACCACCAGCACTTCCTCCACCACCCCCACCACCTGAACCTGAAGAAGAAAAAGTGAAATGTCCATCACCGATACCAGTACCCAAAGAAATTGAAGAAAAAAAAGTGGAACCAAAAAAGTGGCCACAACCTGTTCCTGGTATGAATTATCTATTTGTGTTTACATAATTATTTATCTGAAAAAAGATTTTTACTTGGTACAAATTATATTTTTGAAATATTTTGCATTGTGAAGTTTTATATCAAGAATTGATTGAATTTGTTAAAATGAATTTTAATTTTTTTTTCTTTATTACTCATAATTGCTTTCATGTAACTATCAAAGTGCTAAATATTATAAATACATAATCTGAAGTCAATATTGTGCTTTGTTGTGACCTTAAATTGGAACCATTCATTTGTCTTGATGATAGTTGAGTGTTTTTGCAAATGAGAATTGGTGTTTAGTTCAGATAAATTTTAGAAAGACGCATAAGGTTTTTGTTTTCAAAAATAAAATCCATTGTAAAATTAGCAACCAAAAATAACCTTGGAATGCATTTTGCAAAATGATTTTATTAGAAGTATGAACAAATGTTTCAAAATAAAAATGACACCAGAGCATAACTGGTTAATACTTTAATATCTTTTATAAATTATACTTTATTGTTGATATTTTGTATTTAGTATATGTTCTTTCACAATGTAGGTTGTGTAGGTATGCATGTAAGCTTGAATGCTAAGTTAATTTGGCTACATATAAATTTTCTATTATTTCAGAGCCTCCAAAGCAGTACATTTATGAGGGCGTGACCTTATCAGCCTCTGGTTTGCAGCACATTCAAAACCTTACTGCTAGCATGATGATGAAGAAAAAACAGCGAGCACGGCAAAGAAAAACTGATCCTCAAATAAAGCATCCTAGTGTTGCTCAGTTGTTGGCTCTTGGTCAAAAAGCGGAAAATCAAACTCTGAATGAAGAATGTGAAAAAGGTGAGATTTGTTTCCTACCCAAACCCATCCCTACATGCTACGTACTCTCAAGAATCTCCTGTAATCACTTTGTCTCATACAAAATTGTTTCAGTTAAATAGTATTTAATCTATGACTTGTCTGTGTGTGCTTTGCCGACTTAAGAAAACGTACTTTGTGGATTAAGCTGGAGCAAAACAATAAGATTTCTTCAAGAGATAATTTCATTTTTCGAGAGGATTTTTCATCTTTTTACAGTCCTGATTCTCACCTTAGTTTCGTGTGACTTCCGCCTAGGTACACTGATTACTAATGTTCTTAGTCGTGAATTGTGTTAGGGTAGTTTTAAGGAAAATGGGCATGTAATTAACCTACTTTGCTACTGTTCATTTTCCTAGATATGGATATTTCTGCTGATAACAAACCTTCTGAATCTGAGGGAGAATCTGGCCTTACATCAACCCAGTCCCGTGCTTCATCTCAGCTGGAGGAGATGAAATTGGAGGAAGGAACAGGAGAAGAATTGACCAAGAAGAGACGACAAAGAAAACAACTGGGTCTTGGTATGTTTACATAGTTGAAGAAATACCCCCCCAAGAAACCTTTGCTCCATTAGAACTGTAATATAAATATATCCCTCATTAATCTCCATATTCATATTTTTTTAATTCTTTGTTAGTAATGCGCTTTTGGTTTAGGAGTTATTTGCGTGTTCAGCTAACCTTTTAAGAATGATTGTGCAACTTTGGTTGTCAACTTTAATTTTATGTAAGATAATGCGTGTAGAATTCTGCTGTGGTAGTATATAATTCTAATAATATAAGTTGTATGCACTAATCACTTGTATGCACATGCGCACACACAGGTCATTTTAAAAAAAAAAGATACTATATTTTATTCTTCAAGCCTATAAAACTTAAGAGGCTTTTCTTTGTAAAACTGATTCTTTATTATATTTGTGTTTGTATCACTTATTTTTACTTTTGATTCATTATCTTTTATTTTGTAATGCCATATTTTATTGCCATAGTTAATGTGTTGTGTATTAAAGTAAACATTTAACATCTAAATTACTTTTTGTATGTAGCGCCTCGTGTAAATTGCATTGGCAATATTTAATTGTCATTTAATATTTTTTCTGAAAATTTAACTGCAGTAAATTTTTTGAAACTTAGTAATTTGTTGTTTTGTAGTAAGATGCTTATGTCTCTTATATGCTAAAAGCTTCTTTGAATCCCTTTTTGTTACAATTTCTGATTACTAATTAGTCCTGAAGTAAAATCCAGGATTATAAACAAATATTAAAATTACTGAAAAAATTGTAAGTTTGTAAAATTTATAAAAAATAAATTGAGTATATATCAATTTTTAGGTGTTGGTGGATTTATTGTTCGACAACGGAATGTACGACCAGCAGCCTCTCGTCAGTCTCCATCACGACAGGCTGAGATTGTTACTGATGATATAGCATTAAAATCAGAATGTGCAAATGCAGGTTTGTCAGTTTATCAATTCATATTCATTGAATCCCAATTTTGAAAATCATTGTTTGAAAAATTTAGTTGTTTATTTGAAAGAATGTTTTTCATATTGTAATCAATTATAAAGCTTTATTTTTCTGAAGCTAAATGTAAGTTGTAACTTTCAGTTGAAGGTAATACCATGGAGGATGGACATGCTTCAATCCCTGATATTCCCGGCACAATACCAGAAAAAATCAAGAAACGCCGACGCCCCAAGCGCAAGAGTCAGCTTGAGGATAGTTTTCCTATGTACCTACAGGTATGCTTCCTTTTTTTTTTTTTTCCTCAATTATTAATTGAAAATATTAAATCATGTGCACAACATATATTTTTTTTTTTTGTTTTTTTTTGCCAAAGATATTTTCTTTCTCTCCTGCTCATGGCTTTTTAATTGAATAATATATTTGGATTATCAACCCCTCCACCTTAAAATGTATATAGGTTGGCAATTTAGTAATTTGAAATGATGACTGGAAATATTGGCTAGAAAAGAAAACTGGATTTCTGTGTTGTTATTCAAAGAGTTTTACATTATGTTCTCACAATAACTTTTTTCTCTTACAGGAAGCATTCTTTGGTAAAATTCTCCTAGATAAATGTAGAGATACTAAGGAAAAACTAGACTCTGACAACAGTGACCGTGATTCCCCTGTCTTTGCCCAAAAAGCTCCTGTGACTGATGTTAAAGAACCATGTGAAGAAACTCCTGTTGGATCATCTTCAGTGGCAGGAAATGCACCTACCTCTTCTGAACAATCAGGTGAAGAAATGCAGCCGATTGTTGGTAAGCAATAGTTTTAATTAATTTTACTTTTAGATCTTTGGTGTGCACACATCTCAAAATAACTTACAAAATTTTATCTTACACAATCATTTGAAGATGATTGAATTAAAAAAAAAAGTGAGCTGGTGTTGATAGAAATACGTTATTTTCTAATAGTATTTTATCTAATGTTATTACCCAATTATAAAATAATTTTCTTATCTCTATATAAAAATCAATTTATAGCTAATCTTCCAAATATTCAATCTATGACTTTTGTTACTGCAAGAAATTAGAATAACTGCAGTCCTAAGACAAAACATTTGTCAAGAGTTATCTGGCTGTATTATTGGATGGAACAAATTGCATTGGTTATATTTTCCAAAATAAGTAATTTACAATTTTTATTGATACAATAAACTCTATTTTCATGTTATTTTAAAATCTAAAAGAATTTTACTTTTTAAATTAAAAGTACAACCATCCAAAGAAAGCTTGCACAAAAATAAATAAAAGCCAATATATTAGCGGCTGGATCTCTCCTACTTATTAATGAGATATTTCCTTGTTATCATATATATTCAATGCTTCTTGTTGCCATAATAACTCACTGCTAAAAAGCGGGTAGTTCAGGTTGCATGACTGATAGTCACATTATTTTTTATAAGATAGATTAAGATCTAAGCTTGAGATAATCTGTGAATGTATTCTTAATGGGAATGTTTGAAATTGATTTCTGTAGAATTTGTTTAATTTTATATAATTAAAGTAATATATTTTTTGTTGCAAAACTTGTCACATTTAATCTTTATTTTGTTTATTATTTGTAGATGAAGGAGATCTGAGAGAAATACTTCCAGCTGATTTGCTATCAAGTGAGCTTCAAAATGATTTCTTCAAGATTATTGGCGATGAGTTAGGAAACACTTCAGGTATTTTTTATTTTTTAACCTTATATAACAATTTAGTCCATGTATTTAGGCCAAATGAATAATTTCTTTTTCAGTACTCTTTTTGGTTATCCAACTTCATATTAGAAAAAATTAAGAAAACACTTTGTTGCAGTTTATAATTTACTTATTCATGCAAAATTGTTTCATTGTGTTATGCATTTTTTTAAGTATTTAAATGGATTTAAAATTTATTTAGCTATACATTTTTTATAATTTAATCAGGTCTGTTAATTTTAGTTGAATTTTTCATTCCATGAACTGTTCAAACTTATATCTTTTTTTTTGTTTTAATTTAATTATTGTCCAATGTATTTTTTTTTTTGTCATTTTTAAGTTTGTAATCTTCAAATCATTTATTGGTTCCACAGACTTACAAGTACAAATTCACTTATTTACTAGTTTGAAATGACAAAAAAGTCTCAATTATTCAGTTTTAAATCTAAAATTATTGCTAAATGATTAATATTTTTACATATTGGTATATTGCTGCATATTTGATTTTGACAGAAACCCAAATGTAAATATCATTTTAAATCTTTTGGAAATGTGCAAATAAAAATAGGTTATATTACAAGAGAAAACTCTTAAAGAAATTTTAAAAATAAGTTTTTCATTTGTGTAGTAAAAAGTACTCTATTGATTTTTGTAAAATTAGAAGAGAAGATATTTTGAAATTTCTAGTGAGAACTGACTAAAGAAATGATTTTGAAAAAGCTGCTCTGTTAATCCATTCATCTCATTTTTGTGTACCCTGCTGCCATTGTTGGAACCAAAGATCATTTAATCTCATATTTCAAGGGAGACATTAACCACTTTTTGCTTTCTGTGAATCTGGGTATTATAAATTATTTTTTATATGATTGAATGAACAGAACTTACCAGTCTTCTTCAGGTTAGCATCGGTAAGTAAAAGTTAAGTATTTCTGATGAGGAATGAAACAGTTGAACTCCGTTTATCCAGATCATATATAACTTAGAAATAAAATTTTGCTTTTATTTAATATTATGTATATACACAAGTTATATATATAAGGAAAACTTTTCTTTAACAATGTGTTTTGTCCCCTGTGGAACTTTATCATGGTAAATGTAGAGATTATATTTTGTGACTTGTATTTAGACACAAGTTACAAAATAAAATCTTTACATTTACTTTGATAAAGTTCCTCAAGGGATGAAATGCTTTCCTTTTTGTTTTTTACTTATATACAGTGACATTTCTCTATAGTCAATTATGAATCTTTTTTTTACATTATATTTCCTTGCATTATTCTATGCCTGCTTTACAATTTAGATTGTATGCTGGGCCATAAAAATCTATAACCAAATGTAAATATATCCATCTTTGGTATATATTCAAATGTGCTGTTATCTAGATAAACGGTGTTTTACTGTCATATCCTTCATTCCTATTTGTCTTAAGACAGCTGATATATTTAGTATTACAGATATCAGAACAGAGGACCATCATTATCTTTGAGCCTCTGCTGTATTGGATTGAATGAAAACTGTTTGTTAAATTTGAAGTCAGTTTTCAGCCTGCTGTTCATATGCATATCATTATTTTAACAGTGGGCTGCCTGCTTGTGTGTGATCCACTTCGTGAAGTGGGTCGAAGACAGCTGCCTGGTCTGCAAGTTTTCTCCAAGTTGGGTCCTGAGCTCGGTGGGCCAGCACTCCTCCACCAAGTCCTGTCCACCGTTCCAGGTTGTCAATCCATCGCTATGCTGTTATTTCCCTAGACCGTTAACACTTGTGCTGCTATTAGAACCTACTTCTCAACAGAATCACTTCCCCTCGCTCGACATGTGTCCTTCATATTGCAGTTTCTGTTGTCTTCATATTGTGCACAAGTTGCTGCTTGATGTGTAATTCTTGTAATATTGACTTGTTTTTGTCTATGGTTGAGTTCTTTCACATGTCAAAATTCTAGTTGAAAAGCGTGCATGTGTCACAGCTATATGTAGCTATTAGCTGTATTTTCTTAGGTTTCTTTGTTCCAACTTTGGTGTATTTGCTGACATTGCAGTCTTTTCAAATGTTATTTAGTATTGTGACTGCTTGTCTTGCTATTGGGAAGACCTTAGAATATTGTGACTTTGAAATTGCAACAGGTTTGAACATTCCAAATATTTTTTTTTGCTGTTAGTTAGGCATTGTGGAAAATGAATTTTACCATGTTCAGTTTTGTAATATAAAATCTCTGCTGATTGCTATTTTTTATATGGTATGGAGAAGTATTTCATTTCGTATTTTTCCAGTTAGAAGTATGAAAACTAGCAGTTCAAAATTAAATTTCTTTTTGTAATGCATTAGTCAGTGTCAGAAATTCATTGTATTACACACAGATTATAATAAAGCAAAAATTTCTTTATGCTGTTATTAATGATTAAAAAAAAAAGAAAATTAATGTAATAAATGATGACAGAGAAAGCATGAAGATTTCATTTTTTCTTTAGAAAAATGTGTCTTGGTAAGGTATGTCATATATATATATATATATATATATATATATATATATATATATATATATATATATATATAATCTTTTTATCTAATAGCAATGTCTTACACAGATTTGGCTAGTGAATATCTGTTCCTATGATTATTTAACGTTAATAGATGAATTCCAATGTAGTTTCAAGTATCTTGAAATATAAATGTTTCAAGTAATATTTTGTGATCCGACTGGCTTATTTTACAGTTTTTGAAATTTCCTCTCTTGATATTGTCTGCTAAGCAAAGAAGTGCATAAAATTTGTATTTTTGATTGTGGCTGTTTAAGAGAGAGTTCCACTTAAACATAACAATAATTTATACAACTCATTTTCATGAAGGCTTTCCATCTTAATGTTGATCTATTCATGATTATTTTTTTTATAAAGATGTTACCTCTGACAGCTTCCAGGAAGTTTTGTATTTTATTATATATAATAATTTTTTTTTTTTTAAACTGTAATAATTTTACCTTTTTTCAGTGGATGAAATTTATGATTTGAATTTATGATAATTTGTCCTTAATCCAAATTTTGAATGGGCAAGTGATGTATCAACATGATATGGTGAAAGTAATATACTGCTACAAATCATTTTTTTATTAGTTTTGCAGTGCAGAACACATCTATATTTTTCTTTGCTTAAAAAAGCTCCATCTGTATCCTATATGAATTTCTGTCTTTACTTATGATGACTACAAGAGTAGAAATATTTGAGTTTTGATACTATTGATGGAAGTGAAATTTAATATTCAATCACCAAATTATGAATAGTTTAAAAAATATGCTCATTATCCAAACAATAGATAAATGGAATTATTTTATGATGAAACCAAAAAATTATGATTCATCAAAATATTTTCCTTTATTTCAATGCTAGTAAATTTAAGGTTACTGATTGTTAACCATTTCTATTACATAATGTTTACACATAGAATTGTCATGTATAAACATTTTAACCTGTATATAAAAGTTGTCATTTTATTTGAAAATGAGATCACTAACTAAAAAAATAATTTATAAGTTTTTTTCAGTTTAAAATGTCAATGCTGGTTTTCAGAATTGTTTATAAAAATAAACCTTTTCAATAGTGGTTATGTTTGGCAAAAATATGCTATCCTCTTAAGAAATGCAAATTTGATGAAATTTTTGTTCTTTTTGGTTGACATCTTTTGATCATCATAAGTCAAGACATAAAATGCATATTTAAAAAAAAAATTCAACATGAGAAATGAGTGTTGTATAGCAATTTGGAGTATTTTATTGGAAAATGTTAACTAATGTCATATGTGTGAAAATGAGAAAGTTAAATATTATTGTTATTTGCATATTTTGTTCTCAAGACTTGTATAGGGAAAATAAAAAATTCAGTGAGTGATGAATATATGTAGCAGCATTCACCAATCTCTTTAAATGATGCTGTTTGTATCTATATTGAAATAACAAATTTAAAAAAGTTTACAAAATAATAATGCACCTTTTTAACTTTGTTAATAGAATAAAAATGTTAATATTAATTTTAATCTTAATTGTGGTGGGTTTGATAATTAAAATTAACTGAAACTCATTATCTTTGGATGATAGGAATTTCTGTTATGGTTAATGTTTTAATAAAGAATATTAAAAAGAAAACCTTGTTCCTACGAGGTTCAATTTATAACTATTATTTAGCTATCTTTCAATTCTCTTCCAGTGAAGTAATTTAATTAAATGATTCCAGAGTAATGTAAAGTTGAAATACTCTTTAAAATTTGCACTTTTTTCTTAATATCTATATAGTCTGATGACCTATTATGAAAAAGACCTTGTGGTTTTCATATGGCCATATTGATGTTATGTTTTTGTTCAATTACTGAATCTGTATGATGCATGAAACAGTAAAAAGTATATTTTATTAGAAATAGATTTTTATTCAAGATCTAAGATTCACATGACTTCACTATTTAGTATTTATTGCTCAGAAAAAATGCACTTGCATACACCTCTTTCTCTCTCTTTCTCTCCTCCTGCTTATATATGTTATATAATACTATTGCAAAAATGGCCAATATTAGTTAATATGTAATTATCATTTGTATCATTAACCAAATAATGGGCACTAATACTAATGTTGATATAGATACACTTCCATTTTTCTTGTTGAATTATTTAATATATTTTCTCATACAAAGTCCTTTTATAAAATTGTATTGAAACTTGATATTTTGCAATAAATGCTGAAATGTTTCTTTTCTCTCTTATTTAAAAAAAATGAATTTTGTGAAGATTTTAATTCATTTGGAATCTTTATTTTACTGTTCAAATCTTAAAATTTTCTTTTTACCTGTTGGAGACTGGTAATATTTTCTATTCATTTAAAAACCTTGAAAAAATATCCTGTAATGTTTTCTCTCTCTCTCTCTCTATATATATATATATATATATATATATATATGTGTGTGTGTGCAATAATGTATTTTAAAAATTGATTGAATTGTGTCTGGGTGTTTAGTTATTGCAAATTATGTGAACTGCTATATGATATTTGATATTATGCATGGCAATATCCTATTCTGATCCTTTAAAATATTTGTTGTCTTCATTGTAGTGTTTGTTTGAAATGCTTTTCCTTGGCTAATTTAGCAGTAATTCTCATTGCTTACTAGACATTCCCATGGAGAGTGAAAATGTAGATTCTCACTCTGAAGCAGCAGCTGATTGTTCTGACAGTAAAGATGGATTATCTGAAAACTTTGACCAAATGCTTAGTCCTAACTTAGACGTTGGCAAAATGCTTTCTGAAGGTAAAATTATTCTTTTCAGCTTTAAAAACATTTTATGATTGTTGTCAAGAGTATAATGAAATACATAAGTTGGTGACAATTTCTATGGAAGGTTAGTTATTTCAACAAAATTGAATTAAAATGAAAATTTTAGGGTTAAATTAAATCTTTTTCAGAAACAGTATATTGTTTGATTTCTATCAAATATGAAAATGGGGATATTTTGGGGTGGGGTTGGATGTTTTTTATTAAATGTCAAATTATTTTAAAATTTTGAAGTTAAACAAAATGATTGATTTTTGAAGTTTTATTGCATAATCAGCATTGGCCTTATTTAGGGACAATTCTTTTAATTTTTTTATAAACTACTTTAAAAATCTCTTTAATTCTTGTACCTTTTTTAAAATATTTTACTTTGAATTTATTCTTAGTTTAAAGAAGTAAAAATAATATGCTCTTTTTTTGGCTTTGTGTTGTACTCTAATATCAACATGTTCTCTTTAGGTCTTGCTCACATTGACAGCAAGACAGTGGAGGATATCTTTAAAGGAGTTTTGAATACAGATGCAAACCAAGAGGGTACACAAACTACAGGTTAGTTAATTTATTTCTGCATCAAATTTTCAATTGAATATACTGTTCAAAATATTTGAAGATAGTACTCATAAATTTGTTTACTATACAAAATAATTGTTTTTGTAAAGTACATGAATTCACTCTTTAAGTGTGGCTTTTTTTTTTATTTGGTTGTATTTTTTAGTTTAGACTTCTGTTTATTATTATAAAGATCAGATATTTCCAATAAAAATGTTTTAAGAACTTAATGCTTTTTGTATACTTTTTCAGAAGACAATTTTATGGCAGTTTCTGAAAATTCTGAACAGACTTCACAGCCACCTCCACCTTCACATCCACCGCCATCTCCCCCTCCTCTCCCACCTGCTCCACCTCCACCTTCAGTGCCACCTCCCCCTTTGCCACCAGCTCCGCCCCCTCCCACCGTTCCCCCTCCTCCACCACCACCACCACCTCCACCCTCATCACCAATCCCTGTTCAACAAGTATCAACTACAATGCAAAACCCACAGTTACAGGAACAAACACAAATGCAGTCGGTGGCTCAATACAGTTTAGACCAGCAGCCACCACCCTCTCCTTATAGGTTTGTGTTTTGTTTTGTTTTTTTTATAAAATGAATTTTCAACTCGTTTTATCTCTGTAGCAGAAATTTGTAACTATTAAATGAATTTTGTTTTTGAATGCCTTTTATTTTATAGTGTACAACCTGCTACACCTATGCCACACTATGAAGCACCAGCAAGTCCTGCTCCTTGGCCTGGAGTAATGGATGATGATCCACAAGAAGGTTCTAGTCGGCGAAACATCCTCAAATGGGAAACTGATGAAGCTCTTGGTGTTAATGCTACCATATCCCCTGTACTTTATGTAAATATGAACTACCCTGATTTGAAATTACAATTTCCAGGTAAGTTAAATTTTTTGACACTTATATTGCAAAATATATAATTGTTTTTTTCTTTTGTGTGTGTGATTTTCACTTTGCAAGTAGCTGAAAATTGACACAATATATTTTGTAGTAAAATGTAAACTTTGAACTGTAAAATCCATTTTTATTTGTTTTAATTAATCATAATTTTAAACTATTTTATTGAATACCATTAGTGATATCATTTGATTGAAATAAGTATCACTTGGATATTATATAATTATAGAATTGAAATAAGTATCACTTGGATATTCATTATATATATATATATATATATATATATATATATATATATATATATTAGAATTTAATTATTTTTTGTATGCAATTCACTTAATTGTATTGAGTAATGATAAATTTTGAAATGGGAGAATGTGCTTGAAACCATTTTCATTTTTAGGGGCTAAACATTTTTATTTGAAATTAAATGTTCATTCTTTTCTTTTTATCATGTCCAGGAAATGTATTAGAAAATAATAGTAGGTTAATACTTTCCCTAACTTTATCAATAGGTCAGTTATTGTTAATCAAATTAAATAAAAGAACTATTTACATTTTTGAAGAAAATTTTACAGCTCTACCATTTAAACAGTAACTAAACAAATAGTGATTTTATTAATAAGAACTACAGTAATAATAATAATAATAATTTTATCTTCATACAAGAAGTATATTTGGATTTTAGAAGTTGAAATTTTCTTTATAAAATAAAAAAAATGCTTTTATGAATTTGCTTGGTGTATTAAATATTTTCTATTTATAACCTTCTGCTTAAGCATTTGTCTCAATTAATCAAAAATATATTTTATTTTGCAGAATGGTCAGAAAGAGTAAAGCAGATTAATAAAATATGGAAGAAACTTACACCAAGTCAGAAGAATCCATATTTGGTAAATATTCAACATGTGTTTTGTGTGTGTGTGTTTTTTTTATTTATTTATTTATTTATTAATGAACAGTATTTTAATAATTTTCAAGTTTTATTTTTAGTGACTTGTCTATGCTCTCTGTAAAATGTCTATTGGAGCAGACTGGTGAATTATCTAAAAATATCCCGTTTTCAAGTAGATGTAATATTCTTTTTACTTTTTGTTATTATAAAATGTGATGTATGTAAGATGTTTTGGCTTTGAACATTGTTGGCTTCTATAATGAATTCTGAATTTACAGAATTATAAATTTTCTGTTTTATATCAATGAATAATTAAGTTTTTCAAATTTAATTGATTTTTGAAGTTGAGGTAATCTTAAAAGATGAAGCTAATTGGTTTAGATAAATTTAATTTCAATCTTAGTAGTATTGAAGTCACTTTACAGAAAATATACTAAACTGTAAATAGATGAAATATTTTACAAGACTTTAAACTCGTTTGTTTTAGGATGATTTTAACTACCAAAGAAAAACGTTGGAAAAATTGGTCATATGCAAGACAAAAATCTGTTGAGAATGTGATGGTGCATGAAATAATGGTTTCTTTTGTATTTGATTAGATTCTTGGATTTCTCAAAAAACAAGTGATTTGATTAGGGCAAAAGACATTTTGAGTATATTTCTAAACTATATTCACTATTGAGAAATTGGTTAAACCCAAATAGAAATTATGCACTTTTTAAAATATAGATACTTTGTAAAAATGTTAAAAAAATAATTCTTCCTAAATTACCGATCTCAGCAAGGAATACCTTTTATGTCAAACTCTAACTTGAATGAATAACTTTGGTAGTATTAGCCTGCTAAACTATACAAGTGGTGAAATAAACCTGTCACATTTTCCTATTTGGTGAGGAAAAAAGATACTGTATGTAAACTGAAATATTGTTTTCATAGATTTGTAGCTTTTTTCTTTAGAACCAATTTTATTTTGACTATTTTTTTTAAGCATGTGTTTATTCCACTAATTTATCTGGAAATAGGTTTTTTTAGAAATTGTTATTCAGAATTATTCCATATTTTTCACTGCTTCTCATGAGTGACATGGAACTTTTTATCAGATTATTTTTTGGAATTGAACACATTTTCCAGAAAACAAATTTCAGTTTTTGTACAGTTATTATTTTTATATAAGTATTCGTTAAGAACCTAACACCATCATATTAAAAGAGGATTTATTGTTACTAAAGAGCAAAAGGAAAATTGAAAATTATATATGAGATAACAAGAAAATAATGTGTGTACTTGGCAAAGAAAGTAACAAAGTGACATCAAAGAATATGCTTGCAATGTCAATATGTGTAAGGAAATTTACAGAAAGTGGGTTTGAACAAGGAGATGAGATGTGTTAGTTTTGAGTCATTTTGCCATGATTTTAAAGGTTTTTTTGTTAACTACTTTTCTAAAGTTTTAAAACAATAGTTTAATGCTGAATGTTTTATTTTTAACAAAGTGTATCTGGAATGTTCAGGTAAAAAAATACTTTTTTGAACTTGATGTAGGGAGGATATAATTTTCTTTTCTAATCATTTAAAAATGATTAGACATATATAAATTCCAAAACACCATAGACAAGTAATGTTAATGTATTTCATAACTAATAGTCCATTTTGTTTTAAGATTTGTCATTTAATTATTGAAACATTGAAGTATAGATAAAAACATGTCCTGTGTTATGTAGAAAATGATTTTAAGTATATATCTTTATTGATTGATTAGCATTTTTGCAAGGAGATGCAATTTGAATGTTTTAAAAGAAATTGTATAAAATTTTATGAAATCATAATTTTTTGTTTTCAGTACATGAATGTTTCTCTTTGGTTGCTGAATGGTATTTGTTTATTTTATTTCAGTCAAAAGCACGTAAAAATAGAGCCAGTAGTAAAATCCAAAAGGAACATAGAGTAAGTTGATTTGGAAAGTTGGACTTTTGAACTTATATTGAAGATGCTTTCTATATTTCTTTTAAAATGTTATATAAGCTATTGGCTCTGTTCAGACTTTTCTCTTTGAGTCAAAAAAGTCAAATCTGATTGTGTATAAAACTGAAGCATTTTGTTTGATTGATGTTTTTTTATTTTGATTACATATTTAGTAAATTATAAATCATTTTTCAATTAATATTTAAGTTGTAATCTAAAAAAATTAAAGGCTGAATAATATTTTTAAATAAAAATTCACTCATACTTTCATTTCTTAAAAGATTTTCAGAAAGTTTTATAATGTATAAAAGCGAAACAAAAAATAAACAAAAACTTAATATCAAACAAAATGTACCGAATCTTAAGAAATGGGTTTAGAAGCAGAAATGTGCATGTATGTTATATATACTCATGCATATGCTGATGGAAAATAAAATTGCAATACTGAAGGATAATGCTAATTTTGATCTGGTTAAACGGTATGTGCATGGTAGGAGTAGGTATTTTCATGTTGTGATACAGTACCACTCATACTCGTACATCTGTTTGAGCTTTATGTTATATTTTATGTTACAGTATGGTGAAAGAGATCTGTGCTGCAAGCAGGTGTTATGCAACAAATGCATATGCACTCCTTTTTTTTTCCAATTAGATCCACTTGAGAAGGATTGGATTGTGGTCCTTTAAGATGTTGAAGGTGGTTAATTTAGTGATTTGCTGTGTATGTTGAATGTGATGTTGACAACAGAGGTCAAATGAACCTTGCTCTTGGGCAGCCACATTGTATAGATGCTTGCTAAAATCAATGCATTTTGAGAATAGAAGTGGCAAACCACACAACTTCCACAGGACAAATCGGCAAGTGTAGCTCTTGGAATGTCAGCTGTGGAAGAAATTGCTTAATTTCAGTAAGACTAGATTTTTTTCACTTCTGCCACAATACTGCTGTGTATATTAGAAGTGATGGCATTGCAAGCGGCTCCTTTGTTTGATCAAATAGCACTTTGTGGTGCTCAATGATGAGAACAGGTTCTACCTTCATGTAAATGATGGTTGTTGGTGCATTCAACATAAGCTGGGAGAGCAACAAGTTTCAGAGTGTATTCAGCCATGACACACAGGCCCAATTCCTGTCATCGTGGTGTAGGATACCATAAGTTACACCTCTTGTTTGTCTTTGGTATTTGTGGAGGGGTTGTGAATAGCATTATGTATGTGTGTTTGTCTTGTCTGGTTTTCTGCACGTCTGCATATTGAGAGCGCTCCTCACAACTGGGAAAAAGCTGGTACTATATATAGTTCTCTCAGTCCCAGACCCACACTGACTATTGGCTATACCTGCCCAGTATTGTTTGTATTCAAATTTTGTCAGTGCCACCTACTGTAAGTAGAATGTCCTCTCTCAACAGCCAATTATAGAAGAGGACATAATTCTTGGTGCTTACTGCACCATGTGTGACTAACTCTGGTTCTCTTGTCAGGTTGATCTGATTCTCTGTTACAGTATGTCTAGAATATTGTTCAAATTATTCTGCTACCATTCCTGCAACAGGAAAGAGTGTGCTGTTCAAGCACACTCACCAGACCTCTCTCTCTCATTGAATGTATACAAGACATGAAACAATGCCCAGTTTGTCCAATCACCCCACTTACAACTGCTGATGTTTTGTGTTGCAAGAGGTATAGAATAATGTATTGCAGGATGGTCTCTGCTATCTGTATGAGTGTATGCATGCAAACTTATAGGCAAGTGTTAATGGCCAAACAGGATATAGTGCGTTAATTTGGGATCTGAGTATTTTTGACACATATTTTATTTTGAAACCTGTGCCTGTGATTTGCTGTAATCCAGCTGTATTAACAGTACCTTTTTTAAAAACCTTTGGTAAACTAAAAAAGAAATGGGCAAGATAATGCAGTTTTCTTTTCTATTTGTCTGTGTGTGTGTGTGTGTATAATCTCAAAATTTTTTTTCTAAATCTTTTTTAATGTAGACAAAAGTAACTGAAAGTTTATTTCCAATAAATATTTGTTCATTTGATACTGTTCTTGATATTTGTCTGTTGATTAATCTTAATTCAGTTTCTCTATTTTGTTGTTATAAGGAGTGTGAATTAACTTTGCAGGAGATCAAACGTAAGCAAATGGAAGCTCGCCAGGTTGCTGCTCAACAAGCTGCTGCAGCTGCTATGATGCCCCCACCCCCACCCCCTCCGTTTCCAAGTCATCAAGGTATTGGAGGTGTTTCCATGCCAAATATGTCTCCTCCAAGTCAGCCTGGTACTCCAACTTCAGAGCTTGATGTGCCTGGTAGTCAGCCATTATCTCACCTCCCAGCTGTTCCTCCTGCATCTCCTGCTCCTCTCCATCTGCAGAATTCTCCATCACCAGCTCCACAGACTCCATCACCACAAATGCCACCTAATCGATTAGACCATTTGCCACAAACTCTACAGCATCCAAATGGTAAGCTATGAATTTAACAAATCAGTTTTATTAAAAAATTGTTTTTGTACAGAAAAAGATAAATATTAAAAGCTAGTATTTAAATGAAAATATACTGTATGTGAAAATAATGAATATAATGATGATTTAATTGGGAAAAAAAAACCCAAAAGAAAATTCAAAATACAATTTAATGAAAATTTTTTTTTTTTTTTTTTTTTTTTTTAATATTTAGGTCAGAAAGGCACATTCCCTCCTCATGGAGAAGGTTCTGGATTTGGACAACCATCACAACAACAACAACAGCAGCAGCAACAAATTGGTAACCAACCAATTCAGCAAGCTAGCATTGCCAGTAATCGAAATGACCCAAATGTTGGGACAGCTGAAAGTCAACTATTGAGTACACTGAAGGCTGGCCCCAATCAGTCCCCTGAATTTATTACTGGGCATGGAGATGTAACATTAGGGCAAAGACAGGTTTCACCTGGAGCCCATCATGTAGTGGATCCTAATAGCCAGTTTGGTTTAGAAAATAAAGACCAAGCCAATTACATGGCAATTGTCCAACAGAAGAAAAATGCAGAAGGTTTTAGTCCTCAGCAGGCATCTCCAAAAGTGAACCCTGATGCTCTTGCTCAGTCACCCACACGGCAAGAATTCTTGCAACAACAACAAAAGATTTTGTCACAGCAGCTTGCCCAGCAGCAACAGCAACAACAGCAGCAGCAGCAGCAACAACAACAACAGCAGGTACTTTTACAATTGAAACAGCAGCAGCAACAACATGTTTTGACTCCACAGCAACAAATAGCAGTTCAGCAACAGCTAAAAATGCAATCATTGTCTCAGCAGCAACAGCAGGTGTTAACTGCTAGTGCTCAGCTGCAACAGCAGAGCCAACACCTGATGAAACAACAGCAACAAAAGCAACAAGTATTGGCACAATTAAAACAATTGCAGCAATCTGGCAATTTAACACCGCAACAGCAACTCTTGTTGTTGCAACAGCAGCAGGCTTTGTCGCAGGAGCAGCAGGCTTTGTCACAGAAGCAGCAGGCTCTGTCACAGCAACAGCAGGCTCTGTCGCAACAACAACAACAGCAACAACAACCACCACCCCAGCAAGCACAGGAATTGCAAAAAGCTGAACAGCGAGCAGGACAAGAGCAAACTGCAACACCGGAACAACTGCAGTTGCAACAGGTGATGACACAGCAGCAGAAGCAGGCACTGGTCCAGCAACAACAGCAAAAGGCTTTGGCCCAACAGCAGCAAATGACTCAAGTGTTAGCCCAACAGCAACAACAACAAGCATTGGCCCAACAGCAAAAACAGCTTCTGGCCCAGCAGCAGCAACAACAACAACAACAGCAGCAGCAGCAACAGCAGCAAGTGTTGGCTCAGCAACAAGCACTAGTTCAGCAGCAGCAACAGCAACAAGCTTTGGCTCAACAGCAAACCTCAGCTTTGACATCCCAACAACTCTTGGCACAGCAACAAGCTTTGAGTCAGCAACAGCCAAATCTAAGTGCTCAGCAACAACAGGCTCTGGTTCAGAAACAACAAGAACTTACCCAACTTGCTCAACAAAGGCAGCAAGCATTATTAGCTCAGCAACAACAACAACAGCAACTCTCTCCTCTAGGTCAACACCAAGTTCTTTCACAGCAGCAGCAGCAACAGCAAGCTGCACTGGCTCAACAAGCTCTGGCTCAGCAGCAACAGCAGCAACATCAGCAACAAGCTCTAGCACAACAACAACAACAGCAGCAGTCTCCACAACAAATAACACTTAGTCCACAGCAGCAGCAGGCCTTTGTCCAGCAACAACAAGTCATCGTCCAGCAGCAGGGCCACCCTTTGACTCCTCAGCAACACCAGGCTTTGCTGCAGCAACAGCAAGCACAGCATCAGAAACAACAACAAGTATTGGCTGCACAGCAGGTAATGGCCCAACAGCAACAGCAAGTGTTGCAAGCCAAAAAGCAGGCAATAGCTCAACAGCAAGCTCAGTTGACCAAGCAGCATTCACCACATGAACTTCAACACCCACACTATAATACCTGGCAAAACATGCCAGTCTCTTCTCATCCTTCACCAAGCCACTCGATGGATCCTTTTTCACCTGAAGCAAGCCAGTCCAGCCAAGATCCTTTTTCTATGCCTGGGCCAGGATCTCGGCCAATAACCCCTGCACTTAAATCAGCTCACAGTCCCTTAGCTGCAATTGCTGGGCCAGACAGCCCTTATGGGTCAAAACCTTTACTATCTCCAGGTCCTATGCAACCAGTGTCTAAGGCTAACTTTGCTAATCCGGCTGAACAGATCAGATTTGCAGGTCCTGTGTTGCGACACCCTGCTCATCCAGGAATGAGTCCAAGACCAAATCAGACCGATCTTCTTTCACCAAGGCCTCAGTCTGTGGATGCAGATCCCATGCAGGTAGGAGATTTTAATTTATTTTGTGTGGATAAATACCAATAAAAATACACACTTAAACCATTAGCATCTTAAATGATGTAGTGTGCTTGTGTGTAAGTGCTGTTTAATCTTTAGATAAAATTTATTGAAAAGCATGCTTAATTGTTACAGCAAGTAAATGTTGTGTACTGCTTTTGTTGTATGCTTGACTTGTTAGATGTTAGTTGTATTTTTGTCATACACTGTTAAATTCATGCATTAGTTCATTTCACCTGCTATTCAGTGCTTCAGTTATTTAGAAGATTGTTTTTGTATGGGATTGTTGCAATTGCTTCTTATTGTTTCTTGTAGTTTTTAGTTCTCTCAAAACAGGATTTGGAGTTCTTCTTTGTAAATATTCGTAATATTTTCCAATCAAAATTTTCAGTCTGGTTTTATTCTTGTTTTGAGAGAATATTTTGATGTAGTCATCAAGTGCTAAACAATGAGATAACCTTATTTTTAATTGCTTTTCAAAGCTAGCCTTTCAAAATCTTAGTTTGAAAAACATCTGCTTTGTTTCAACTTTTCTTTATTTAAATGTTTTATTTTTTTTAGGTTTGTATATAATTCATTTAAGTATACTGCTTAAATATATTGGGTTATGCCAATTTTGGCACAAAGCCACATTCATGGAGAACTTTGTGAGGAAGGAATTATCATCTCTAACACCAGCATTCTGGCCACTATGCTATGAAGTGGCTCTCCATCATACAGCTTAGTAATGATTTTTTAATGTTTTATTTTTCTCAGTTTTGATTAACTCTCTAGTTTTTGTAGTGAACTAATAAAACAATATTAACTATTTTGTTTAGCATTAGTTGTAAATTATTTTTTGAAAGGAAGCTAAGAAAGTGTTTAGAATGGATTCTCATTGTTGTTGTTGTTGTTGATCTAGCTGGTACATGTTTGCATAGAACTTCATTTAAAAATTGGCACACTTCTATGTGCATTTTCGTCCCAGAATGTATACTTAGTATGTATGTGTGTGTGCGTGCACATATGTGTGAATGTATGTCAGTGTGTTCTTTTTTTTCCTCCCCTTTGGCTTTTTAAATCATAAATGCTTTCTTCAATCTTATTTTACCATATTCCAACTTCATTGTTAGATTACTTACTGTTGGCATGTACAAATACATAGTCTCTTCAGTTAGATTCAAGTGGAAGTTTCATTCATTAGGATTCTTGCAGTTCATTTTAGAACTGCTGTTTGAAATGTCAATATTTGGATAATCAACGAGTAACTGAAAAATGGCTTGTGAATGAATGATAAACTTTAAATGCATGTATATTTTCAAGCTGGTTTTATTCTCTTCACATTAATTATTAGAGTAGACATGCTAAACAGAGTGATAAAATATGCTTCCTATTGTTATGCTCTCTCTCTCTCTCTCTCTCTCTTGCTGCATAGAACAATTTCATTTATTCTTGCAAACATTTCAAGAGCCACTTTTTTTTTTTTTTTTTTTTTTTTTTTTTAACAAAACCGTTTGTGATCTTGATATTACTAATCCCTCCTCACTCTTGCATAGATGCAGCTGTTTTCCTACTTATCACCCAACTGTTTGTCAGTATGCATTCATTGCACATTATTAAAATACTCGCCTGCAAACATAAGTAATCATTTTTAAGTCTGTCACCCCAGGCAAATCAAATATTCATTGTGTTATTTTTTTTTTTTTTAATTTTTATTTTAAAAAAAAAAAAAAAAAAAAAGCAACAATTAATGCACATTGTATATTACATGAAGGCTGTATCTTAATGTATAAGAATAATGAGATTTCATATAAATGTAATGTAATTTATTCTAAAATACAAAATCTTGTATTTTGGAGAAAAAATATACCAGGTAGTTATTTTTGAATGCATTTGAAACTATTTTATTACCTAACCTTCAGATTTAACCTGACTAATTTCCATAAATACAAGTTGTATTCATTGGTATACAATAAGATTTTAAATAACATCTTGCTGAAAAACATTTGATTCCAGTAATCAGCAGTTAGCAGTCACAGCATTGTAAATACGGAATATAATTTAACAGCAAGTTGTTTTAACACCCGGATGCAAATAATATTTATTTTTTCAAGAACATTTTAGTCAGTGTTCAAGATGTTGATTTGCGAATATTAAAAATTTAAATTATTATTTAAATTGCTGCTTAAAATTTTGACTATCAAGATGTATGTTCTTTCCTTTTATGTGTAAAAGGAAGACTTTTAAATTGGAATTTATTTCAACTTGGCCTAACACAGTCACATACAGCCTATATGTTTGGTTGATTGCAATATTACTCTATCTGAAATAGATAATCTATTCCTTCTACTGCACCTAGTCAGGCGTCATGTTTCTCAATAGAAGAAGCATGTCGTAATTATTGTGCTTTGTGTAGTGAGCTTGGTGGATTTATTGAGTGCACTGCCCACTAGAAAATTTAGAAGTCTTTTGTTGCTGTACAGATTTGCTACATGTTATCTGATAATTCGATTATCAGCATTTGCTTTTTAATGAAATATTTTACTAAATGTAACAAATTCATCATTTTCTCCAGTTATTTCCAAATGCATTTATTTAGAATAATGTTATATCATATTAAAGTAAACATAATGCACTCAAGTACTAGAATTAAAATGTAATTTTGAGATGACATATTTTCAAATTTGTTAAAATTCAAAGTGAAAATACAAATTCAATACTGTCAGCTCTGTTGGTTAGTGTTAATGCCTATTATATGATGATCATTTTATAAATATTTATTCTAAGACTAGTATGATCATTTTCTTTTTATTGTAATTTGTTCATTGCAAACAGCATTCATTATGTGACAGTATCTGATTTTAATTTGAGTTCTGTGCTGATTCATTCTTAATCTGGCGAAATTTGCTCTTATATATCTTGTATGAAATGTTATAATGCTCTTGCAATTTTTCATTAAAAATTGTTCTTTCTTTTTGATAAAATAGGAAAGGAGTAATTTAACCCGTGTATTAATGCCACAATTTGTTGCCATTATTTTTCTTGTAATGATTAGGTACTTGCTAAGGTCTGTGAAATATTTGTTTTTATCTGAATCTTAATATAAAACTTGATACAGAAAAGTAAATAGTCAAATAAAATGGCAATTTTTTTGGTTGCAAATTAAATATTTTTTATATTTAGTATTGATGAATGCTTAGCAGTAAAATTAATACATGAACTTGTATTTTTTCTGTATTTGCGTGTGTGTGTCTTTATATCTTTTTTCTATAATCCTTTTCTTTTAAAATTAATCGAAACTAATACTAATTTGATTCAGCTAGATCAACACTAATTGCTTAAATAATTCTTTCCTGTTCTTATTCAGTGGACATTTTGTGCTTGTTCTGCTCTAAGGTATAGCTGCAAACCATTCACCTCGGATGAAAATGTATTTAGATTTTTGGAAAAAAAATACCCTATTCTAATTTCCAGTATTATAACTTAAAGAAAAAAAAAAAGAAGCAAAACACAGGTGCAAACTATTTACCTATTGAATTCTTTTATACAAAATATCTATATACTGAAGATAATATTTTTATTAATCAAATAGTAGGTAGTTTGAATGCATAATCAACAGGTAATAAATAAAATGTTATATTGATGAATAATCTTTTTTACTGAAAAATGATACTTAAACAGGATTATAGATCATGAAAAAGATATCCATAATTATCCAGAATGTTACTTGATTTCTAGAATATTAAATACATGAACATTTCTTAAATTAGGATCTTGAAATGCAAAAATTGGATGAAGCAGTTGTAAAATAACAAGAGTTGAAATTGTTTAGGCTGTTATTTAAAATTTTGTTTCATTGAATTTAAATTTATAATTTTCATTTAGAATTAGATAAATGACTTTACACTCTTTAAGGTGAAAATTGATTAAAAATATCTTTATTGTCCTATTTTATACAATGCTTAGTATTTTAGATTTTATTAGAGATAGTTTTGTTATTCAAATAAAAAATAAATTTTCTATTTTTTTTTAATTCCAACTGTCATTTATTACTATTTACTCAAACATTTTCAGAAATATTTAGTTTATGCATTCATTATGTTGGGTTATATTTTAACCAATTAGGTTTTGGTATATAGATATTTCACTAGAATTTTGTCTTTATAATTTATTTAGACATGTTTTTAAAATCAACCATTTGTATTTTTTTAATATTAACTCTTGTCAGTCAATCTGCATATCTAATGTGTTTGTAATTTGAATGGGCTTGATTTTTCTTTAGTTACATAGGAATTACATTTTAAAAACAAACTTATATATATATATAATTTGTTTGGGTATATTTTAAAGGGTTATTGTTAACTTACTGTCATCATTCATTTACATTGTTTTAATTCCAATATAGCATATGACCACTTGACGTTTGCAGCTATATTTGCTAGACTGGTGTAAAGTGATGCTTTGTAGTATTGTGCTAACACGTTGGTGCTTTAAACTCCAGTTGTGTTGCTGTTTTTACTCTCTAGCTACATCACCTGTATGCTAATAGACGACGTAGGCATCCTGAGCATGGATACTGGCCTATCTTTAAGTTTCCTTTGGGGGTAAGTTCTGTATTTATGGTGATATTTGTTTCTCTTTTTTGCCTGCATATATTTGTTGTTGTGCTGTATTGTTAGTATTTTATTGCTAATTATTTATAACTGCTTCTACTTAACATGTGCTCAATTAACCTTTTTCATTTACTAAATTCACTGGCTCTTTGTAATTGCCAATGTTGAAACAGGAAAGCAAGAGCAGCAAGTCCTTCCTATCCAATACATATCCACATTTCTGTGAAGGCATTTATGTAGCAAGAAGGACTTGTTACAATGAAGCATCAAGAAGTCAGATGTTAAAAACAGTATGATTTAAAGATTTTGTTGAATTTTTTCTTTCTTTTTTTTTTTCTTTCTTTTAAATGCTTTAAATTTTTACCTACTCTGTTATCAGTAGGTGAAATCAGTGTTCCTAACTTTACGCAATCATTTGATACAGCCTTTGATTTCCAGTAGACAACATATTGTGGTATGAATTCTTATATTATTACTTACGAACTATCATTTGCAGTAACATTGAATGAAAGCAACCATTATTTCGGTCGTACTTGGATGATTGATATTAAAATTCTAAGAGAATGTAGGGACATGGAAGATAATCTTTTATAAAAATCTTCATGTTATACTTGTAAGTGAATTTGCTCTGCTTCAGCCTTTGTAATTGCCTTTGATTCTGCTTTGAGATTAGTTCTACTTCTGTAGATGCTGTATTTTAGTTATAATTTTAGCTTCTTCAGCAATAAAAATATTGTTCTTTTAATGATTTTTTTTAAAATTAATAATAAAAATATTGACCAAAAGTTAATTTTATTATGCTATCAATATCGTTTTAATCAGACGTGCTTTATCTCGATAAAAAAATTTAAAAAATATTTTCTACAATTTTATACTTTATATGTTTTAAAAATATTTAAGTTTTGTATTACATTTTTTATTCTTAGAATGAAAACTTAGAATATTTTAAGTATGAGCAAAAATATACATTTTCTTCTGAATCCATTGATTATTGATAAACATTTGTTGGTATGTAGCGGAATGATTGCTTTTGAAAAGTATATCTGTAGAGAATATGTCAAAGTACATTTTGGGAAAATGCTATCTTTACTTTTGATTTGTAATTGGTTCAAAAGAATTTATAAGTTATGTAATTTTCTTAATTTGAGGTTTTAAGGCCACAAATTTATTAATAGTTTCATGTAATGAATAACTGAAGTTTATTGTAAATATAGGTATAATATTTTCAGAATTTAGATTGGATGACTATTTTCAAATATTCTCATTGGTATAGTATGATGATATAAATCTGAGCCAGGATTGTGGTAGGAGGTTTGGCTAATTTAATAATGAAAATCTATAGAGAACATCATTTAAGGTTCACCAGGTTTAAAGGAAAAAAAATTGTTTCACTAATAGGAATTCTCAATCTGGCTAAGTTTCATATGAATAATTTATACCCTCCAAATTAAGATTAATGTTTAACAAGCTTAGCTTAATATGGTGTATGGTTATGATAGTGCTAGTTAATGTTCTGAGATTGGCTTCATATATCTTGTTCTACGAGCTGTACATTAAATCTGAAAGCATTTTGGATACTTTCATTAATTAAGTGTGGCCCAGCATAAGATTAACATTAAAAAAATGTCTTCAATATTGTAAAATGAAATAGCATCTTTTGACTTTTTTTTCCTTTTTCTGTAAGGGCAGAGATATAATTCAATTATAAGTGAACTCTTAAATCAGATAGTCATAACTGACAAATCAAACAAAACTAATGTTTCATCAAATTTAGGTATTTTAATTTAGCATTTATTATATTCCTTATTTATACATGAATGTCCTGCTTAGACCCATTTATTGCTGATTTGCAATAAAAAATAAATATTCCTTTTCAAAATATTTTCCATAATAAATTTAGTGATGTTAGTTTTCCAAACTAATGATAAAATAAATAGCATCATATATATAATTATATATATATATATATATATATATATATATATATATATATATATATATATATATATATAATTGCTGAAATAACTGTATACTGTACATCTTGGTTGATATGCCATAATTTATGGTTTGACCTTAATGTTGTGAGATTTCATCAGATGATGTTCAGCACTACTCCATTCCATATTGTAGAGCTCAGCATCAATGTAATACATTCAAAAATGATTACTGGCAAAATAGTTTCACTGGGCTAGCACTTATCCCAACATATGAACCTGATTCATGCTCATACATATTTGCACAGACACTCAAATTTCTTGCAAAATCTGCTGTCTGTCCACAAATTCATCCAGTTTTTTTAACCCCCTTAGTAAGTTGGCAGTGTTTCTCTTTAGTTTTTATTTGTATTACTCTTTAAGGTAGATTATCAAACTCATATCTTTATTAATACTGTTATAATGTCATATAGCATTCTTTCATATAGTACTCTATTTTTTTAAGGGACTATATCCCGAGTGTGACCAAAGGTATTACTTCAATAAACATTAAAGTTTTTCTCTGGATACCTTTTTATGGTAGTGAATTAAATTTAGTCCATTTTTAGTTGAAGTTCTTTTTAAAAAAGAAGTATACTTAAGAATTTAAAGTTGTCAGATTTTTAATGCTGTTAATTCTTTATATACTTTATGAAGGTGGGTTGAAAAGTTCTTGGCCTGACCAAAAAAGTTCTTTAAAAATAAAATTTGATGTTTGGTCAAATTTTAGTACCATCATGTATGTTGATAACCACATTTGTTATTCTGTAACTATAAACAAAATTGAATGAATGTTTTAGAATATTCCAAGTTATAGTGTGAAAATAGTAATTAGTTTCTGTATTTCAGAAACTTTTTTTATAACTTTTTCATTTGCATGCTTCTAGTTTGATTTTATAGAAATTTTCAAATTAATATTTTAATTAAAAGGTTGTGCAAGCCTAATCTTTGCCCCCTCAAAAAAAACTAAGTGGGATAATCTAATGCTAATGAAAAGATGGAGGGTTTATATCGTGAAAGCTGTCACAAATTCTAAAGCAATTACCCAGGTACAGTGATATGACAAAAATAGGCATCTACTTTCAAGTAAGAACTTTGATTTATCTAAATGATTCAAAGTTAATTTATTTGCACTTTCAAATTTAAAATTTTTATTTCTTTTTTCCAAATCTGATCTTTTGTGTGAAATCTAACCAGGCTGCTTTGAAAACTCAAAACCAATTTTTATGATAGAAAAGTTTTTGGACATTTTATTTCATGATCCAAAATGTTCCAGATATGTTCAGTGGAATTCAGTTTATATTAATAAATAATATTCAAGATAAGATAGGTGGGTTATTTGAAAAAATCATTGTTATTCTCAGAAAACTGTTTATGCAATATTGACTTGCAAAAAAGAATAAAAGATTACAATCCAAAAATATGTTTCAGTTTTACTTAAGCTACAAAGAGTTGATAAGCTGATTTCTTATTCTGAGCCACTATCCATTATATCACCATCTGTGGCAGTCTGGGACCTTTTTTTTTTTTTTTTTTTTTTTGATTTTAATCCTGAAAACATTTTTCATGTTTGCACAACATTTTACAAACAAGCCAGATAAAAAAATATTTCTTTTTCTTTCGTTTGTCTGAAAAACATAAATAGGGTTATTTCATTCCAGTATTGACTCTTGGTAATTTCCAGTGACTTTTCTATCAGCTTTTTACTGTCTAAACCCTAAGAATATAACTGTTTAGTGAATTACAAATCATAAATGCTACATGATAATTCTACTTTCAGTGACCTTGAAGGTTGAATTTAACCTTATCTGTTCTGCCATTTTTGAGAAAAGATTAGTCTTATGTTTCTTAGCAAATGTATCTTACCCTATCTTGCTAGAAATGACATGTTGTACCCTTGATAGCCTATGGTGATATTACTTTAGGTCTTGGGGCTATTCGGGTAAAAAGAGATTCCCTGGGACTTTGTTTAGCTGTGATATCCTAACGCACACACTTCAGCATAGTAATATAGCTCTATACTGATATTTATATAAAGTACTTCATAAATTAGAATTATAGTTATATTCTCATTAATTTTATTCATACTTTTTTCCTGATGTGTTACTTTTTAGTGTTTGTAAGCAATCTAATAGGTATTTTTTGGTTGTTTGCATTTGTGTGTAAGAGGTTAGAATAGAAATTTTAGGAAAGTTTACATGAATTTGCTGTTTAAAGTTTCTCTTAATTCTTTTATTCTTTTTTATTCCTAATTTGAATTTGTATATTTTATGTGATATAAACCTCCTTGCCTTATTCACAATTAGTTTATCGTATTTCAGTATTATGGAATTAGTATAGGTATAAGAACTGGTGGTCTAGGATGTCTGTAAACATTTGTCTATCAAATACACATAAGATCTATGAGACCTCTTTTTTAAAGAGGTACTTTTATGTGCCATCAAATATAGTAGTTTTTTTATTTCTTTAAACAAACTTTACATATTTTTTTTCTTAAATAAATAGCATAATAAAAGTTGATAGGAAAGAATAATATTTAGAAATGGTATGAGTATCTATCTCTCTCTCTCTATATATATATATATATATATATATATATATATATATATATATATATATATATACACACACTTTTTTTTTATGCGTAACAATTGAGGGGAAGTGTGCAAAATAACAATTTTCCTTCCACCCAGATTCAAGTTGTATTTGTTTTTGAAAAGAAAAAAGAATTTTAGTTAAATAAAAATTATTAAAGACAGACATGAGTTATGGGCAATATTTGTTTTATGAATTTAACTATATTTTATTTAAATTAATTTTCGAAAAAATAAGCCTCTTTATAGTTTTTGCTTTAATAAAACTTAATTTAAAATTATTTACCTTTTTTCATGTTACTAACAAATCCAAAAAACAGTGAAGTTTATTTTTTAAAGATTGAGTAAAAATTATTTTCCATAACATAAATAAATTATTTTTCCGTATCATAGTTTCAGGTTGGGGTGGAGACCCTTGCACTGGTCCGACCTGGTCTAATTCACGATATTTTGTTTGAAATTTGTTTTTGTAAAGTAGAGTTAAAAGAAAGAAAAGAATAGATATTAAGTTTTGTTTTCAAAATTTGCAATAATGAATGATTAATAAAAAGTTAAAATAATTACATGCAAAAAAAAAAAAAATACAAATAAATTCAAGAGAATAGAAAATTTAAAAATACATACAGTATTCCAAAATTATCAGCAGAATTAAAAAGTAAAAATGAATGGGAATAATAATTATTCCCTTTTGTTTTTACTTTTTAATTCTGCTGATTTTGAAATGCTTACATAGCTAAAAATAGATTCTAATGCAATTATTACGTATTTTTTATTTTAAAATATCCTTGCAAATACAAATCATATGAATTTCTTTTGCAAAAAGGTGGGTTGGGTGATATGGAGTCTGTATACATATTTATTTTGTCATTAATTATTGTATGCTACAGTTCGGAGCATATCTTGTGAAATTTGGTAATAGCTTGAGAAAAAAAATAAATTAAAAAAATATCTGATATATTCCTCTTACTAGAATGACAAATAAGCAGACTCTGAAATTACAGATTGAATCTATTGACTGTCAAGGATTACTCTCTTTCCAAAGTTTACACAAAAAATATTGTGCTTTGGGAACTTTTGCAGTAAACATAATTTTGGTTATAAATATGTAGCATTTATCAGGATAATATATAGATATCTTTCCTTTGGTGTTAAAAATAAATTGCACACTGTTTAATTATTAATGTTAACAAGGAACTATTTTAAATTACAAAATTGTACTTGGATTAAACAAAAATTATTTACAATATAATACATATTACTTATAATAAATTCCTTCTTGCTGTCAATTTTGATGGCATGGATACACTAGTTAAAATATAGAATTGAATATTAGTTATACAACATATTTATTCATTGGAATCTGTTATAAATTCAAGACATGAGTTTAATTCCTTTTTTTTACCCATGAAGAATATAAGTCAGAGAAATATTTAGGATATAATACCATTGGAAATTTAGTGGAGTTAGGAAATTTGTCTACCTTTTTTGTGTAAAAAAAAAAAAAAAAAAAAAAAAATCATAATTGTTGCTCTAAATTTTTTCTCCCCAAAATTTCATGAATTAAGATTCAAGAATAGCGATCTTTACTAGCACAAGGGAAACTGAAACTGTTTTGCTACTTTTAATCTGATTATCGCCAACAGAGATGATCTACTGTAATTCCCCATGTATAATACACATTTTTTTCTAAAAAAATAATAAGCAAAATTCGGGGTGTGTATTATGCACAGCTACAAAAACTATTTTAAAAATTGCCGTTTCATAGGTCAATTTCAATTGCAAAATGACTACTGACCACAAATATACAACAATTTGATACTAACATTCAGCAGTTGTGACCATAAATGGATGTCAAATACAATCACATTTTCCTAACAATACTTACAAATGTAAAATAAAATAAGAATTATAAAACTAAATTAGAATAATATTATTCTATGTTTAAAAACATTTTTTTTTTTTTTTTTTTTTTTTTTAAATGAGAGTAGGAAATGCTGGCCATAATGAAATTGGAGAGCTACTATTTATAGAGTTTTATTACCAAAACATCTTCAGCACAATTTTAGGAGTCTGTATTATAGATGAAGGCGTATTCTACATGGGGGAATTACGGCAGTTGTTTATTATACATAGCTCTATGAAATGATCATTTGCTAAAGTTTGAAATTTAATATAGTTACAAGAAAATGTGTGTTAAAATTTTCATAGCTGGATGAATGAATGCATACACAGCTTGAATGATGTAAGCCCCAATAATTCCCATTTAGATTTGTTTGTTAAATGTTTCAATATATAAAACAAAATTATTTTATCCCTAAATTATTTACAAGATTATTTTATTTACAGGTTCAGTCATAGAAAATTTTTTATTGAAATGCTTTCCAAATTCCAATGTGTAAATTCCTGTTTAATATGGAATTATGACATTTTATATTTTATTTATATTTTTGAAAAGTTTAATTGTTTGTATATTTTATAAAATTATTGTTACTAGCTGTTATTTTTTATGCAGATGTTTAGCAATATTTTGTCAAATCTTGAATTAATGTATTTTCAAAATTTTATCGAAAAATTTGAAATGACCGTGTATCATTAATCTCAATATATATATATATTTTTAATTCTATCATTATTATAAATGGTAAAACAGTTTTATAATTTCAGTTCAATTTATATAATCAAATTTTCAACTTTTTTAACATTTATTACTTTCAGGGAAGTCCAAGACACAATATGAACAATAATAATAATCCTCTTGGTAGAGCACCAATGCCTTTTGAAAGAGTAAGTTTGAATAATTAATCTACTGTTTTTGAAATTTTGAAATATAATTATAGTTAATATTATCAAAAGAATATTCCTCCTTGACAAAAATATTTTGAAACTATTAAATCCTTTATTAATTCAATAAATGAAAAACATTTGTTTTAATTAATTTGGAAGAAAATTAATTTCAAATTTGTCAGTTTTAACAGATAATTATTTCAATATTTAATGAAATAAGTAATTTTGGAGAATATTACAAAGGAAAACTATGATTTTACTCACAAATAAGGCTGGAGCAAACTTTTCATCTGAAACTTTTATTTTTAAGATAATTTCTCTGAAAATGTTGAAAAGCTATTAATCAAATCTAACATTGTTTTTCCTATATAAATTACATGGTATTTAGCTTTTTTCCTTCCTGTTCATATTATTCTTCAGTGAAAATACAACTGTTTCATTATTTTACCAGTAATCTACAGTGATTAGAATTGTAAAAGCTGTTTGCAACTGAGATTTCATTTGCCAAAAGTACCTGATTTTAATTTATGGAAAAATATTTGGCAATCTTTGTGCCTGCAAAAAAATGTTGTGTTAAAAGGATGTTTTTTTTTTTTTTTTTTTTCCTGGACACCGCTATTATTTTAACTGCTTTCATCCCTCAGCAATGTTTGTTTTAAAAAGCAATGATTAGAATATTAATAAAACCTAAACATAATGAAAGTGAATTTATACATCTTCTTTGTTCCTTAGAATTGACAACAAAAATAATAAACACTATTTATTTAGTTTATTGTCTATTTACACTATTTATTATAATGTTTATTAGAATGGTTGGCAAAACATCAGCAAATTGCCAATTGATTCAAATTTTATGAAATGGTAAATAATAAAGATTTCATTACTGTTGGTTCACATAATTTGAGTAAACGTTTATAAATTTATGAATAAAAATTGTTATTGTATATATTTCTTTATAAATTAATTTTAATACAATTGTATTAGTTTTTAGAATGTTGTAAATATAAAATTATTCTTGTAAATGAACAATCTAATAAATAGTGTTTAATATTTTTTTTGTAAATTTTCAAGAACAAAAAAAATGTATAAATTCACTTTCATGTGTTTAGGTTTAATTACAATTATAAACACTTTTAAATCAGTAAAAATCACCGAGGAGTGAAGGCAGTTAAAATAATAGTGGTGACAAGGGAAAAACTGTCCTTTTGATACATCACTTTTTTTTTTTTTTTTTTTTTGGGCATGAAGGTTAAAGATTGCTAAATGTTTTACGTAGAATCAGAATAGGATCAAAAGGAATGAAAAAAAAAAAATTCCCAAAAGAACCATCAAAATAGGTTTCATAATGTTTGTATTCTATTAAAATAGCAAGCCATTTAGCTGTCATTTAAGAAATTAAGCTAAAATAATCTGGTATACTAGTTCACTTTGCTAGAGATCAATAAATTTTCTTCTTCAGTCACCTTTGCTTCCTCATGAAAGTGATTTGAGTCGCCCTGATGCTCAGCGGCAATTACGAGTGATATTGGCCCAGCAATCAAAGCAGAGACAGCAGAAGAAACAACAGCAACAATTGCAGCAAGATGAAGCAAATAAATTGGTTATGAAATCTCCAACATCTCCACATTGGCCACCAGGAATGGCAGATAAATCTCCTGTTCATGGTTAGTTGAAGTCTTTTAGTTTAAAAGTTGAATTCAGTTTTATGCTATTAGGTTCAACATCTGTGTAGACAAAGAGAAATTATAGTGATACAGTTTAATGTTTTTCAGATTTATTCTATCTTTATCTCTCATTTAATCTTAAATTTCATTTCATGCTTTTTTGTAGAGATAATAGTTGAAGAAATAAAAATAGACTTTATTTCCTTTTTCATTGTTCAGTTTTAAAACCATGATTGTTTGAAGTCATGTATTTAACTTTATAATGAAAATATGAATTGCTATTCTGTTGTAGATGGTTTAAAAAAAAAAAAATTCTCCAGTGGAAAATTGAAAAATAAGTTTACATTATGTTAAATGATGTGAGACTAGATTCCATTTATACAAAATATAATTGTCTAAATATTTTTGCTATTATGTTTGAATGTTTGGCAGTTGCATTTAGACGCCTTAAATATGTTAGAACTAAATAACTTTGAAAATAAATATTGCTTTTATTATTAGGCTCTCCTCAGATGCCCCCTTCACCATTCAGTGATCCTGGGGAGGGAGCAGCCACTCCAGTATATCAAGGTGAAGGAGCTGCACATGCAAGACGTTGGTCACAGCACCAAGCTGTTCGTATGCCACACCTAACCAGTTTGGAAGAGGTTTTTTGGATTTTTTTAACCTTTTAAAAATTTGTTTTCTTTGTTTATCATTACATAGATGTAACAGATTGTTTGAATATGGATGTAAAAATTTATTTCATTTTTAATTTTATAGCAACCTGGTTGAATAATATGAATTAGATTTTATAAATCATAATTCAATTATTTATAGATTTCTGTAGAAGTTTTCTTTTCAAAGGACTTTGCTACTTTTTCTTTTTTATATTTTTTATTTATTCATTCAATTTCTCTGTAACTTTGGACATATTTACAATTGTATAATATTCTATTTATAGAAGCAGAGACCTTTGCTCCTGGAGCCCATCGCAATATTCTCCAGGCACATTCACCTCATAGTCCTCAGCTGACACCCCGAACTCCTGGAAGTATTGGCTATGTTCAAGGACAAGTGTCTGGTGTGCGGCCACCATTTCCTGAGGGAAACAAGGTTAGCTTTTTTCTATTGGATTAAAAAAAAAAAAATTGTAATTTGTGGAAAGTAAACTAAAAGTTTGATGTGATACTACTATTTCAACTTTTTTGATATTTTTTTTTTTTTTTCTTACAGGAGATCAATGATGATTTGCATCGGGCACAGTTGTTACAGATGTTAGCTCGAACTCGCACCACTGGTCAGGGTCCACCATCTAATTTGTCATCACCATCTTCTTTATCAAAGAGTAACCCTTCTAGTCCATATGATTTCTTGCATCCAGAACAGCAGCAGCAGTTATCCAGTGAAGAATCTGCAGTGGCAAGTCAGCTGTCCCCACAGACATCTGGGCAACATCACCAAACACAGACAGCTGCAGCTACTCGCCAAGTTACTGGCTTTGCTCAGTTTGGCTTTCCTGGTACTAGCATGAAGCAAACAGAACCAGAAACTAAAGATGCTCTGCCCAAGCAAAGCCAACTTACAACAGGTGAAGTATTCACTCGCCAGCTACCTGAATATCAACAGGTTTCTGGCCAATTAGATGGCCAAGAAGAACAGGCATCTGAAGCGTTATTGCAGCAAAGGCGACTTCAAATACAGCAGCAGCAGCAGCAACAACAACAACAGCAGCAACAACAGCAACAGCAGCAGCAACAATCTCAACAACAAACACTTTCTGGATCCCAAGAAATTCCTAAAGAAGCAAAGGACTTATCTGATGATGACAACAAGGATGAAATAAATGACTTATTAAGTAAGACTTTTTTTTTTTTTTTTTTTTCTAAATTCAGTTGTATCAGTTTTTTCTCTATATTTCTTCAAATTATTGACACAAAAGACAAATTATGTTAAATTCCAAGATTAACAAGTCATTTTATTAAATCCTTGTAAAATTTTTATTTTTTATTTTATTTTTGTTAGATATTTTAGTTTTTAAAACCATTTTATTTCTTTCTTCAAAATGATTAAAAATGAACACACAATTCTCAAAGAATATTTGATATAATCAAATCTTAACATATTAAAGATAAATTTATATTGCAATGCTACATGGAATTATTACTTTACATTTTTTATTTTTTTAATTTACTTTTTTAAGTCCGTTTGACATTCAGAGAAATATATTTTTGGATGCTGTAATTTCAGCTTGAAAATTTTAATAAAAGGAATTTAAAAAAATGTTTTGATTAATTTTGTAATCTTCATTATAATCTTTATTTTAGATGAAGATGGTACATTTGATATCTTACAATATGCTGATCCAGAGTTAAACAAAGAACTACCGACTGACTTCTTAGATGAGTTAGTATTGGATGAAACTGATTGTAATGCTGACACGAAAGAAGAAGATCGTCAAGAAGAAAATGATGATGACAACACTCTTGGTACAAATGAAAGTCCTGCTGCAGAAACCATCAAAACAGAAGAAACATCTGAAGACTCTATGATGACAGCAGGAACATCTGATTCTAAACTTCCAACTACATCTGTCAAGTCTGTTGAACAAAAATCACAGTCCGATTTCCAAGCTAAATTTCTTGAATTCAGTCAAATGAGGAAGGAAGAACCTCCTCCAACTCCTCCAAGAAACCAAAATTTAGATGTTAAGAGTCCCAGTATTAAAGAAGGGCAAGTTGAAAAGTCGTCAACCATTCAAAACAGCCGACATATTGCAGCACTTTTGCAAAGTTCCCCTGATCATGTAAATCCAGATGGAAGTAAATCTGTGGTTCCTCATGGCTTTGTGTCAAAACCAGTCCATTCATTTGTTGGCTCGCCAATGAAAACTGAGCCAGACCTTCAGCACCCCAGTAATTCCCAGGCAGTCATTAGAGAATTGCAAAAAGATATTTCTCCTAGTTCTTCTCTTAGTAATTTGTCTGCATCATCCCCCAAAATTCAGTCTAGTATGCAAAGTGGGAATATGTCAAATAGTCCAATAGATCCATCTCTTGCACCAATGATGATTGACCGGTCTAGGCCACCATCAAGTAAGCCAGGACAAATGTCAACAATGTTACCATCACCAAAGGACAATCTCCCCAAATCTGGATTGTCTTCTCCTAGAACACCTACAGCTCAGTCTCCTTTTGGACAAGTCACTGGGCAGCAAGCTGCTGCACAGCTTGCACGGCATTCGCCAATGTCTGTGTCTACTGTTCAGTCACCATTCAGCCCATCTGCTCCTGGTTACCCGCAGTCATTGCCCTCTGCTAATGCTAGTGGTTCTGTGTCATCTTCAGCTGGACACACTCCTCCAAGTGCACCACCCAGTCGAACCCAATCTCCATTCCTTACAGGAGTTGATAGAGTAATTCCATTTAATCCTAATTCACAGGCGGCACAAACTATAGTACCAAGTCCTGGCCAGACCAGTCCAGTGATGAATTTTAATCAGTTTGGGCGTGGGACAGTCCAGTCTTTAAATCAATATATGCAAGGAACCTATGGGCAACCACAGACACATGTGCCTCCCCGTGGTGGTGTGCTCACACCAAATAGTGTATTATATGGACAGCCTGTTGCTAATCAGCATTTTATAAAACATGCTGGATCAGACTCGACTGCTTGCATTAATGCATCGTCAGCTACTGGTGTTGCACCAGCCTCATCCACTACTCCTTTCAGCACTTTTACTCATACACAAAGTACTTTAGGTTCACAGACTGCTACAGGAAAAGTTTCCTGGCCTCCATTTAATGCCCCAAATAATCAGGCAACTCCACAAGCAGCCCAAGGAACTGATCCACCATTTGAACCTTCTATGGTTTCACGAAGTTTTTACCCAACATCAACTCAGAGCACTTCTGGAATTTACACAGGTCAAGGTGGTCAGCAAGGATTATATTTTCAGTCTGAAGGCCAGCAGATGGGAATTCGTACTGGTTTACCACAAACCCTTGACCCTACTGCTATAGCCAACACAACCACAGTTTCACCTGCAGCTGGTATGCACAGATCGCCTACACCATTTCCCCCTAATCATCCATCATTAGCTACAAATGCACACATACAACCTACTGGAGCTCACATGCCAGGGATGCCTGCAAATTATCCGTTACAAAATCAAGGACCTAGACCTATTGCTCATCCAAGGACCCCTCAAGAACAACCTCTATTGATACAAGATTTGTTGGAAGAGGTAACAAAATTTATTTTAAGTGTTTGCATTTAGATTAAAGTGGATTTTCTTTGAATTTGCAATGTCAGTATACAGAGAAATACTATATAGAAATTTGTGTCCAGTGATACAAATATGTATACACCAAGTCCTTTAACAAGTTTAATTCCACTAGTTTTAAAAATATTTCTTTTTGCACAGATTAATTTTTCTGTTCTGGCTTCTACATAATTTAGAATTATCAGTGGATAAAACATTTTGAGTTTCTTTAAATGATAAAATATATATATATATATATATATATATATATTTCACACTTTGTTAAATTTTGATTGTGCAGGAGAAAAAGGAACAGAAACGACAAGCTGAGCAGCAAGCTTTACTGGGCCCTCGAAAACCTGAAGAAGCATTTGCTCTACGCCAAGGTAATTTCAATACTTCTTTTTTATTATAAGGATTTTTATTTCAATTAAAGTGGTGTTTATGATGATCATGCTTAAAGGTTTAGTGAATGTTGTTCTAAGTCAAGTAAGAGAAAGTAGAGAGTAGGTGACAGAAAAAAAAAAAAAAACAAGAGGCTTAAAGTGGAAGAATGGTGGTATTAAAAAAAAAAAAAAAAGATAAATGGTTTTTGCAAGATGGAATTTTGAAATGACATGAAAGATGACAGAAGATAGAATAAAATGGTAAATATGTTGAGTCAAGTTAATGTAGAAAATTAAAAAAAAAATTCTTATATTTACTTAATAAATGAAATGTATGTTTTGTTCTATAGTTATTAATGAGAGCCTGTCAACTGGGGGATTTAGTCTCAAGGATCATTTATGATTTTTAATTAGCCAGGCATTTTAAATGAACCCATACTTAATAAATGAACTAACAAATTTTATTCATGTGCTAAAAAATATATTGAAATAGCTGGCCTATTTGAATTTGGAAGAAAAATTTATCAAATGTTACTTAATCACTTTTCCCAATTCTGAAAAGAAACATTTGGTGCCTAAGTTAGTGAATGATATTATCACCTTTGTTTAATTTATTTGTTGAAAAAAGATTTTATTGTTGAAGGGAAAAAAATTTGAAATAGGAAAACTTAAATTATGCTTATTTATTCTTTTGCATATTGATTCTGATTATTTTTGTCTGTATTCCTAGCTTTTAGTACAAGCCAAAACATTGGTGGACTTGGACCACGACCTGATCTATCACCAAGGTTTGTTTTCTAATTTAAAATTTTTTTTTTTTTTTTTTTTTTTTTTTTTTTTTTTAAGAAATGGTTTTAGATTGCTGATGCACATTTTGTTTAGAATATTAAGTGGTAAATAAATAATTATAATTGTTTAAATACAAATTATGAAGAAAAAAAAACATTCTGCACAATCAAACTGGATATTTTTGCAGTTTGATTTATGATTTTCTTTTAAATAATTAAAAATACTATTCTGATCTTTTATAAAAAAAAAAATAAATTATTTTCAGATTAATGCATCCCAGAGAGCAACCTTGGCCAGCAACTCAAAGTGGTATGTTACCTAATCCTGCAGCACAGCCTCCCCGTGATCCTACTGCACAGCCTATACAGAATTTCCCCCCGTTTGGACAGAGGACACCAAATCAACAAATGAGTCCTCGAACCCCATCTCCATTTCCCAGTCCCACTCACCAAACTTTCACGCCATCACCTTCTTCAGCTGGATTGCAGTCTCCTACCTTGACTCGTCCGGCTATGCTTCCTCCTACACCAGGTCAGCTTATTCTGACATTTTTCCAATTTGAAAATTAATTTCAGAAGCGTCATCTCCTATTCACATAGCACTATTAGGCAATTGAATATGGTCACTCTAATTAATGTACATTGGCATAACAGGCCCAAAGATTGAGAAATTGCAAATTCATTATAATGCCAAAATTCTTTCTTTTGTAATATTAATCTTATATAAATTTTTAAAATGGAGTATGAATGTTTATTATTATTCATTTAATGACTATTTATTTTCCAGCTTTTATTGTCCATTATTTCCTTGTCCACAGTATTTAGATATATGGAGGAGAAATGACTATTTCATTTATATAGAAAAGAGATTCAGTCTCTAAAATGTGATTCCAAGAATTTTTATTTTTTTTTTTTTTTTATTTTTTACCACCTTTTTACAGTGGATCCAATGATAGGTCCTGATGCTCAGCAGGTACAGCCAGCTAGTCAGGTGGATGACAATTTGGCTTCTCGTATGAAAATTGAAATGGCAATGAAAGAATTGGAGCCAGCAATCCAAAAGCTGAAGCGGACTAGGAAAGCCATCAATGCCCGCAATAGACAGGTTTCTTATTGCTTCTTATCTCTTTTTAAATACTCATTTTAAATATTTATTATTTCCTGTTTTCTTTGTTATCATTAAAATTTCAGTTTTCAGTTAAAAAGCAAATACTTTTTAGTTTTGCAAAGTTCATCTCTTGCCATAAAGTAGCATGATTCATTGAATTAAGGATAACTTAATTGTATCGATCACGCATTACCGAAAGCTGAAAAATGTCATGTTAATTTTAGAGTTTTACTTTTGGAAATGATTATTAGTCTAGAAACTCAGCTTTACTTTTTATTCAGGCAAGAAAATCTGGGAATGCAATTAATCCAAATGATGCTCAAGAGTTGGAACGTATTGCCCCAGAATTAGCCAAGCTACAAAAGCACTATGATGGGTTGCGTAAACGATCAAGACAGTTGGCATCAGCAAAGCCAGAAAAACAAAAGGTAAGGCAGTTTTTTTTTCCCTCCCCCACTAATAAATTGCACATTCCTATCATATCTATTTTTTCTGACTCGCTTTAATCAAACTATTTTTCATATTTAACTTTAAAATAACATTTTTATACAGTAATTATTTAATCATTACTTTTGGACCGGTATAACTAATTTGATTTTACATATTATTTCCATGACTTTTCATGTTTTTCAACATAATAAACATTGACTAATATAAAATTTAAGAAAGCTTTAAAGATTTTCAGAAAATTAAGTATTTTTAGCTTTTTGTTAATGTCTTCACTAGAAGTACACATGCTTTTTAATGTTGGTCTTTTATTTAGGCAACCTTTTAAACTTGAATGACAAAACTGTTTTAAATGTTGAATGTGATGTGAACATTGAATTCTTTTCTTTTTTTTAAATTCAGTGTGTTAAATTTGGTGATGGTGATAGAGTATGCATTTCTGTTTGATACTGGTTCCTGTACTCGATTTGCTTATTTGTCTAGATATGTTTTGAAGATGAATCTGTGTTAGCATTTGTTAGATCTTTGTTCTGGATAGCTGGATCTGCATATTGGTATATTTCTTCCTCCAGATATTTGTTGTGTTCAGTCATTAATATGACAATTTGTCAAGTGTCCTAGTTTCCATTGTATACTCCTCTTTATTAACCATTTTCAAACTGTTTATAGTATGAAAGCTTTTTGTTTTATTAACTCATTGTACCAAAAAAGTTCCTTAAAGCACAAATTAAAGCTGTCATTTAAAGCTGATTGCATTCTGAAGTGCTTTGCTATTGAACGTATCTATGCTTTAAAAGCTTTTGTATATACAAGGGATGCTTTGAATGTATTGCCTTCTATTTATTTCCATGGCAACTACAACGTATACAGGGAGCACAATAACATCATTGAATAGAGCAAGTTTTCAGCTGAAAGACACCATTTTCCAACATGATCACTTCCATTGGTTATGCATTTTTGCTACACTCAAGGAAATCTGCACCAACAAAGGCAACCCTCCTTTTCACTGAAACTCATTACCCATCACCTAACTGTTCCCACATCCACTGTTTGGTCTCTGTAAATGGTTAGGAAATGTTGATTAATGTTAATGGGTACAGTATTGGCCAGACCGGCACTCCATTTCTATCTGTAAGAAGGACAGGAAAAACATTGTGGATTAATGATTCAGCCTCTACTGCCATACCACTAACATCTGCTGCTGACATTCTGGGCCAATGTAATGAAATCAGGGACATTTCTTTCAGAGCAGTCCTCTTATAATTTATAGCCTCATTTAATTGGATCAGGGTGTTGAAAAATTCTCGGCCCAACCTATCTCCTAAAATCAGACTAACTTGGCATCAGATTCTTTTTTTCTAAAGAACCTTTTGGTAAAACTGATAACTTTTCAGCACCCTTTCGTAAATCATAGGAAAATCTATTTATTTTGTAACATCACTTAGAACGATAACACTAATGTAAAAACTTATGTTTAAGCCATATACTTCTTGCTAAATTTTGTTTTTGATCTGTTATTTTACACTTACATGCTTTTTACTTTCATTATTTCAATGAAGGATTTTTCTTTATGTAAACTGTGTTGAAAATATTTCTAAAGTAAAATCTGCAATTCCTGTATGGATTGACTGATTTTATGAACCATTCACTAAATTATTAGAAAGTAAAATATTAACACTTTACAAACATCTAAATACAATGATTCATTTTTATTTTTATAGTTAAGTAATTTATTATAGAAATAACTTCAGAATTGTATTTCTGAAAGCCTTTAAAGACTGAGAAAATAACTACTTTTATCCAGTACATTCATCTACTTGTAAAACTCATATATTTCTTTTATTAAAATTAAATAAATTTAATAAGATTGAATATATTATTTTTTAATTTTATGTGTTCAAAACTTGACTAATTCATAGTTATATAAATTTGCCAAACTGTTTTTAACATCCAAATAAATGTATATATATGTATAAGTTATTTTCTTTTTCTTATAAGAAAGCTATTTAGTAGGTGTTGATATGGTCATTTTATAATGTATGGTTTTTTTAATTTTGTTTATGAAAATTTTTGTTAAGTGATGCTTTGAAACAGTTATTTTATCAATTTGTAGAGATGAACTGTAGCTGTGATACAATTAATTAAAAGTAATAAACTGATGAGCCAAAATGATTAGTTACCTAATAGCATGTAGCTCCTCTCTTCAGCTGGACAATCAATGGCTATGTGATGTGGCATGGAGTCTATGAGGCATTTGTTGTTGCATGGGTATAACTAGAGAGCTGTTCATAACCAAGTTGTGTTTGTTAGATGTGTGATTTGGGGTAATTTATAGAGGTCTGCAACATATCTCCTACATGCTCAATGGGGTTTAACTCTGGTGAATGCATGAGCCAGTGGAGTACTGGGAGCTCTTGCAATCAGTTTCTTGTCACTTGCGTATGATGGGTGTTGTTATCTTGCTGGAACAAACCATTACTGGGAAATATGGCGAGTATAAAGAGTGCAACAAGATCTGTGTAAGCCGCACGTGTCAAGACTGACTCCAGTTTCAAACTATTACAAAACTACCCCCTATGCAGTCTCCTCCATTTGTGCAAGACAGCTGGCACCAGTACTTCATGGTGATATTACCTAGTCTATGTGAATTGTATACCTGATGTCATAGTATCACTGATGCTACTGTTGTTGGTTAGCAACTATGAAACTTTGTGGAATGTAGTATTTATTATTGACCAATAGGTTAAGTGGCACCAGTCTTGAACTGGAATGTGATTTGATACAGTGTTCCTCTTTTTTTGGGTAGTTACCATCTTTGTCAGTTGTTAATGGTTCTAATCTATTGTTTGCAGTGTCTGTGTGCTGTTGATGTTCTTTTAGAATTCATGTATTCCATGAATAATCCTTACTACTGTTGTCCAAGAAAAACCTAGAGCACTTTCCACCTCACACATAATGTTCCATCTTTTGGGTCCCCCACAATCATTCTACAGTCAAACAATACTAAAGCCTGTCCAGCTCCCTATGTTGGCTGCAGCTACACTACCTATTTACCTATTACATTGTGCCAGTCATCTGACTGAGTCTATTTCTACAAATTGAGGCAGGTAAAATCATCCAGTGTACCGCTGTCTCTGTTTTTGGCATATCAGTTCATTAATCAGTTTTCATGTATAAAATATGGCGCTGTAGTTACTTATGGAAATACACTGGTATAATGAATAAAAAAAGCTAAAATAAACTAAGCAAATCGAGTACAACTGTTGAGGTGATTTAAGGTACTTTTTGGGCTGTACAATGTGTTTTGTCTAATCAGAAAAAAATATTCTGAATTATGTGCTTGTTAAGATAAATGCAATGTTATTGTCTGATGTCAGATATAAGCTACAAAGTGTTGATAAAATATTGAATACTGTGATTGTGGGATGAGAAAGCAGCAGTAGTGTTTGTTATTTTCTTGATTGAAACAATTTAGGTTATTCTTCTGCCTGACTTTGGCAATTGCTTGTAATTGCAAGGAAGCTGTTGGTTGCTTTCAATTCTGCCTATGTAGACATTTTACAGAAGTAATGCATTCATTCATTCCCTGGCTGATCTTTGAATCCTTTTTCTTCTATATGAATATAACTGATTCTGAGGATAATTACAGTATTGAGTATTTTGTCTGTCTTCATTTGAAGTTGCTGTCTGTATTTTCAATGGACACAAGTATGTTTGTAGGTGTGTATGTGAATATGTTGGTATACTTTTACAATGACTACATTGCTGTTGGAAACTATTTTATGATATTTCATATCTTCAGTTCTTAGTTGTCAGTATTGTTGAAAAAGGTGTGGTGAAATGGTTAAATGACTCCAATAAGATATGTTTACTGATAAGTCTTATTGTTGACAATGGCACATTTCAGTTTTTGATTAATTCTTATCACTTTGTGTGTCTGTGTGGCTACACACACACACACACACACACACACACACCACACATGTGGGGGGGGGTAGTTAATTAATAAACATGTTGGGTATGTTGATATTAACTGATGAATGTTCAAAAGCTAAAAAAAATTAATGTTTTGCAAATTTATCAAAAATCAAAATGTGCCTGTAACAGTAGGGAACTATGTTTATCAATATTATTTGCATTTGAAACTGATTCTACTTTTGAATTGATTTGTTTTACAAATATATATTTCCCCTTAAAGCTAAAGAAATGATTTTTAAATTGAATTTCTAAAGTCGTTAACAAACATTTAATTGTAAATTTGACTTACAATCGAGCGACTTTTGATGCCATGCTGTAAAAATAAGTTTTGGCACTCGTTCTAAAATTCGCTAAATTGTATTGTTAATACCCACTAGAATATTGTATAAAATATTCTTTTAGCCTGATATTAGCTCTCACCCTTTATACTAAATCATTTTGATTTCTATAAATCTTTTTGTTCTTAAACTAAAGCTCCAAATGCATTGAATATGGTATTCAATATTTTTTGGCATGCTTTCCAATCATTTAAGGCTTTTAAGCGCTCTACACATACAAATGGATTTAATTGTGATGTTAACCTGTTCTATTATATTTATTGTTTTGTAATACTTTTTGCAGATCGCCTTTTGAATGTCATTTGTGTGTCAATACACTGGATGTGGCATGCTCTTGTGTATTTACCTTGTTTTCTTTTAAAATTGTTGCTTTTGCAAACTTTCCTCTTAATGAGCTTTTGATATATTGATCAGAATTGTTCTGTTGCCTCGAGGTTAATATTGTATTAACATGCAGATAATATTCAAGTTTTCATTTGATACAGATATATGTGAATATTTGAGTGTGTGCTTGTGTACATTTATTTTAAAAAAAATACGTGCATGTATGTTTGTATGAATGAATCACTGTGAAATTTTGAAATGTTATTAAACTATGATGATTTGTATATTTAGAAATTAAATGTTTTCCACATGCATATTATGTAAATACCATAGTTTAGCTGCTGCTGCTGCTAACAGCAAGTTATATTCAAGAATTTGCTCAATAATGGCATGCTTTCAATCTGTTAGCTGAAGGTGAAAAAATAATTATAGATGAATAAGATAGTACAAAAAGGAAATTTAAAAAAATTAGAATATCATTTTGACTTCTATTTTGTGAGATATATTTTGAAATAAATTCTGTTGAATGAGATAATATTTCTAGGCTTTTAATATGATTATTTTAGATTACAAATTTATTTTAGAAATTACAAGCAAACTATTGCAGTTAACAGTAAATTCACTTCATATCTTGAATTTATTTTTGTATATTGAGATTTGATATTTAATTTTCTCTTTCATTATTTCAAGAAAATTGGAAAAATATAGAAAATCTTTTTTCTTTGTCTTCATTAATGTTTTCAAAGTATATTTTGAAGCACATTCTAAATTTCTAAGAGCATGAAATTTTTAAATAAAAAATAGTATTTTGCTTCAGAATAAGATGCTCATTTTTCTTGATAATAAATCTGTGTATATTAAGTTGAAACTTTAAATGAAGAGAAATATTAAGATATATTAATTTTCGAACAATATAATTATCCACATTTTTAAAAGTTGTATTTTAATTTTATTAGTTTACACTTTCAGCCAACATAATGAACACATGCCATAAGTAATTCTTTATGGAAATAGGAAAAGAAATAAGTTGCTAAATTAATCACTACTCCTGCTCACTCCATTAAAAATAAAAATTAATAAATAATGGCTTTTTGGAAAGAAAGTAAAAAAAAAAAAAAAATATCCAGAAATTCTGCCTATCCAAATACCATTTTGGAACTTTGTACAAAGTTTTAAAAAAGTAAATAAATAAATGAAAATAAAAAAAGTTGGATTTGCATCAAAATCTTCTCTACAAGTTGGATGTCAACAACTAAGGCTTCTTGAATCCTTATTTCTCTTTTACGTCAAAGGAGCAACTCGGGCGATCTCCACAACAAAAGACTTCACCTGGAGGCCACCCGGGGCTTGCGTCTCCAATGGGCCAGCCACCAGCATCTCTGCATCCGTCCCCATCTCCAGCTGGGCCCTCCCTGGGTTCCCAACAGACCCCACCCCCACCACCCCGTATTCCAGGAAGTCAGCCCCCTGTGCGCATGACCAGGATGGCCCAAGAGGAATACAACTCGTATATGCAGAAGAAACTTCAGATAGCACAGCAAGCTGGTGGCCCTAGGCCAGCATCAACAACGGCAGTATTTGCAGGAGTGAGTCCTTGACATTCTCATCATTAATGTAGACAAATATACATAGTCCTTAAGTAATGTTGGGCACCATCACTCACTTAGTTTGCGATTTTCTTGATAAGTATTCTTTTCTACCATTGACTTTGAGACATCTCTGTTCTCTCTATCTCTCTCTCTCTATCTCTCTCTCTCTCTCTAGTTATCTAAATTCCATTTATTGTAAATGCATGTTAGATCACTGTTACTAGATTAATATGAAATCTGACTGATGATGCAAATAGTTTGGAAATAGTTATTAGTACTTATTGATGCATGAAACATTTCCATAACTGGTATTTAAAACTTTTAATTTAAAAATTTTAATTGATATTCTGCAAATTTAAATATAGAATAAAATATAACTGGTGTTTATTGGGCAAGGATTTTTTTTCCCCCCCCACCAATATTTTTATCTGGTAATTTGTATTCACCACTGTAATCATATTTAATATTTACGCTTAAGAGAAATGTAGCATATTAATTCATAAGAGCAATATTAAATTTTTTTTTTTTTTTTTTTTTTTTTTTTTTTTTTTTTAGGAAGAGGGAAGAAGGGGAAATGGGTTTAGTGTCTAATTGATGATCATTTCTTTAGTTAACATTTGGTATTTAAGACATACAGAAAATTTAGTTTCTAATATACCTGACTTGGGTCATCTTTAATTTAAAAACCTTTAAACAGAATTCTCATTGTTTTTCTATTATTTGTGATCTATATCTGATTAGATAGATGTGATTCTATTTTTCAATTTCTATGAGAGTAATTTGTATTGACTTTTAATGTCAGATGTTTTATAGACTCTTACATCATCAGTTCTCAGTGTTCAGATTTCTTGCTATTCCAAAACAATAATAGCATTTGTAAGTATGTTTTTTTCTGAATAATCATTTTCTTTTTTTTTCAGCTGGTATTCTTATTTTTTTTATTTACTTTTTTGGTATTGTCCAAAAGTGGATCAAGGGGAAAGTTTGCATTTATATTCTGTTTGTAAAGTTTTCGCCTAGAACTTAACTGCAAGTGGAGGTCATGTCTGCTACACAGAAAAATTTCAATATACAGTGCTAAAGTTTTTTTTCTTCAATGATACAAGACTGAATTAAGATAAGTCTTTGTGAAAAAGAAAAAAGTTTCTTAACATGTTAATATAGATTCAGGAGTATGCAAAAAGATTTAAACATTTTATATATTCATTGGCAATTTTTCTTTTTTTAGATTTTCAAGTAAATTTCATCTTTATTATAAAATACATTTAAACTATCTTTAAACATGCACACAAATATTACATTGAGTCATAAATAATTTCCGTTTTTGTTTATCAACTTTGTTCTTCCAAAAATAAAGTATAATTACATTTTATTTAATTATATATTCACCATTATTTGCGATGACTTGTTGCCACTTATCAGGCGCCTCTTCGATTTCTTTTGAATACAATTCCATAGGTTTTGATACAAAAACGTTTTCAACAATTTCTTGAATCTGGTTTTCATTAGAGAAAGTTTTCCCTCCTGAAAGCGTTTTGCAGCAATCATTAAGGTAATAATTGGTTGGTGCAAAATCAGGTGAATATGACAGGTGGGATTAGAACAGATCAAATGAGTTCCCAAATTTTTTTCCTCTATTATTCTTGCTGTATGCAGCCTCATATTGTCATGGAGAAGAATGACATTTTTTTTCTATTGCCGAGTGCATGGAAATTTTTGACCAAACGATTATGGATGCGTTGCAGCTGCTGGATGGATAAATGTGCATTTTAGTGTTTCATTGAATTTTAAGAACTCTAAGTGAACAATACATTGATTCGACCACACCCAAAATTACCATTCTTCTGTGGAGCTCGGCTTTTGCGGTCAGTTGTGGCGGTTTCCTTGCCAATTCACAGCATTTTGCATTGAGCATTGTTATATATAACTCGTTTTTTGTCAGCTGTTATATATTTAACCCTTTAGCATTCAACATGCTCAAACCCATTTCATAAATATTGGCTCTCAAAGTCTCACTGTTTGTGGTCAAAGTCTCACTGTTTGCATTATTTGCGATGATGACGTCATATATTATGGCAGAGTATATATAGGTCAGGTTGAACATTGAGAGCCGATATTTGCAAAGTGAGTTTAGGTGGGTGGAATGCTAAAGGAATAAGGAATAGATAGGATGATGCATCTATCATTGCAATTGGTTCCCAAAAACAGAAATTATTTCTGACTCAACCTAATATTTATAGACAATTATTATCCAATATAAGCAAAGTACATTCAGTTTTTGCTAGAATTGTAACTTATTCTAGTCATTGGCAAAATGAACCTATAAATTACATTTATAAATTTTTACAAAATTCAATTCTTAATAAACATTGGCTTTCTTTTACATCGTATTTTTTCTTCTTTTATCTTCTTAATTACCTGTGACTACCGCATTGGATGTTTGTTTATTCAAAGTTAGACTAAAACATTGTAGAATTCTTTTAGTTAAAGAGATTTTATTTGTAGACAGTTTACTTTTCTCTAATACCTAGAGATTGCAATCAGAATAAACACATAGCAGATATTAGAAATTCATATGATTGAAATTATTAAAATAATAAAGAAGCTTGCTTTCTACATTTAGTAACAGTCTATATCAAGTGCATCATCAATACTTAAGACTTTGTAAAATTAGTCACTGCTATTCACGGATAAATATTTTATTTGTTTCTATCATAATATTCTTGAGTCATTTGAAAAACTTGTGAAGAAGTTATTAATATGAGAATGTGAAGTCAGTGAATCAGTAGCATTTCATTTGATGAATCTTTATGACTTTATTTAAAAGGAGATAAGGGTGTCTAACTAGAGACAGAACTTTTTTGCTAATAAAAATACTTTCTCAATTTGGCAATATTTAACCTTTGTGACCTTCCCCACTAAAAAAAAATATGGTGTATCAAAAAGACAGTTTTTCCCTTGGCACTGCTATTATTTTAAAACATCACTCCTTGGCAATGTTTGAATTCAAGTGATGATTAGAATTGTAATAAAACCTAATTATATGATGAAAATGAATTTATACATTTCTTTTTATTTTTTTATTTTTTTTTTTTATTTATTTATTTTTTTTGAGAATTTTCAAGAAAAATATTAAACACTATTTATTAGATTGTAATATTTACAAGAATGATTTTATATTTACGAAATTCTAAAAACTACAATTGTATTAAAACTAATACAATGCAATATTTATCATTTACCAATTTATAAAGAAATAAATATGAAAACAGTTTTTTATTCATAAATTTATAAACATTTACTAAATTATTAAAAATGTGAACCAACTATAATGAAATCATTATTATTTATCATTTTATAAAGTTTGAATCAATTGGCAATTAGCCAATGTTTTGTCAACCAATCCACTAAAAACATCTTAATAAATAACATTTAATATTTTTATTATAAATTCACTTTCATATGTTTAACTTTTATTACAATTTTAATCATCACTTTTTAAAACAATAGACATTGCTGATGAGTGAAGGTAGTTGAAATAATAGCAGTGTCAAGGGAAAAACCATTCTTTTGACGCTTTTTTTTTTTTTTTTTTTTGGCATGAAAGTAAAACATTGCCCTCAATTTAATATTTAATGAATGGTAAGCCTTCAGTTAACTCTCCTAGTGTTTAAAATATTTTAGATTAATTGTGATAGTATTGTGAACAGTTTTGGATTTAGAAAATCATCTTAAATTTCATGTTTTTTTAGTTAAATACGATGGAAAACTCTAAATCTATGGTAAGTTCATGAAAAAAAATCCTTCCTTTTTGTAAGCTAGCTACTTAAAATTATTAGAAATCAAAACTCTTCTGACACTAAAACTAATGTTTGGCATCATGAAAAAATTAATTTTTCCTATTTTCACTAATGCTATTCATCTATGCAAATTTAACATTTAAATCTACACTAGTTTTCTTTTTCTTTATCTCAATTTATAAATTCTTATGAAATCAGATTCAGTTTGTATTTTTATAAGAATTTTCTAGCTTTTGATATACAAATGTAAGAACATTCAATTTATATTTTTAAAGTATTGACGTTATTTTATGTTTTACATTTTAATAACTTTTAGGGTTTGTAATAAATTAAATCGAACTGTTTGGAATGAAATAGTTTGTATTATAATAGTTAATGGCACTATGGCTGTTGTTGTTTGGCTTCCAAAATGCACATAAGAATGCTTTTTAATAATTTGATGCAATTTTGAGTTTTACATTTCTGAAAAATTCACTAATAATAAATCTTAATAGTGTTCATTCATGATTATATTGTTTAATTTTTATATTAAAAAACAAAATTTAACTTAAACTTGCATGTGTAATAGTTTCTAAATGAGTATTTTGATATATGGTAATTTTTTTTTTTTTTTTTATAATGACCTATAAGCTTGTATGTGTTTGCATATTAATATAAAAATAATCTAAAAATATTTTAATATAAAAAGGGTTTTTCATATTGTATTAATATTTGTTATATATTTAGTCTAATGCAAAATTTAAAGGTTAAATACACTTTCTCTTGACATATTCTTATTGTATCTACTAGATTGTTTTTAAATCTCTTGTAACAAAAACTAAAAGATATTTTGCTTGAATTAACTGCAATTTGCACTCAACTTGGTATTATATGCATTGTTCTATTGCTATTTCATAATCAGAAATATTTTGCTTAAAAAAAAAGATGTTTAGTAGATTTTAACTTTTAAATAACTTTTTAATCTCTCATACTTAAGAACTTGTTTAAAAAAATTAATTCCCTATATTTTAAAGTATGTCTCGGGGAAGGAAAAATATTTGATATTTCAGTCTCTGAATTAATCATTTTGCTTAATTTTCACATTACGATTTTCTTTGGGCATGATAGTTCAAGTCAGCCGACATATTTGTTTTAAATTTGTATCAATGCTCCTAAATTGAAGACATGTAGCATGCTTATAAATAACTTTTAGCCAAAGAAATCTATCTTCATGATTAGGCGTTCATTGATAGCCAATATCGAAACTGAACTCTTAAAATGCTTTGCTTTATGTTTTATCTAACTCCATTCCAAACTAACACATAACTACATTCTTCCTATTCTTTCCAGAATTTTCTGTTTTTAAGTGACTCCTTTTCAATCAATTTGTCATTTAAGCAGATCTCTTTGGCTGCAACAAAACTTAATATCAATTAAAGACATGACTGTAGCTATCAATCCTATAAATTTGTCCTCTCGACTTGGGTTTATATATCCCACCCACTTTCCTATCGAGACAAGACAGGCATGTATGAGTTCTTTATTTTTCCAAATGTTTTATTTTATTTCTCTATTGTGGATGACTTGTCGGATTTTTGTTTATACTCATGATTGTTACTTGTGTTGGCTGATCATCGTATCATTTTCACTCTTCATATCTTTATTAGCTTATCAAGGCTAATCTTGATTTTCCGGTTGCTACAACAGTCTTCTTTGCTTTCATTGGTTATTGTGTTTCTTCTCATGTCACATACTTTTTAATAATCATTTATATATTTTTAAATAGTTAATATTATCTCCAAAATCTTGTTGAAATATATGAAACGAAAAATATTTTTTAGAACAGCTTGGTTATATTCGATAACCGATGACTGTTTTAACAAAACTCTTTCCTTAATAGTAGTAGTAGCCTTTAATAATAGAAATAGTTTAAATGATAAGAGTTTGACATTTTTAAGAATTCACTGAGTCTGCATAATTTTATGGCAATTTAATTTTCAAATAAGGTGTGCACATGTTAAGAATTGATTTTTCTTTCCTATTTAATTCTGTTTCTTGAATGAAAGTAAAAGTTCTTTTCATCATGCATTACAGAAAAGCTGTAAATCTGCTTTCTTATAATGTGTGAATTCAAGAGTCTGAAATTTAATTTTTTTTTTTTTTTTTTTTTTCTCCATTTGTAGGTACACCCACCATTTGAATTGCATCAATAATATGCAGGCATAATTCTGTTATTTCCTTAACTGGAATATTGGAAAGATTTCAGATTTAAAATTTTGGCCAATTGCCTGTTTGTAATAGAAATTTTGCTTTGTATGTGGATGTCCAAAAATGACAAAATACTTTCTGCTTTTTACTTTGATCTGGTATTAGCTACCTGTCACTGCATGTTGAACATTTTTCATAAATATCCACACACACACACACACACACACACATTCTAACTTGGCACCTATCTTTCTCACTTGTCTTTTAACAAAAATGACAATATTATTGCGAATATTTATTGGTAAATATTCTCAGTTGATAGAAATGTGTTATGTTATTTTATAGAACACTAGTTTTAAATTTTTGGCTATATTTTTGGAATAAGTAAACTGCAATTTTTAATCAGGACATTTACTTAAAAAAATTGTGAGTAACTGAAACATTAAGGTGAAAAGCCCACCAATGTTCAATGTAAATATTCATTTTTATTTATTAAATGCTGTTTAATTACATTATTTTTTTCCTCACAAAGAATGGGTGTCAGGTTGAAATTGCTGCAGAAACGATATTAAAGAAAAATCTCATTTGTAGCTTGTCTGTTAAATTTATTTCCTCTACTTCAAGCTTTATTGGGCATCTAAGTTGTATAGATTCTTTATTCAGTTGGAAATTACATTCTTCTGTTACATCATTTTATATTTTTCTGCTTCATTAGCAGATGATCATCTTTCTTTTCATGCCTGCATTTTATTTCAGCCATTCATTATTCTTTTAATCTTTTCTACTATTTATCATTTTTTTCTGCCATATTTATTCAGTATAGTCAACATGTGATTAGATTCAAAATAACTGAGAAATAATGGCTCTGTTATGTGATCTTAATGATTCTTAAAACAGTGGCAGTTAATTCTGCTGCAGAATTTACTGATTGTCTGTATTAGTTTTGATTTTTGTAATTGTTGAGTCTACAATGTCTTTCAATCAAATTGTTTTTTCATTTCTGTCTTTATCTCTATTGCCAACACCTATCCATAGCCCAATGTTCCAGATTTCTTGATTTCTTTCTGTACCTTTTTTTTGTTTTCATCCTATCATCTTATTCATCATTGTTCATATTAAGTTACGCCTATGCTTTTGTCAGAAAATATTTCAGTTTTTCTGACAAACTCCACTGATTTAGAGTAAATCTCATCTCTCTTTCATATTTATTTTTTTTCCTGTTTTGCTTCTCTTTCAAACCTGAAATTGCAGCTCAAGTAAGTTATTTCTATTTCACCCTCCTTAAAAAGAATACCAACAAATTAGATATGAATTTCTTGAATGTGTTGTGTGGAATCTAAGTTTAAATGACTGTAATGTTTGTATTATTTATTTATTTTATTATAAATAGAATTTGAATGAATGAGAAACATCTCTGCAAGTAGCTTTGGATAAATATGTAAGTGAAAGCTGGGGTGGGATCTTTACTAATATTGTTTATTTTTGAACTATAAAAAAAATGTTTGTAAAAATACTTATGCTGATTAATTAATTTAATCAATCAACTAAAAAACAAAAAAAGAAATATCTATTTTTGAGTGCTGGTGTTGACTATTTCATAAATATCATATTTTTGAAGAAATATGATGTTTTGTATTGTTTTTTTCTTTTCTCTAGGACAATAATCCATTTAGTGAAGGCTATCAAGAAAGGGAGCAAATGGAAAAGCAACGGGAGCAACAAGAAAGGCAACGCCTGCAACTACAGAAGCAAATAAAACAACAAAAGGCACTTCAGTCTGAACCAACAAATGGTAAATTTGAAGGTTATTGCATCTCAAAATTCTTTGCATATTCTATGTGCCATGTCTCTTCAGGTCGTGGATGATCATATCTCTGCACAACTTCTTGTCTTTTGGTGTTCTAAGTAATTCTTTTTCATTTATGGTACACTTATTCTGGCCTTCATTTATGCAAACTTGGCAGACTTACTCAAAATATTAACCTCTTTATTTTTATTTTTTTTTTTTGCTTTCAGTGTGTTCTGTGAGTGTTAAACTATCCAACCCACTTTTCCTATATCTGAAAAAATTCAGTTGTACCTTTTTGATTGTTAGCAGAGTTTCTTTGTAATTCTTATTTCTCTTAAAACTTACACATTTGCCATATATCTTGGTCATAGTATTCTCCTCAACATTTGTCAATAGAAGCTCATCTTTGTTGCCTCAGGTCTTTTCTTCATCTATGAGGAAATTGTCCAGTATTCGCTGCTATATAATAGGTACCCCAAATTAAAATTTTATTTTCAATATATCTGAGAACTTTTAATACAGGTGTAAAGAGTTTGACAAAAAATAAAAAAAATGATACCAAATTTATCTTGGTAGCTCAATGAGCAACCAAGTTATGACCACACAAAGTTGGTCAGAAAATCTTTTATCTTGTGTCCTATTGGGTTAGAAACCAGTGTATAACTGAAGATGCAGGCTTCAAACAAGTGAAAAATCATTATAAAGGTAATGTCATATAAGTAGTCTTAAAGTAAAATAAAGATAATTCTAATGGAATCAGTAATCATTAGATTTGACCATTAGGGAAATTTATCTTAGAAATGAAATGGTTAAAAAAAAAATGAACAGAAGAGTAATTCTAAGATCATATAAGTTTCATTTCAATAGTTAATGCCTTGAGATTTCCTGCTATGATTCATAGCACAACAGAGATGAAGTTAAATATCTTTGACAGTAGGGTAAAAACAAATCAAAAGTATATTGTCTTGAACCTGCCATGAAAAAGTATCCATTGAAAGTATATGCCTGAAACTTTACTAATTTTGAGATGAAGGATTTCTCTGTGATATGAATATTTTATGTTATAGATGTATCTAATTTTGGAAAATTTTGTGAAATGCAATTTTTAAATTGTCAAAAAAAAAAAAAAAATTAAAAAGGGGCAGTACTTATGAATTTTTCATGAAATGAATTACTGGTCAGTCCTTAAACAAAAATGTTTATTGTAAAGCTTTAAACTCATTGGAACTGATTAAAAAGACTTTCTGGACAGTTGGAATGGCCCTCCTACATTTCCTCTTCTAATGGTTTACAAGCCTCTGCTATAGTTAATATTCCTGAAACACTCCATATCCTTTTGAAAGTGGTATTATATCAAACTCCTTCCTAAAGACAAATATTGACACCACTTGTGCAATATCATCCAACAAAGACAATCAAAAATAAACATTTCTGGCTTTGGTTGGAACTAAAATTTTGATTACAGCACTGGATGGAGATGAATATCAATGACTTGGTGAATGTAAAAGTTGGAGTAATACTATACTGCAACCCATTGGCCTTGATGCTTGTAACTGAAGATCATTTGAAGTGCTTTCTTTTCATTACAAATGCTAGAGTTGTTTCACTGAGGGCCTTTTCTTTTTTCCTTTAAAGGTGGAGATGAAATTCCATTAAATGTTATATCACTGTAATGTCTATTCCCTCCATCACACAATTTTTAACTTCATCAGCATATATTTCAAGGAATTTTGGGCCTTCTTCAACCTGCTTCTCCCACTTAGAAGAGAACTGCTCTGTGCATGGAGTCAATCATCTACTGTACAGAAGATTAAATATAAATTTGACTAAACACCCGGAGAGAAATCTCTGTGTGGAAAGCTCTAATACATATAAAAGAAAAAAAAAGAACAGATTTTTGCTGAAAAAAGATTTTATGCTTATTATCTTCCATAATGACTTAAAAAAATTACGAAGAGACTATCATGTGCTTGCAAAAGAACTATAAAATGAATCTATTTTTTATTTTATTTTTTTTTTTTAACAATTTCCTTTTAACATCTGAAATAGGACTTTTTTTAACAATTTCCTTTTAACATCTGAAATAGGACTTAATTGCTAGGATTAGTAAACAAATAATCATTAAAAAGAAAAGGATTATTTTGAAAATTACCTAATGACACCAATATTTTATGACCCATGCACCAAAGTTAAGCTGAAACAGATTTCCAGTTCATTTTTATTTTAATTTTTATAAAATGTGTCCAATTTCATTTTTTAAAAGAAAATGTAAATACATTTTCAATTTAATCTCCAAAATTCCAAGAGAAATGGCCATGAAAACTGGACATTTTTAAAATTCTTTTTACAAACATGAGAGGGCAAAATTTAAAGAACTAAAACATGTTTTTTTTTTTATTTTGTAATATGAATTCTGTTAATTTGTTTTTTTGTTTTTTAAGAAAATGCATCAAAACAGCTGAGACAAAATTGATTTAATCATAACTGTTTGAACAAAAAACAATAAATAAGTACTTTATACAACTTTAAAATGCATCATTAAAGAAAATATACAAAAAAAATTTAAACCATGATATCCAAGTCTGAGTGAAAATGGGGTTGAGTTGTCGATGTTCATTCTCTTGGAATTTTTGTACGAAATGGACGCAATATATCCTTTTTGATTTACATGAAACCGACTGATTATTAAAGTTGAGACATTGATCTACAAGGTACAATTTTCTTCTTTTTTTTTTTTTCTTTTAAGATTTGAATTTTTCTGGTATTTCATATATTAGTTTGAAATATTTTTTTTGTGAAATTCAGTTTCAAACCTTATCTTAAATCCACCAAATTGACGAACACATTTTTTTTTTTTTTTTAAAGCTGGGACCTTTTTAATGTGTACTGAAACGTCAAGTTTAAAAAATTATCACTATGAAATTGTCAGCTTTGAAAATATTGGAAACAGAAATCATTGAGATAGTGACCTAATTTAAAAAGGCATGAATAAAAACTAATCACATACAAGAAAGAAATGTATCTTTATAAAGAGAAGAGATTAAATTTTTTTACATAACTAATTTTTGCAAAAGAGCCTTGAAAATAAAAGCAATATCACCAGTTGAAATTGAAAGAAATTTCACTGTTTTGGCATATTTGGGATACCTACATACATACATACATACATATATATATATATATATATATATATATATATATATATATATATAACTAGCAACATTATTTTTTTAATTTTTTTTCTTACAATATTTTTTGATCTTTTAATATCTTGTTCAGTTTTTGAAAAGTATCCTTCTTCCCTATTCTTATGTGCCTTTGATTTTTTGTTATAATCTCTATTATATGATACCATTATATTACCAACCATTTAAATTTCTGAAGCTGTTTTGATTTTTTATATACCTGATACATAACTCATACTTTGGATTATTCCTATTATTGACAGGCATTCTGCCTTCTTACAGCTAATAGTCCTTTCTTCTTGCTTTCATGAACTACCTTGTCTAATAGTTCTTTGAATTTTCCTACTGAATCTGCTATCAAAACAGAGTTGTCTGTGTATAGCATATGTTATGTCTGTCAATAATAAATTCATTGAGAAAACACATCCTTGTCATATTCTGCTTCCTTTTTTTTCTTTTCTATATTCACTTGTTCTCTCTTTGCATACAATCTGTTTGTTCCCAATAAAGATTAAACATTATTTAGTTATTCTTTCCATGTAGATCAAGCTTTCCTAACACTTCAAAGAATTCTCTGTGTTGCGTTTTTATTGACTACCTTTTTGCAATCTATAATACATATCTTTTTACATTTCCATTGTCCACTGATAAAATTTTTGATCATAAAAATTACATTTTTTTTTTTTTTTTTAATTTTATCATAGTGTCTTGAACAATGCCACTTTATTTCCCTCCTTATTTCTGGTCTAAGTTTTTTTTTTTTTATTTTATGTAAGTTTTAACTTGGCAGCATAGCTCCAACCTCACTGTTTTTTTGCTTTTCATTTTTTATCTCAATCCTTCACCATGCTAGTATTTAAGGATGCTCATTTTTGTTGATTAGAAAAAAACTAAGCTACCAAAAATTTGAAGAATAGCTGTTTTTAGTGTTATCCTTCCTCTCTTGACTGGAAAGTATCAAATTTTGTTGCTTAACAAACCACAAAATCTCTGGGTAAAATTAAAAAAAAAAAAAAAAGCAATAGAAAATAATTTCAATCTGAAAGTGTTATAGAGATAAATCAAAGGATGTGCTCTTTAACTCTTAATTAATAATGAATTCTAGTCTATTCCATCCATAAATGACTAAATTCTACTGAAAAAAGAAATGTTTTTTTTTTTTTTTTTACCTTAAAATCAATTTTGTAATCTACAGTGTCATTCTCTGCTTGGCTTGGTTACAACAAAGAAACAGTACATATATTCTCTAAAGAAATAAGTAAACTTTTCTGGTTTTGTTTACTTTTTTGCAATAATGTTTTTACACTAATTTAGTAAAAGGAATGGTAAAGATAGATCAGGTGTTAAAATTTCCAATTGTATTGGATAAATCTAATATAATTATTTATATCAGTACTTATCTTTTATTTCAGATAAACCTGAAGCTGTTCGTCAGGTCCCTTTTTTCAGTGATACCCAATTGATATATGATCCTAAACGGCCAATATCTACTGTACCCCCAGAAGGTCATATTGGGTCTCTTATTGGTGAGCAAGTACCCAGATATGTTGGACCTCGATTTCCTGGAGATCAACTACCAGCACAGCCTCAACCTCAACCTCAGCCTCAGCCTCAACCTCAGTCCCAGCCAAGATTTCCTGGTATGTTACATATTTTCAAGAAACATGTTTTTTGTTGGTTGTTTTTCATACATTTTGGCCTCCTCCTTTTTGTGTGTTGGACTCATTAGGTCTGTGTTTGAAATGCTTAATATATATAGTCTTTAATATTTACATGAAAGTTTGATTTTGAAAAATATGTCTGAACTTAAAAGAGCTTGAAAATGTTAGATTTTATTTTTATCTATCATTTTCACATTTACATTGACTACTCTTCATCCAATTAGTTTTTTTTCTTTGATTCATTGAGAATCATAGTCTGTGTTTGTTCAAATTTTTTTTACATAAATAATAAAAGTAAAAGTGAAAATAAGCTAATTATTTTCTTTTATGGCAATTTCAGTAATTTAGTTTGCTCTTACGTTGCTTTCTGTTGAATAAGCCTTTTCAATAGCTTTGAAATCACTTAACATAATTTTGATCACCACAGCAATTTTATTAAGAATTTATTAGAAAGTAAGACATTTTTGGCATAATTTACTCAATTTAACTAATTATGGTTTCTATAACATTAATATATTTCACATTCTCTACTCAGATACTCAGTTCATATAATCTCCTGTTTAGTTTGCTTTGCATAATATGGATACCAAGTTAATGTTTTGCATAGATTATATTATTTTTATACTGTTATCATACATTAGGCTATATTGATTCAAATAATGATTTTTTTTTTATCTGTATAAAAGCTTGACTCTTAAATTAAAAGTAAAGCTATTGAGAAAAATTGTTTTGCTGAATAAAACTTTTCTAAAATATTTGTGTTGTTCAAATTAAAATATTACTAATAATCATAATAATGGCTAGAGGTATGGCTGAAAGCATTTAATCCCTAACATTTGGACAATACCTACACTCATTGAATACAAACATACATTGTTTTGTATATAAACAAGACAAATTTAAATTAAAAAAGAAAAATGAAAACAACATTTCTTGTCTTTGATCTTTAACAAAACATGCATTATATAATCAGAACAGTTGGAAGAGAATTTGACTGTTTTAGTTGGAACTTTGATGAGAAGACTTGTTAATTTTAAGATTATTTTTAACGTATCATAAGATGGCATGATTATAACACCAACAGACCTCTTGTTAACTTATATAAGTTTATGTAGTTAAGTCAATTAAAAACTAGTATATAAAAATATTTTTTAGTTTCCTATATTTTTCCAGGGATAAAAGAAAAGTAAAATTTTTAGTACTTTATAGTTTGTTTTAGTTGCTGCACCTCCCAGCGGCGTTTTGCTGAAGGAAAGCTTCAATTTTTCCAGATGCTAAATTGACTTTTTTTTTTCTTTTTCTTTTTGTTAGAATTTTGGCTTTGTTCTCAGTTGTGATATAGGAGTGATTTCTTTCTTTTAGTTTCTCATCATGGTTTTGACTCCACTAATATTCATCTCAAACTTCCAATACAAGATCATGGTATGGCATTGTCACAATTGGCTATGAAACAGAATAGACCTTCAGTGCCTCCAGGACATGCAACACCTGTTTATTTAATGAATCCCCAGGTTGGAGGCACTGCCAATTTCATGCCAGGTTTGTGATCTTCAAATTGTCCTCAGGTTGCTAAGCCCAGTTTTAGTTAGTACCTGCTGATCTATTGTTCTATGATGACTAGTTGCTTTTTAAAATAAACTTGAAACTATAAAAATGACTGCATGCTTTTATGTTGCCCATTGGTAGAGCTGAATCTCTTGTAGTGTAACTGTTCGTTCCTATCTTGTAGTAATTTATTGCTGTATTTTACTTCGTCAGGCTGTCAAATGTATGTTCTCTTTGACAAACTTTGTGTAGGCTTCATCCATTGTGTATTCTGTTGTTAGAATGTAAACTGTCAGATATTTCCCCTCTTGAGAACTGTACAAAACTGCTTGATGTTGTAGCACGTTACATGAGCCATGTTTTTGTTAAAATTATCTTTTTTACATTAAATTTTCCTGTGACAATTCAGTCATAAATATTGTAAATGTTTTCTAATTTTCATAGTTTCAGGTGAAATATATACTTTTTGTAAACACATGCCAGTATTAACCCAAACCTCTTAAATCACTGCTGTAATCATTTTTTTTTTTTTTTTTTAAAGATTTTTTTCTTTTATAATCATTTTTTGTTAGTCTCTCAGCTCTTATTGTGTTTTGGATGTTTGCAAAACATCATTCATGTGGTTACTACCTGACATAAATGTTAGTTTAAATTTTATTAGGTAATAAAAGAAAATTGCAGAAATACACACAGGTTTCATGTGAGAATTTGCTTGAAATAGACTCTATATTAACAAGAGGAAATAGAAAATATTTCTAGTTTTGATATTTTCAACATATCTTATTTTTTTAATTGGTCATAAACACCATTCCAAGTCAATCCAAAATTTGGCAAAAGATATCAGTTAAGTTTCTTTCCTATTACTATTTGGTATATTCCAATAATCAAGAAGAAAAGGATAAATAAATGATCTGTAATTATTATGTTCAAGGAAGTCATTTCAATCAAAAGTTACTTTACTAGGATGTGTACCAAAATTCCTAGTAAATTTGATTGCAAAAGTTAAATAAAATGAATTATATTATTTTTGTAGACACATTTTTATACATCTGATCATTTCATATTGGGAAACTGCTGGAAAATAGTATAGAACCTGCAGAGTTTATTTTGTTTTTTTTCTTTTATTACATGAAAACAATTTTTGCAAGCTCAAACAGCAGTATTTCAATTATTACAGAGGTTTACCAGAGTGGGATGGGTAATTGGGTCTAATGTTCTATGGTTATTTAGTCATATATGTAACTTATTGAATTTAGTGGGGCATCCATAAAAGTAAACAATTTGTGTTATGAGAAATATTTGTAATAAAGTAACAATTATAATGAATTAATTTTATATTTAATATTTTGATGTGGACACCCATTTTTCTAAAAGCAGTAGCAGATATAATTGAATATTCTTAATGAATGCTTGGTTTTTTATATCCAGTGGCATTAATATAAGTTCTAATTGAATGTGAATTTTTTAAGGAATGGTGAGAAACAAATTGCTATTGATAATTTTTACATGGCTTTACAGTTAACGATGATAACTGTAAAACCCTATAAAAAGGTTTATAAATGTTTTTGCTGTAATTACAAAGGTGAGTGAAACTGAAATTGTATGACTAAAAAGAGATGAAATTTTTATGTATTTATTTTTTTTTGCCTGGGTACCTATGTTAGTAGATGATAAATGTTTATCCCAATAACTATCTTTATATTCAAAACACTGTCCTTGGAATAAAAAAAAATCAATAAACTTTAATATTTGTTTAAAGCATATACTATCTGCAAAGATCTTGTCATAGCAAAGTAGGTAGTATGCATTTTGATTTTGGAAGGCTTTTTACATTTTCTGAAACCAGATAATTGTGTTAATGTTTTAAATAAATAGACCATTTTGTAGAAAAGCAATCTTGGGAGCTTGTACTTATAACAACACAGACTATGTTGAAATAAATTCTCATGAATCTTGTGAAATTTAACAAGATATCAGTATTAATGGACAGATAATATTCAACATTCTTATGTTGCTTAGTATTTAGAAGGGCTTGTAGTAAATAAATTGTTTTTGCTGTATTTTAAATGTATTTTGCCTTATTGTAACCCAATAGGCAAATTTGTCTAGATATTTTTAATGCATGTGCAGTTATAAAATTCACTAATAGGTTTCTCTATCGTTTATAAAATGTCTACCACAATGGCATTCAGTCTTTAATTGATAAACTTTTCAGGCTATTCTTGCTTTTATCCTGAAGTTTATTCCCAAGCTGTTTGCTTTCTATCACCCAATAAATCCAGCACAGCTCTTTGAAAAATCACATTTTCACAGGCATGGTAATCACATGATTTGAAGAAATGCTTCATTTTGTCTTTCATTTTTTTGAAGCAAATTTGATAGTTTATATAGGAACACCTTTTAGATAAAGTTGTTTTTATACATAAATACATATATACAAGCATGTTTGGTTAAATAATTTAGATGTGTTTATTTTAGTTTTAATCCTTTCAAATCCACAAATTAATTACTTGGTGGCTATAGAAAATTGATTATGAAAAATTAAAAAATTTTCTTTCAAATAATTTTTGTATTTCCAAGTACTTTCAATCTCATCTGAGGCCATCTTTAGGGGTTGCATGTGTTATGTGTTGACACTGTTAATTCAAAATATTTTTTTTTTACCTCTATGCAAGGGAGGTAACTTATGTAACTTTTTAGAAAAAGATTTTTTAATTGTAGTATTTTAATTTAGTATTTTTTATATAGCACTTTGCTGCTACAAACATTTAAGAACTTTGTTGCTATACTCATAGTTGACTTTATTTCTGACTGCAATTTTCTTATATAAAGGGCTTTCAGAATTTTAAGTTTTTACTTATTATTTTGATGAGGCACTGATGTATTTTTAACTAAATCTGTCTAAACTGTGACAGTGGAAATGGGTGTTCCTTTAAATATTATTAGATTGAACTATGATTGTTCAAGTGAAATGTAAGCCTTCTTTTTGTCGATGTTATAAAACCAACATATGTATTAACATTTTTATCAATTTAAAATTGATATATGATGTTGGTCTTTTGTAAGATGCTAGTTGATGAAGAAGAGTTGTTATGGATGACTAGGTTGGCTGTATTAAATTAAGTATAGGATGTAATTAATTTCATTTTTTTTTACTTGGATCAGTGGGGGATATATTAGTGTTTATGAATCTTTTTAGATTTTTTTTCCTTCTGTTTATAGTTAGAATGCATTTAATTATGGTATAGTAGTATGATATGTTTAGAGTTATTTGAGTTATGTTAGAATGAAAAAAATCTTTTAAAACAATCACATAATTTACCTCCCTTGCATAGAGGTAAAAAAAAATTTTTTTTGAATTTACAATGTTAACACATCCATAGATATGCAAACCCTGAAGATGGTCTAAGATGAAATTGAAAGTAGTTGGGGAAAATATTTGAAAGAAAATTTTGAAATTTTTCTTAATCAGTTTTCTACAGCCACCAAGAAATTAATTTGTGGACTTGAAAGGCTAAAATATGTTTAAATTATTTAACCAAACATACTTGGATGAATATATATATATATATATATATATATATATATATATATATATATATATGTAATCATTGTGGTGAAAATTGCATGTTCATTGATAATCCTCTATTTTTCCCTGTACATTTTAAGTTGCTTAATTTTTAACCCTTTCATGTATGTACTCTTTGAAAGGTTATTTGGTTATGAGTGTTTCATTCGTGTATGTACATGTTTTTTCCCTCCATAAATGCATTTAGCATTAGGTCAGTAGCTTTGTTTGTTTCTGATAAAATCTTTTAATTTGAACTAAATATCATACCTTTAAAAATAATGATAGTTTTGATGTTTCAATTAATAATTTGCTTAATGTTAGATTGTTTAACTAATAATCACAATTAATTTGAGTAAAGGCAACAGTAACTTTGGATTCTAAATGCTTATAGTTTCCTATTTAGTATTTGTGAGTCTGATTAGTTACATAAAGAGTTTTTTTAAGAATACACATTTTGAAAAAGCTTCAAAAATTGAATGATGCCATTTATTAATTCTTAGTAAGCATTTAAGCATGAATTGACAGTGTTTTACTGTTGCTCTTCAAATTGAGATACCATGTTTATATATATATATATATATATATATATATATATAGAGAGAGAGAGATACACACATACACATATATATATATGGTGGTAAGATAACAAATAGGAAACGTATATCAACCTAACATGTTTCACTTTTATTAAAGCTTTGTCAGAGATTGAGAGAAAAATTTTCTCTCAATTTCTGATAAAGCTTTAATAAAAGTGAAACATGTTAGGTTGATATATGGATTTGCTATTTGTCCTTTATCTTTTCATCCTCTCAGATTCCGATCTATATTTGATCTGCAACTCATATATATATATATATATATATATATATATATATACACACACACATATACACACCCACATGTTTATACAGCTTATTGTGTGATTATTTCTGAAGCTCTGATTTATTTTAGACCTTGCTATGTCCCTTTTTCTGCCTGCATGCATTCTTCTGCTAACTGGATGGTACGGCTGGCTTTCACAACTCTATTTGTTTAGGTGTCAGTATTTTTATTGCTTTGGGATTTGGGATTCTGATTGCATGTACAATAATTGATACCTATAAAATCAATAGAAAAGGTTATGCCAACAATTCTTTTTGACTGAGACATTATTTTCAAAGACCTGTCTTTACAATCACATTAAAAAAAAATAGATTCTGAAAATTAGTAACACTTTTCATATAAGCAATTTTGAAAGTATAGTAGAATTGATATAAATGCTAGATGCCTTTTACATTACAAATAATATGTCATTACTTTAAACTTTTTATTTTAGTGAATACATGTTTTTTATAAACTGGGAATTACATCTACCTGTCTGAGTATTTGAGAGACATAATAAAAGAAAATGTGCCATATGGCAGACATTTTAAATTATTTTATTTTTGCTTGAGGAAGCACTTAAAAAGAAAAAAGAATTTTATTTTGTACATTCATGATCATTATAAAATAAATATACAATATACAAACTTTCATAAAGTCATACAGAAGAGATTTCTAAATAATAGCTTTTTGCTTAGTTATCACTAATACTTTTCTCCTTTTACTCATGTGTTGACAAATTTTAAAAATATTAAGTTAATTACAGCCTGAATTAAAGTAGATTTAAGAATTTATATCCTGTTCATTACTTCAGTCATAGTCAAGTATATATCTTGTTTTAGATGATAATTTTGAATGTAAACCTGGAATAACATTTGTCTTATTTGCCCTTCACATTTAGTCATATTATATGTACTCACACTTATGGTCAATTACTAGAGCACTTACAACAGTGCAGTGGCTAGTGAGTTACAGTGAATTCATTCTTCACTGGATGCTTCATAGATCTGACTTTGTACCAGAATTGATTTTGTCCAACAAATATTTAATTACTAAAAAATTTTCAAACTCTTTAAATATTCTCATTGTAATATCCTAAAATTTTATGTAAACAATAAATTTGTAAAGTTTTTTTGTTTTTTTTTATTATCTCTGATTCAAAATGATATTTTTAAGATGGGAATTGTTTTCTGAATTTCTGAGACAGTTTTTTGATTTTAAATTATTCTTTAAAATACAGACTTCTTTTTAACAGGTTCAGCTGATACAGTCTTTGACTTTCTCCAGTTGTATGCTGTATCCAGCTTTTGGAATTGAATTTATGCATATATACATATAAAAGATATCTGACAAATAGTGAAAAAGAGAAAATCTTAATGATGAATTTCGTTCTGAAATGGAGCTTCTTCAGACTAATAGGAGTTTTATCAATAGAATCAAAATCTTGTATATAAAATTGAGTGAAGGTGTGAAAGGATGGAAACAAACTGTTGTTAAAGTTTACATCAAAACATTAAATAAAGATACAGACATATTCAGCTTTAAAATTTAATTTTAACATTCAACGTATCTAGATGTTTAACTTAGTTAATCTCCTTTATCTTTTTATTACTTTATTTTTTTTTAAAATAAAATTAAATAAAAACAAGTAATAGGCTTTCTTTTAATTAGATATTTATCTCACTTTAATATATAAGACTGATTCCATCAATAAAACTGCTATTAGTTGGTACAAGTTCCTTGTAGAAGCAAAACATGTTACTAAGAAGTTTTCCTTTTTATTATTCATTTGCCCATCATATATAAAAAAAAAATCTTAACTTTTCCTTCTTCCTTTTCATCTCTTCAACTAAAATGGAATGTCCTCTAATTGAGCTCTTTCATTGGAAGTGTTGATGAATTCCCAGTGCTATATACGGTAACATTGAGTGTCAAGGTCTTGTATTTATGAGAGAACAGAATCTGTCTTGGCTGATTAAAAGACAGCTTCCAATCCCACTGATTCTCTCTCTACCACACAACATTCATTCCCAGACTCACAGGACTTGTCAGTTCTAGTAAGAGAGATGATGATGAGGAGGAAAAGTGGAGGAGGAAGTATTAAGTGAATTTTAAGGACCACATACAACACACACCTGAGAAAGATTGAAGAATGCATCAAAAACAAAGATGGGGATAGCAGTCCAAATAATAGGTAGAATAATTACTATAGAATTATGGATATGAAAGACAGATTTTCTGAAAATTTATTAATTTCTTTATACTGTACATTTCTTATTTATTTCTGTAATTTGATTTTAAAATCTATGCAGATATGATAGGTAATTTAATTAAATCATTTTAGATAATTGAAAGATTTATATCTTAATGATTTGTTGCTTTTGTCAATCAGTTGGTATTTTTTAATACAAATTGAATAATTTTTTTCTGGCATTAAGAATTGTTGGTGCTTGCATGTATAAAAGACAGATTTAAAGAAAAAAGTGAAAGTTTAGTCCATCTTTCCTTATAACTGGGTTTCCATTAACCTGGGTGTCTGTCTAGCAACATCCAATTAGCAGGAGCAACAGCTGAGCTAATAAGCTTTTTTAATTTGGTGTGGAGATTTGTGATGTTCCCTTGAGAAAACCAACCACTGCTCTTCCAGGCTTTGGTATCCCTCCCCTGTGTCAGCAGAGCTCTGAGCCAACACCGGCTTCTACTGGGCAAGTTACCCCAAAGGAAAAGCCAAAAAAGCGCAAGAAGAAAACGAAAACACAAGATGGAGGTAGTAATCCAACCTCGCTTTGGACTTTTTTTTTAATCCTCCTCCTCCTCCTCCAGCTGCTTTTGCCTCCCACTGCTTTTATGAAATCTTCACTTATCAATTTTTCTTTTCTTTTCTTTTCTTTTTTCTTTTTTTTTTTTTTTTTGTTTAAAATGTGTGAATTCTCACACTCATTAATAATGGAAGCTGCAAAATATTAAGCCCTATGGAATGATGCTTATTCTATAGAATTTCCTTAAACATTTATCTTCTCTGGATATTCATACTTGTCTTTTATGGATGCAACTAGTTTTCATTATGCTTGAATAATTTAACTATTACAGACAAGTAAGCATCAACAATAAATACTTATAATGAAAGTATAAGATGCTATTTAATATGAATTTTAATTTTATAATGTATCTAATTTCCAAATGTTTATCTTCCTGTAGGTTTTTATAAATTACATCTTGTATGAAATCTATTTAGTTAGAAAAATATTTGTAATTTTGACACCTGTTGAATTATTTTAGGTACTGTTTTTTTGCTAATTTTAGTTGTAACTGACACTTTAATTCTTTGTTTGGTCATTGTTAATCGTAATTAAAATAGAATAATTGGGAAGTTCATTAATCTGCTTAAATATTTATTTGAAGTGAACCATTTTATATTATTTAATTTATTTATTTATTTTTTAACTTACTATTGATATATGCTTTGCATTGCTTTTATATCTCCTTGATACAAGACATGTAAGCTTACTATTTTTATTTGATTATATAACATAATTTTACATAAGGACAATATATTTCATAACTTTCATTAATTCATTCATTTCATTAGTTACAGATATTTTTGTTTCTTTCAAATACAGTAGACTTTTCAACATCAAATGTTTTCTTTTGTTAAAAGTTCAATAAATTAATTTTTAATATACTTGTTTTTTTATAGTATTTTGTTTATTGATCCTTCATCAGTTTCAGTGTGATTTCTATTCTTCCTCTGGTTTCAGCAAATAGGTCTAACTATGAAGTTATAAACTGATTTTGATTTTCAGAATTTATTTTTTAGTAACTGAAATATTTCAAATCATTTAACAGTGTTTAAGTTACTTCAAATTGTTCAGTTGTTCTATAGTTTTCCTAATTGGTATTTCGAGAGTGAAATGTTTCCAGTGATAGCTGTTGTTATTGTTAGATTATCTGTATGCTAATATTTGTGTTAATGATATGAAAAAAAAGTAATTTATTTTTGTGTTTGCTTGTAAGATCATGACTTGATTTAAAGATTTGTCACTATACCTGTGTTTATATGATTCTATAAATGTCTTGATTGGTCATTTTTGTTGTTTGAATGTAGAAAGAACATTTTTAAGTTTGCTTTCTTTTTTTTTTTTTTTCCTTTCTTTCTTTCTTTTTGGGTTATCGATACTGTAATACGTAATCCAGATTTTGTTATTATTGAAGTAGTTTGCAGATTTCAGTTTTTCTTTTTATATAGTTGTCTTTTCTTCGTTGGATTATTTTTTTATCACTTTCTAAATTACTGTAGTCCTTGAAGATTTAAATAGAATATTCAACATCGTAATTTATGTATACTTTTTGATTAAGTTTCTCCATAATATGTTCTTTGGAAATCTTTAAAAAATCATGTTACTTAAGTTGTGTTGCTATTCTAAACTGATATTTTTAACCTCCTCAATGTTAAACACTAAAAAATCTAATGTCAACCTGTTTCCTCATAGGAATGGGGCAAACACCTGGAAATTCACCTGGTATGGGTAATGACAATTCATCTGGATCTGCCAAACCCTTTAAACCACCTATGGAGCTGAATTTCAAACCCCAATCTGAAACTGAACGAAGGATCATAGAAATTCTGTACAACAATGTGCAACTTCAGAAGGAGGAGCAAGCTAAGCAACAGCAACAGCAGCAACAACAGGGAAACAGTGGTAAAAGTTCAGGAAAGGCTCTAGTATCTAATGCAAATGCAATCAGTCGTCAAAGTAGTACAGCACAGGCTACAACACCTCCATCCTCATCCTCTTCTTCCTCCTCCTCCTCCTCCTTATCGTCATGTTCATCTTCTACAACTGGATCTTCAGACATGGCTCTTCTGAGTTCCCACTCAACATCTACACAGTTCCAGCAGCAGCAGTTCCTTCAGCAAAATGCTTCACAGCCACCATCCACCCTGGCTGCTGCTGCTGCCGCTGTTGCCACTCCTGCACTGTCAATGCCATCTTTGGCGCCACCTTTGCCAAAATCACCTCCACCATTACCTCCACCATTGCCACCTTTACCACCGCCACCACCACCCCCCCTTCCTCCTCCAGAATACTCTCCACCTGCTGCTACTTCATCACAAGTCTTGCAGCATTCCAAATCTCTCAATGGTCAAGAAGTGGACACTAAAGTCGGTTTGACATCATTTGTGTCTAGCACACAACAGACTACTTCATCCACTTTATCTGTTGGCAATGCTGGGGGGATAGGTTTGCTTAGTCCCACTGGATGTGAAACCAGCACCAAGGATTCCATAAACAAAGGTCAGTTGTGTCAACACATAGGAAAGTATAAAAGTAGGAAGACAATAGCATTTTAGAAAGCTTTGACATTCAATGACCACAAATAAGGAATTCTTTAGAAAGTTTTCATATTAGAAAGACTAAATATATAGTGTATGAAAAAAATGTGTGCAACACTGAATTACCAGGAATTAATACACACACACACAAGTGGGTACTGAAAAGTTCTCAACCTGACAAAGCAGGTATTTCTCTTAAAACTTTGATGTTTGGTCATTTGATCAGATTTGGGGAAGTGGGTTAGGTCAAGAACTTTTCAGCACTCCCTCATTTCCACCACACACACACACACACACACACGACTGTTTATATATCTTCTGGCTTTCGCTGTTTTCCCCAAAATTTTCTTTTTTTAAAAAAAAAAAAAAAAAAAAAAAACTTATTTTTGTAGTTGATAGTGAAGTATAAATTTAGAAGATAATTCTTTTTTTCTTTTTTTTTTTTTTCAAAAGTGTATTGAAGTGAAAAATACAGGATAAACACTGAATAAGATTATTTTTGGTGTTTTGAGAACAGTTTTTAGCAGCAGTATTTGCTAATAATATGTACATTTTAAGTACTGCTTATTTACCTCTGGACTTGACAATTTGATAACTGCTCAAAACTAATGTGATAACATAGATCTGGCATATGATACTTAAAAACGCCAACAAATCATTTACATTTTCCTATTACCATTTTTTGCATTTGCTTAAATATTTAGTTTAAAATTAATGTAACCTATTTTTATGATTTGAAAATAGTGCTCAGTATTCTGTTTGGCATATATCTTAGGCTAAAAATTTGTTCGGCTGATAATTTTATGCATTTTTCTTAATAGAAACTAACAATCCATCATAATTACTAAACAACATACCATTTTATATTTTTTTTATTTACTATTTTAAGGATGCTCAATCAGATGAGTTTTATATTTGTTTCATCCTGAAACAGAATTTAAAATAGCTAAAATACAAAATATAAAATTTAAAAGTTTTTTTAAAATTTTAAAACTGTTCATTAAATGATTTTTAGTTAAAGAATATATAATTGTTATTATATAGATATATTTCAAATGCATTTTTAAAAGTAATATTTAAAATCAAATTTTAATATGTAATTAGAATATTATTAAAAAATAAATAACATTTGACAAAAACAGCAATGTAAAATTTAATAAAAATAGTAAATAGTTTGTTTTGTGAAGTGAATATTTCCATTAAAAGCACTTCACTTTGACTTTATTTTTTATATTTTTTGAGAGAAAAAAGGAAGTAATTTGTATTTTTTTTATATTTATCTTTTTATATTAATTTCTTTCAGGTGGCTTAACACATTTTAATGTTACCTCAAACTCAGGTTCTCCAGTTGTATCTAATTTGCCAAGTACCACACTTTCACATGCTCACCTGCAGCAGCAGCAGCAAGTTGTGTCACTTGCTTCAACTTTCAACATTAAAAAGGAACCTGAGGATATAGTTTCTTCACTTGGTAGGAAATTTATGTTCTCTTTATTTAACTATTTTGATAGCGACCATATCAGATAGCATAATGGATTATCCCTCCCCCTCCGCCACACCCACTTACATTTATTATAGTATTAGTCCACAGAATCAGGGTAACCTACCAGATACCTCAACTTTGAGTGGAGGAGAAATTTTGTATGTGTGTGTTTTGTTTTATTTATTTATTTTTTGAAATGTGTGCCTTATGCCATCAATATAACTCGTAAACCTTATGGAATTGTATAATGAAAACAATTTTGCATAATTTTAAGTAAGTTGCTTTCTTAGGTTAAAGAATTTTGTAAGTAACACTTCAATATTAAAAAGTTGAAAAATATGTATTAAGAAGAAAGAACTTAATTTAAAACTATTCTACTTGAATACTTTGAATTTGTTAAAATTATTTTATATATGATTTTAAAGCATATTCAGAAAAGATAACTAATATATACAAACTGTAAAAGTAACATTTCTTGAAATATGAACATTCATCATATTTTTTGGTGTTAAATGTTTAATGCAAAGAAAAGCTTAATATTGAAAGTATCGATTTTTTTTTTTTTTTTTTTTAAATAAAATTTTTATAGGCAACCAATTATGTTTGAAATAATCACTTCTATTTGACTTCTTACCATCAATATAGTTTTAAAAATGATAATCTTCATATGTACAAATTATACTGATGGAAATTAAAATTTCAATACCTTGAAGAATGATTTCAATTTTTGCCTAGCTACAGTTTGCATGTTAGTAGTAGATATTCTGATAAAATTTTCAGTCTTTGATCATCTTTTGATGTAGTGACATGCATACTGATGCAGCATCTAAATCTCAGTTTTAGAAGGTAACCAGTACTGCAATATGGTTGATTGTGGCAAAAGTCAAGTGAAAGCAGGTATCAAGACACAGAGATGCACATGTGTTTTTTTGTTTAATTAGTTTTTGAGAAGGGTTGAATTGTGAGTCTTTTAGTGGCTGGATGGTCAATTCAAGAGAATTACTGTGTATGTTGGATGTGATTGTGTTGTAGAGATGAACATACCTCTCCAGAAGAGGACTTGGGCTCATCCAAATATTTATATTAGAGATCTAGCTTATCTACTTACTACCTATTTCAGCAAGACTATGTTGACTTCAAGTGACCTACTACTTCTTGATTATGTTATCTTAATTCAATGCAATGAAGATATAAAAGAGGTGACAAGAATTCAAATTCACATGAAGAAAAAAACTTTGTTTCCTCTTGCTTAGCATATATAGCTTGTGAAATTCAAAATTCATGGAAAAAGATTTTGGTGGAGTTTGTATATATTCATAGCATTATGCGGAAGTCGATAAACTTCTGTATGATATACTGCTATTAGGGGGGAAAAAAAACAAAACTTTTCTTCCTAGTTAAGGACTACTTGTATGAACATAATATACCATGGAAGAATTGAAGATATTTATTCAGCAACTAGTACAACAGATGCAATGGGAGTATATTGAATATTAAGAACAGATAAAAGCAAAGAACAGACAATGCATCAATTTCATTTTTGCCTGATTCAGTTGCTAACACAATTAGTGAATTTAATTATGTCCCAGAAGAAAACATTACATTCCTATTGTATTTTGGAAGGTATGAGACCATTTTCAAAGAAGAATGTCAAGGATGGTCAGATGAAAAAAAGTATGAAAATTGTGCCCCACTGAACATGAAAAATATCTGAATTTCATTTTGCCAAAAACTTTAGAAAAACTGTCATTTAACGAAATTGTTGATATTATTGAAAATCTTTGGTGAAAAGAATTCACTGTCTTATACATGATGGCAGTGCAAAAACCTTAGTAAAGATGAAAGTGAAGATTTTGTCACATATGCCAGTAAAGTCAACTCTGAGTGTGAGAAATTTAAACTAGATGAATTTATCCCCAGGCAGATTTAAATGTCTAATTTTTGTTAAAGAACTGACATCAAGCATCAATGTGGAAATATGCTCTCAAATACTCACAAAACTTGAACAGGATTCAAAGTTAATACAGACTATTGCGGAAGAATGCCAAAAATTTGTCCATTTAAGGCATGGTTCAGTGAAGACTGAGCAAAATGGCATTTTAGAATTACAAAGTTCGAAAAAAGACAGTAATACCAAAAGAAAAAATTCAAAATAAAAATACTGAAAAACTTAACCTATGCTATGGCCATGGCATGCTTCATCTCAGAAAGAACTGTCCATTTAAAGCCAAAAACTGTTTTACTTGTGGAAAAACAGGTCACAAATGAAGCTACTGCAAGTTGAAAAGCAAAAGAAATATACAAATGCTTGCTGAAAGTAGTGATACCAACTAAAAAACTGGAAAGTTCAAATAATAGAAAATTTGTGACAGTACAAATGAAAAACGCTATGGTGAGTTTTCAATTGGTCACTGGTAATATTATGATTATTGATGAAAATTGACAAGCCTAACTTGAGAAAAACTCACAAAGTTGCAAGAGGAATATCTGGCAAGAAATTAATTTTCCATGGTAAATCACATGTAATGTCACCCTTCTGGGTAAAACTAAAAAAAGCAGATGTTTATGTACTAAAAAATTCCAACTTAAATTTACTAGGTGTCAATTGGCTAGAATTATTTGAACTATACAATTGATTAATTCATCCTGTGGGAAAATTGATTGTTTGTCAGAGAAAAAGATTACAGCTAAAGATACACTGAATAAACTAAAAAAAATAAATTCACAAATATTTTCTCAGAGGAGTTGGGAAAATGTACAAAGTCAAAGGCATTTTTTTAAATTAAAGGAAAATGTGATCCCAGTGTTTAAGCCTGAAAGAAAGAGTCTATTAGCACCGAACTGGACAGGTTACAAAACTGCAGTTATTGAAAAAATAGATTATTCTGAATGGGCCGTGTCAGCAGTTTATATTAGAAAGAAAAACAATAAGATTTATTTATGTGAAAATTTTTCAACTTGAATGACCATCTTCTATTACATGTATATATCCTGCCAACTCCAGAGGACATATTTGCTAAATTAAATGGGGGAAAATTTTTTTCAAAAATTGATCTATCTGAGACATTTCTTCAATTTGAAGCTGGTACAGTGAAAGCAGTTGCTCACACTTCAAGAAGTTTGACAAACATGGAAAAATGCTACAGTCAAATTCAAAAGGAAGTGCTTGCTGTAATTTTTGCTGTAAAGAAATTTCACAGGATGATATTAGGAAGAAAATTCATACTTCAAACCATTAAGTATATTCGGTTCTGAAAAAGGGAATCCTATGCATACTGCAAACTGACTGCAGTGTTGGGTTAAAATTTTATTGAACTATGATTTCAAGATGGAATTTCTATCATCAGAGAAATTGGGACATGCAGATGGCTTATCCAGATTGATATTGAAATGTAAAGCAAAATTAAAAGCCTGGTGTGTAACACTATTAAAGAATTGCTGGTCATGATAGACGATATCAAAATTAATTCTAAAAAAGATACATTTATTCAAAAATCTATGAATGACGTTAAGCCAAACTGGAGTGAAATTAAACCTACTAACAATAGTACAGCATTTTCTATTTGTCATGGAGTAATTTTGTATGTGGATAGACTTGTAGTTTTGTTATCACAACGAAAAAGATTTTAACCTTTACAACTCTGCACTAATTTTCGGAGTTGTATCTCCTGGATCCACATTAATTTTGGATGTGGTAAGTTTTTGAATGGTTGGTATGTTACTAGTGCTAGCTTTTAGGGTTTTAGCAATATTGTTATGAAATTTTCAGGGTATTTGCATGAAAGGATGTAGGAAAATGTCGACATTTTTTTTTTTACTGTACATATAAAAAGTTTTGAGAAAAAAAAAACATGAAAACTAAGAAAAATATGACAATTGATGAAAAACGATTCCTACTCATCACATTGTGAAATCCTTGCATATATAAAAGGGGGTCTGTTGTCCAGTAAGATGAATACGAAGGTCGCTTTATTAAACTTATCGTCAAATCTAGCAAGGCCAGAAATGCTTTAATTTCTTCAAAGCAAACTATTTTCCAAGCTCTGAGAGTTGGGCTTTGCTGTGTCACCTAATTTTGTTTTTACATCATTTACATACTAGTTAATTTCCACTTAATTGAATAACTTCATCAGATAAAAAAAAAAAAAAAAGACAAAAAAAGTCTGTCACTAGTTTCTTGATCAACATTTGTTGGTCCAGGAGTATAGACAAACTTTGGTAGCCATGTGTGTTTGTATGCTTGTGATGATTTGAAAATTCCTCCTTGGTTGGAATCACTTTCAGTTTTACTGTCATGCACATCACCAATATCTGCATGGATAAATCCAGGAAATTCTTCATCGTTGCTCTTACTGTCCATGAAAAGTTCCTCTATTGACATAACAGATCCATGACTTGCCCTGGTGGTCACCATTGTGATTGAAAAATGAATGTTTTTAAAAACACTTTATTAAAATTCACTGATAAAGCAACTATTTCAGTTAGGACAAAGTGGCTGACATCTGGGCATTCCCAGTTCATATCATGAGCTTAATGACGTCATTTCTGTAGTAATAGGTTATTTTTAGAAACATACTTTCCTTTTGAAACATTCGGCGAACATGTCCACCCGGGGAATATAGAGAAAGAGTATTGCTAGTGGATATATATGCCTACAGAAATGTAAAGGTTAAAACAATTCCACATAGGACATCCAGGAATAGTGAGGTTGAAGTCCTTGATGGGAACCTACGTGTATTAGCCAAAGTGGGACAAATATATCCAGAATACAGTTAGAAAATGTAATGGTTGTAATTCAGCAGCAAAATCACCACCTATAAATTATCAGGCATGGCTGAACACTGATAATCAAGACTACATATGAACTTTACTGGACCATTAAATGATCCATACTATTTAATTGTGGTTGACAGTTTCACAAAATGATCAGAGATATTAAAGTGTAAATGACCGACTACTGCAATAACAATTAAATTCTTGCACAAAGTTTTTGCAAGATTTGGAGTACCTGACAGTGTGGTATCCGATTATAGAACTCAATTTCTAGTGAGTTTAAAAATTTCCGCACAAGCTATGTGATTGAACATTTGACAACACCGATTTATCATCTGAGGTCAAATGGATAAGCAGAATGGTTTGTTTCTACCTTCAAAAGAGCATTAAGAAAAGCTAAAGGCTTGGAAGCTGAAGAAACAGCACTACAAGAATTTTTGAGCATGTATTCAATGACATTAAATGCAAAGGTCACCACAAAAATGTCACCCACAGAATGGATAAGCAGAATGGTTTGTTTCTACCTTCAAAAGAGCATTAAGAAAAGCTAAAGGCTTGGAAGCTGAAGAAACAGCACTACAAGAATTTTTGAGCATGTATTCAATGAAGTCATGTTTGCTAGAAAAGTTGGATCTATTTTTGACAAATTACTGCCAGGGAATAAGAAGAAATTTCAACAATTTTGACCTACCAGATTATTTAAGATCAATGATAAAGTTTTCTTTAAAAGTTTTAAGGCTGGAAAAGAAAATTGGCAGGAAGGAAAAATTATTCAGTGCCTTGGTAGTATGATGTACATTGTAGAAGGTTAAAAATTTCATCATAAGAGACATATAAATCATTTGAGGTCTAGATATGCACAGAATAAGCAACCAGTACAATTTAATTTATTGATGTACATACTTTATGATACTTTAGAAGTATCTATTCCTAAAACTGAAATTACAATACAATATCAGGGTAAGCAAAAGCGTAATCGAACTGAAATGTTTGAATGTTGGAAAAAGTATCAACTAAGGAAAGTGCATAACTAAAGAGTGGGGTGTTTTGAAGATGAACACAACACTCCAGAATATGACTTGAACTTGTCTAAATGCATAATTAGAATAGTCAGTAGAAGGAGTAAACAAGTAGAGAGTTAGAAATCTAGCTTACTATTTCAGCAAGACAATGTTGACTCCAAGCAACATACTATTTCTTGATTGGGTTATCTTCATTCAATGCAATGAAAACATAACAGATTGCATTTAATATTGGTAAATGAATATTTGTATGGCCACTGGCAGTAGTGGCATACTCACAGTATCTGCAGCACAGTTCAATGCAAATGTGGTCCTTGGAGTGTCAGTATGAACTGTTGGGAATTGTTTACTTGTCACAGAATTATGGGCATGTGTAACACTCACCAGACTTCCACTTTGGCCATAACACTGTAATGCATATCTCCAGTGTTGACAGTGTTATCTGGAGGATTGACTTGTGTTCTATCTTGTTCAGTGATTATAGTCACTTGGATATGTGATGTAGGCTTGGGGACCATGACATGCAGGGCCAACCCCTGACATTCATAATGTGGTATGCTGTAAGTTTCAATTCTCACTTGCCTTTGGTGTTTGAGTGAACATTGAATGCATTGTTCAATCTGTTCTGCTGTCATTTTTTCAACAAGAGAGCAATTTTTTTTGTTCCATTAGGTTAATGTCTGCTTACATGATGCCTGTGGCACTCCACATGGTCTGCAGATATTTGACACTTTCCCTGGCTGAGATTACCAGACCTGTCTCCAACTGAAACTCCTGACTCACTCAGCTCACCTTTAACTGTTGCTGTATTGTCAACAGATGCAAGAGGCATGACTTAATGTATCGCAGGGTGCTATTTGTCATCTATATAATCATATGCATGTGAGAGTAGAGGCTTGTATTAAGATCCAATGAAGTTACAGTGTATTAATCTGGAGTTTAAAGACTGTCAAAACTTTCCTTTATTTTCAAACCTGTGTATGCATTGATCTGTAAATGCGATCATTTATTGTAATTCAATTTATGGAAAGATATTCAGTGTTGCAATTTTATTTCTCAACAAAAGATTTATTTATTTTGTTTTTAAACTTTGATTTCTTTTTTTTTCCCTCACCGCAGATAAATGTGAAGTAAAGAGTGAGCATGAGATTGATGCTGTTGCAAGTTTTGTTGACTCAAAGGGTAACCAGAACGTGCTTCTGAAGCAGTTGCTGGCTTCATCAGCTCACAATCCTGCCAGTGCAGTTGCCGCTGCGGCCGCAGTGGTTGCAACGGTGAACTCTGTCAATAATAGTGCAGCTGTTCAGGCTGCCAACAGTGCGTCGTCAGCCAGCAGCCGCAATGAGGTAATTATGTGCACATTATAGTCACATGTCTGAAAGCTATTGTTACTCAACTCTGCAAATCTATTAAAAAATGATCATTGAAAGACATAAATTTGTTCAATAATATCCGTGACTGAAAATGATGAGACAAATTTATTAATGTACTTATCTTATTGGAACAAAATAGTTTACTTGGAACTGCCAAAAAAAAAAAAAATCTTTTTAAATGTCATAATTTGGTTCAAACCCACCTTTTATTAGTTAAAGTAAGCCTCATTAGAACTGACACAATGTTTCCAATGATTCAGCAGTAAATTTATTCCATCCCAATAAAACTGGGATTATGAGAGTTAATGAAGTGCTAGAAGGCTTTTTTAACATTGTCTTGTTTATGCATCTAAAGCCCAAAGAAAATAGTAAAGTGGTCCAGTGATGAGGGTGGGTGGAAAAAAGGACTTTGATACCCTTACTGTATCAGTTTTTACTGGGTGGTTTGTGACATATTATGATGTCTTGCATTATCCAGCTGCCCTATATTTAATATCTGAAGTTTTTGTTTTTTTTTTTGTTAAGGGTTTTTATATTTTAACTACTAAATTAAAGTTGTATAGTTAGATTCTGTATTTCCTCATTTAGGAAATGCATTGCCTTTTAATTCTATCTTTAGATAGTGAATATATTGAAAATAAATTGTTTCTAGGTGCTTGTAAACTAAGTCCATAGCTGCAGCAATGACCACCCACATGAAATAAATGTCCCAATATAAAGTCTGCTATTTTTGTGTATGTGCACACACACACACTTGGTGCTGAAAAAATTTCTGCCTGGCTCACTTCCCAAAATCTGACTAAGTGACCAAACAAAACAATCCATTTAAGAATCTGTTCATAGTTAGGCTGAAGACTTTCTTAGACCCCCCCGCTTATCTAAATGTGTGAGAAATTGAAATTAATAAGCAAATGAATATTCTGAATATCTGATCATAAGCTTGTTTTGTTCTATAGCTGGAAATAGAATTTGAATCTTGAGTATAATATACTGCAAATAACAAATACTTTTTTCAGATGATTAATTTTTATCTTTTCAGTTAATACCTCAGTTCCTCTAGGAGGAGAAAGAATTATATAAAGGGGTGGTGAAAAGTTTTCAAAATCTGATGCCAAACAAAAACATTTTTTTTATTACAATTTTGATTTATTTTAAATTTTGAATTTAAACATTTGAGAAAAATAGTTTGCAATCTTTAATAATAAGCATAAAACCTTAATGAATATATTTTGAATAAAAAATCTATATATAAATTTTCAAATTTCATGTGCATAGTTTTCATAAACTTTTGAAAACTGCACATTTTTGATAAAATGATTAGATAAATGAAAGAAATGAATATTTTGTTGCACACCTTCAATCTCTAATTCAGGCATCATGCTTCCATCTAATATCAAAATCTTTATACCCTTTACTAAAATAGCATGTTATAATCAGCCCTGAAAATGCAGATGTTCTTGTGTAGTATTTATCACCAAAAATAAAGATGTCTATAGGTGGGTTTGCTTTGCTTAATGGAAACAGGGTATTATAATCCCCCACCACCACCACACATGCACACACACACACAAAAAGGAAACAAAATGGAGAATCTCTTATGAAGAGCAATTTTGGAATGATAAGAATTGGCACAAGGAGAATTTAACATTGAGCTGAAAGAATCCTTGAAGCTGCATCATGTTTTTTCTTCTAAATATATTCTGGTGCAAATGAATTCAAAATGATTTGATAGAAACTTAATATATATTATTTTAACTTATTTTTTTTTCTCAGCAACCAGGGGAACTCATGTTCTCGTATTTCTCCTTGAATTCTTTTCAAGCCTTTTTAAAATTTTGTAGGAATCTGATGAACACAGCTCCTTGACTCCAGATCAGCTGCGTCAGCTGGAGCTCATTGACAACATGCCTTTATGTAAAGAAACTGTGATTGCGGAGGAAAGTGGTTTGCATGGCAGCCTTTCTGTTGTTGAAGAGGAAAGGTTGTGGGGTAAGTAAAACTATTACATGCACAATCATAGACTTTTATATACCTTTTATGTAGGTTTTACTTTTAGCTTTATTTGATGTATTTTTGCAATTTTCATGGTTATTTGGCAATCTTATATTTTTATTTTTAATTTTCCTTTTTTTTTTTCTGGCTATTTCTAGAAAAGCGGAAACAAGAAGCTGCTCAAAAAAAGAAAAAAGAGAAAAAGAAAACTGTGATAGAAGAGGATAAAAAAGGAAAAAAGAAAATAACTCCTGAATTTGCCATAAAGGAGAAACGAAAAAAGAGCCAAAAGAAAGAGGATGGACAGGGCCCTAAAAAACGAGCCAAGAAGTCTAAAAGCTCTGAAGATTATGATGCTTATATTGATTCCTTTATGGCTCAGTTGCGAAGTATGCCAATGGTCCCTCTACAAGAACCAACGGTGAACATCAACCATCATATCTGCCCTGTTGTAGGATACTTCAGTGGTAAGTTTTCAAGATTCAAAGCTAAATTCTTTCCCCACTGCTTGGTTAATTCTTTGCACAATATATTTGAAAAGTTCCTGGGATTTTCACATACTCTGTCTATCTGATTCTACATATTACATTTATAAAAAAATGAATTGCTTTTTATTGTCATGTATTATGTCTCCAGACTTATCATTATTGAAAATAGTATCAAATACATAAAATATCTTCATTTCCTCAGCTCTTTGGCGGGGGAAAAAAAACCCCCAAAAAACTTATGCTTTTAATTTTATTCCACACTGCATGTACTTTTTTCTATTTTGACCATGATAGTTTTGTAGCAGTTGTTTTTTTATTTTTTGTTTTTTTTTTTTAATGATTTATCAGTAACTTTTTGTGAACTTAATAATTGGGAATTAATGACTAGTATTTCAAAATTTATTAATTTTAATGCATTATGAATAAATTATTTTTTTTATTTTTTTATATATTGAGAAAAATAAATAGTGATTATATTTATCTCATCAGTTATTTTTCTTGACTTTACTTTTCTAGACAAGGGATATATTTGCTTGTTTTTACCCTGTTTCAGATGACAACCGTTTGTCCGGATCATATGGTGCTGGATATTTGGAAGGTGCGCTTGATTTCTATGGAAGCACAACCTCACACAGCCATGGTAGCTTAGCTCAGATACCTCAAATTCTACCTCATATGCCTAATAGTGACATCCTAGCTCGGCGAAAGTTCCTCAGTGATGGTGAACACAAGCAGTATCCAGGTTCTCTTCTTAGCTTTTCAAACTGGCATGATCTGATGCATGCTGATCAAACAATTGGATTTTAAGAGCATCTTGATTGAAGCTTAACACAGTATATTAATCATAAAGCACATTGAAAAGTCTAAAGGAGTTTACTGTATCTGTAGAATAATAAGGTTTCAGAAACACTCAGGATTAGTAGATTTTATTTTTAATCTCTAAACATATATAATCTTTAATTTCTTATCAGTTTAGTATTTCTATTTAGGAATACAGTTTTTTTATTATTAACTATGACAATTCAAGGATTATTAGAATCTGTAGAAAAGAAAAATCAATATTTTTTTCAGAAATTTTTTTTCTGGGAATGACCTTTTTTTTACTGGATGATTGTATCAATTAAATAAATTTTAGTTGAAATATCTATTGATATAATATAGGCATAATTGGTTGTAGGAGACCCGAAGTATTCATGCATTGAAAGATTGGAAAAGGTGCTACACTCACCAAAGTTGTTTCCATTTTCTTATATTCTATCCTTTGGGCCATTTTATACTTATAGAAAACTATTTTACAATTATCTTATATTCTAACATTTAAAATTTGACATGCAAAATGTTTTTATGGACCAAGATTTAATTTTTTAAAAATGACAAAATGTTCTAAAATTTAATCAGTTGCCTAAAATTCTTATGTATTTTTAAATTTATAAAACATACAAATAACTATACAAAAGTTTTCCAATTAAAAGTCATGTAGATTAACAAACTTAAGTGTGTGTGTGTATGTTTGAAGCCTTGATCAACTGTTTTCTGCTGAATTGCCTGTATGCTTTTCCCTTCCTCAATAATAATAATAATAATAATAAATTTTTAATGTGTCATAAAATAATGACTTCTTTCTTATTACACTAAACATTAAAAGGATTGTTGTCATTGAAAAATTTCTAGTTCACCTTAAATCTCTGAATGTTTTTGCAGTGTGTGAGACTAATAATTGGCTTTGATCTACTTGTTTCTTGTTTTGTCCTTTTAAGGAACTCTTCTTTCAGTTAAGATAATAAGAATTCTCATATTTTGGAGCTGATTTTAATATTAAAGATATAAATTAAGATGCAATAATTTCTTCTAGTAACTTCAATATATACCTGTATATTTCGACATTGGATCTTATTTGGCATATATTTTTTTCAAAAGGCTTGAGAATGAATATGAATCATTTTTATTGTTCAAAATTAAAATGAAATAGTTAAGTTTTAATTAGTATCTAAGTTTGAATATTTTTATTTAAATTTCAAAATTTAGGAAGATATTTCAGATTTATATAACTACAAAATTGATGCTGTTTTTAAGTAGTATTTAGAACATAAATGCATTATATACTTTAATATCAATTTTAGTCAATTTCTGTCTTCTAAGGCTGCTTTTTAAGAAATGTTAATTTATGAAAACATCTTTTGAATAATCTAAATAAATCTGAAATTAGATAGTGTTTAAAACAATTTTTAAAAGGATTTTTGCATACCCATAAGAGTATAAGATGTGTTTAAGCTTCTGATAGTTGTTTGATATCCATTTGTCTTTCTAACCATAGTTCTCAAAATTTTCCCCTGCTGCTACATTGTTATTGCTGCTATCTCATTTACTATCTCACAGTGATCTTTTTTTTTCCCCTAACCAAAGAATTTCCAAAAACTTTCAAAATTTTCACAAAGACTGCTTTTGAACTAATAATTATGAAAATAGGACTAACTGGCTGCCTGAAGTTGTAGTGTAGTTGCTTTTTGTAGCCTTTGCAGGAATCTGAGCTGTGGCTAGGTTGTGAGCTGTTTTGTTATTCCTAGATTTTTCATGTACTATGTTTCCGAAGGTATCTGAGTGTATCAAAAGGAACATGAAGGATTTCTCTCTGGATTGGTTTTAAAAATTCATCACAATTAACTTGGGTTGGAAATGAATTGCAAAACAAATTTTATAGTTTCTCTAAAATCTTTACTTTTGTAATCCAACAGAAGAGAGTAAATTACATTGTCTTCATTTTCCTTTTGATTTGTTGAATTTTTTTTTTTTTTTTTTTTGTGATATTTTTATGAAGATTCTGACGATTTTCAAATTGCTTGTAAATGCACAAGTGTTTATTTGTTTTTGCTGTGAATTTGTTGGTATGAAATGTGTTAACTGGTTATTTATTTTCATCCTAGTTAACTGAAAAATTATCTGTACAAGTGTTGAACTATTTGAAGAATTTCAGCAGTTGATTTTTCCAAATATTTATTTATTTATTTATTTTTTTTTTATCAAATTAGCTATCAATTTCCACTTGCAAATCATGGTTATCAAATGGAGATATTTTTAGCCATTCAAAATATTTTATTGCAGAAAATTTACCATTTGATTTTGAAGTAAGAATTCAATTTGATAGGCATCCTAAAACTGAATCCACCCTAATTTGTTTTTACTTAATGGTTAAAGTAATAAGCATTTCTTAGTTTACATCATAATTTTTTTTTCAATCAATAGGATGGTGAACATTAATAATAACCAATTTCAATCTTTCATTAATTATTTTGACTGTCATTCTTGTTTTGAGCATTACATTTCATTCTGTATTTTCTTTGTTTTTCCTCAGGTTTATGTTGCATCTTGTAATCCTTTGCTTAAAAAAACAAAGCAAAAATTGAGTTAATTCTGTTCAAAGATTAGCATATGTGATATACATCAGAGAGAGGCTGGAAAACATACTGACTGAGGCAGGATATTAGTCTGAATATATCATGGCATAATGATGATGCTTTATATAATAATTTCTGATGACATTTAACCAATCTTAAATAGTATTCCAAAATTTTATTTTGCTTTTCAACTAATTTTAAGGTGGCTTGAAATGCACAGCTTTGCTGCAGACATTTTTTTTCCATATATTGCATGCTAATATGTTTGCATATTGAACAAATTCAATTAGGAACTAAAATGTCAAAAAACTGGTGTTGACTTTGTGTCAAATGGATGGAAATCTAATTTAATTGCAATATAGTTTCTTTTTAAATTGAAATGACCTTAAATATAATACAAATTAAAATTATTCTGAAATTTATATTCAGTGTTGGTTTGACAAAAAGCACATCACAAAAAATTAAAACGAAACTGATCTTGGTAGAATTGAGCTGAAAGTTGAGAAACTAATTAAAAATAATTATAAACCATGTTAATTATGGAAATTTAAATGTGTTAATTTTAGGATCAATTTTCTTTTGGCCTGTTAAAATTTGACATGAAATTTAAGCAAATTGAAAAAGGAAATTATTCATTAACATGACTATTTTCAGAACAGTTACTGATTATGTTTAAAATAAAAAAATTGTATGGATTTATCACTAAAATGTAAAACTTCTTACTTTTTGTTGTAAAAAATCTTTTCAGTTAAAATTCTTCTTTTAATGTAATCGATTAAAAAAAAAAAAAAAAAAAAAAAAAAAAGCAAAAAAAGAAATGATAAAATTATTGATGTAAGATGGAATTGTAACAAATTAAGCAGGTAATATAATTACATGCAAATTCATTATGAATCCTTTTATTATAAGTGGGTCTCTTTCTAATAGCACTTAATGTAGCAAAAAAGGGGGGAGATTTTTTATTAACTGGTTTGAACTTTCTTTTTTAAGTTGTAGATTTGTCAAATAGGAAGATCAGATTTTAAGGTTGTTGCCAATATTCCTTTGATATCTGACAATCTGTAGCTTATAGCAATAATAATCAGCTCTCATGTTGGTCTCTACCATGGGATTAAAAGTGCATTTGGTTATTTGATTACTTTCAAATACTGTACAAAATATTTGGGCATTGTTTTTTTAATAAGTTTTTAAAAATATTTGCAATTCAATTGAAATGCTTTATTAACCCTCCAACTTTTGATCAATCTATTTTTGCAAGAAATAAACACATTTAAAAAAAAAAAAAAACATGACAATTTTATATAGAATTAAAAAAAAACAAAAAAAAAAAAGCAATGAAGAGTTACAGAAAATGGTTTATAACCAGTTGGTTTTCCTGGCTTGGTCTACATGTTGAGTGGCACATGAGATCATAGGCTACTACTGGATATAACCTGAAATTAGAATTTTTGTAAATAAAAGTTAATAATACTACAATAATTTAAAGGACAATTTTTTACAAGAAAAAAAAATCTTTAATGATTCAGTTTTAATTTTTAAAAAGAAAAATTAAAATCTGACATTTAGTTAATTTTAATAACATAAGGTCATATTCCCTCACCTATTTGGTTCCCTTTAAAATTATTTAATTTAAAACAACAAGAATCTTTTTTTTTCCCTCCTCCAAATATGTATATATGGAATGAGTGATTTACTAATTTCATGCTTATACAAAAATCTCAAATGATAATTTTTAATAGTTATTTTAAGAACAAATGTATTTAGTCTTGACTAAATCATGGAAAGCTTTTCTTAGTATTATGATTTTATACCTTAAAAGTTATATTCAAACTTATTTACTGTTTAGTATAAATATATGTAAAAGCTTTACAACACCTAAATAGTATGGAGTATTATTGATATAAGGATTTCATATTGCTTTCTTTAAACCATATCAATGAATCAGATTTTGTATTTTTTTAACATTAACCAACATTGTTTCATTCATATCTGTAAATGCTGTACTTCTAATTATCTGAATGGTGAAGTCAATTCTTGAATAATTGCAAAAAACAGTTAAGAATATTTTGAATGTGCTACATTTGATTAAAAAAAATTGTTCTTGCTATTCATTTAAGTAATTAGTGTTTACGCAAAAATCTATAATTTCTTTTTTTAAATCTCCAAAATACTTTTAATATTATTTTTAATCTTTCTATTTATTCTTAATTTTTTTTCAACGTTTTATTAACTCATCTATTCTAACAGTGTCAGAACAATCTACTGCTGTTTTTCCTCTTCTCGTTGCTTTGTTATGACCATAAAAGTATTCAGAAATTTGAATATTTTGTCATATTAACTTTCAATTTTGCAAAGTTTCTTGCCCAATATTTTGAATATATAACATGAAATGTTTCATGAAATTTAGTACATGTGTACTAGAAACCACTTTTCAAGATTTAGAAAAAAAATTTCAATTTTATTTGCATAATTGCAAGAACTCATAAAAATATATAGAAAAACTTATATATTTTATACTTTATATATATATACTCATTTTATGTGTGGTGTAATTGGCAAGATGCTCAACAAACAGAATTGACAAAGTTTTCAATAAACAATAAGAAAAGGAAGAAAAAGAAAGAATTGCAAAACAATGCTAAGCAAACAATATTATATACAAGTCAAAACTAGGCAAAGGAATAAGGCAAAAATTTGGAAAGTAAAAATGGTGTTCACATGAGATATATATATATCTCTAAGTACCTCCACTATTTCGGCATAAATTTTCTATATTGAAGTTTAAAATGATTTTTTTACAACGAAAAAACATTCTTGAAGATTTCATTTTAGCTTTAATTGAAAGTTTAATAATTAAATTTATGATTTCTATTAATTAATCAATTCTGGTGTATTTCAGATAGAAACTATATACATTTGATTGTCAAATTTAATTTCAAATTTTTAAATTTTCTTAAAAATGGCCATTTTCTTAATTTTAAGAAATTTGTAAACAAACACAAATTTATCGATTTTTAAAATATTTTTAAAAAATTCTGACACGTTATTTTAGTAAAATTAAAAAATTTAAAGTTAATCTGATTTCAAAGAAATCTTTGTTACTTATAGCATAAAAAAATAATATACAACCAATTATTAACGAGCGGTCCTGTTCATCTGATTGATTAATTGATGGATTGTTCTATGACGAACCGATCACAGCTACTACTGATGACCATAAATGACTTAATTTTTAAGTCTGAGTTTTTTAAAAAATTATTCTATTTGAGTATGACACACACTAATGGAAATACAATACATAAAATAAAATTATTTAGTGAAATAGTAAATGAAAAAAAGAAAAAATAATTTAAAATTTAAAGTTTACACTTTTAAAGCTGAACGGAAAATACAACCTGTAAGAAACGAAATGTTTTGAAAAGGCCATGTAAAGGGACAAAACCCTTAGATCACGTGACCTTGTTATAATAATGGCAATTTCTGTATATCATACATGGAAATAAGGAATGTATTAAGTAAAAAAAATACAACATAAAAATTTTTTAAAAAAAAAAGTAGTGCAACTAAATTTATTAAACTTAGCAATTTTGGACTCGTAAATTTTTTTTCTACTTAATTACTACATAATATTGAGGAGCCCTCCTAATACAGAGCTTTACACGATGTTAAACTATTATAAATTATTATAATTAAAATTTCTTAAAAAACGAAAAAATTCTTGTAAAATTCATCAGAAAAAAATTATTTCTTCAGACAATAATGTCCTTAATATTACTTATTTAAAAAAAAGCAATTAAAAGCTTTTCTAATTAAGTAATATCATAGTTTTATTGGATTCATTATTTTCAATTCAGACAAGATTTTCAGTTAAGTAGCTCAAATTTGTAAAAAAAAAAGTAGGTTATTTACCATCTCCAAAGACTCCTTCTTTTAACAAAAAAATAAAATTGAGGAGCCAAAAAGGTTTTGTGCGAAATTTCATGAAATTAACTAAGTGGGGGGTAACATATTTAAAAAAAAAAAAAATTTTTTTACCAAAATTTTCTAAAAACAAAATATTTCAAAAATAATTTAATTCATTTGTGAATAAGTCCTGAAAATTTTATTAAGATCAGACAATTAGTTCATTTTTACAAGAATTTCCAAATCAATGTTTTTCAACGAGGAAAAAAAAAAAAAAAACAATGTTATTTTAAACGTCACCCGATAGCGTAAACAAAGACGACTTTAACCAAAAATTTCGAACGTGTTAGAAAATATTAAAAATTTCAAAAAATAATTAAAAATACTTTTTCTTTCATCTTAATAACATAAGCATTTTGACGATAATACTTTATTTTCTTTTAAGTTTGTGGCATTTTTCATTTACGCTTATGCTGTTTTTTTCCAAAACAGTGGACATACTTTTTATATATATATATATATATATATATATATATATATATATATATATATATATATATATATTGAAAATTAATGACAAAGTGGAAAATTTTTTCATGTAACACATTTTGTTCTTTGGACTAGAGTGATGTAACTAAAATTAAGTTCATTTTTAATTTTTAACAGTTTTAATGTGACTCAAAGTTTAGATTCAATTTATGATCTGTGTACCAAAGTTCTCCTCTCTATACATTATATATTCTGGTAGGATTATGTTCACGCTATACAGTAGAATATCTGTTTTTCATCATTTTCATGAAAACAATGCAATGAAATCGGTAAAAAGAAAAAAAAAAAGCCCAATATATAATTCGATATATATTGGGTTGTCCAAAAAGTTCATGCTGATTTTTAGTTGTTCATGTTACAACAGATTAGAACACATCAAATTTATTGACAGATATAATCTGCTTACATTTCTGATTAGAGCACACTTCAGACTATCTCTAAAAAAAAAGTTTAAAATTACTTAATTCATGTCAGTTTTGCATCCCTATGAACATGGAAGATTATAAGGTGCATTTTAGACACTTGATGCTTTTCCTTTTACTGTAAATACAATAATGCATCACAAGCAACAAAAAAAATACGTGTTGTGTACAGTGAAGGTGCTTTGGCTAACAGAACTGTATGGAAGGGAAGTTTAGAGTTGGTGATTTAGCCTTATTAGTGAAGAATGCTCAGGCAGATCCCCTCCTCTCACTACAGATGATGACCAAATCAAGACATTGATTGAGAATAACGCGCATTACACAATGCAGGAATTGACAGAAACACTAAATTTATCAAAATCCACCATCCATGAGCACTTAGTGAAGCTTGGGTACTCAAATTGCAATGATGTTTGGGTACCATATGATCTGAGTGAAAAGAATCTTTTGGATTGCATTTCACCTGTAATTTGCTGTATAAACACAATGAAAAGGCACCCTTTTTTTTAAGCAAATTGTAACGGGTGATGAGAAATGGATTGTTTCCAATAGATGTTCAGTGAAAAAGATTCTGGATAAGTGACATGAGCCAACTTTAGCCACAACAAAAGCAGGTCTACATCCTATGAAAGTCATGCTGTGCATCTGGTGGGATTGGAAAATTAACCAGTCGATTGATTCTGAAAAGTACTGCTTGCAACTGGATGAATTAAAGGCAGCAATTCAAAAAAATGCCCAGGATTGGTGAACAGGAAATGTGTTGCTTTCCATCAGGATAGTGCCAGACCTTATGTTTCTTTGGCGACCCAGCAAAAATTGTTGCAGCTTGGCTGAGATGTGTTAATCCACTTGCCATATTCACCAGACATTGCTTCTTCAGATTTTCATTTATTCAGGTCCTTGCAAAATAATCTCAATGGTAAAAATTTGAATTTTTTTGGATGACATAAAAAAATCACCTTTTTATTGAGTTCTTTGACAAGAAACATCTGAAATTCTGGGAAGATGGAATCTTTAAGTTGAAGGAAAAATAGATAAAGTTTGTGGAAGAAAATGGTTCCTATTTAGTTGAATAAATAAATATTTTTTGCTGTTGCTATAGCTTGATGTGACAACACAATCGTGAAATTTAAATGTACTGTTATTTGGGAATTGGAGTCAATTGCAATGGCAGGGCAAATGCTTTCTTTGGTGAGTGAAGTTGCCTAAACTGTGCTTAAGGTTAAAACATAGCAGTTTTATTATCATGTATGAATTGATGTTCAGAATGGGACTTAACATTTGAGGAATTAGTTTCCAGTTTGCATTGATTTTTTTTTTTTTTTTTTTTTCAAATCTTCAGTTGCTTTCAACATGTTTCCTGTTTTCACTTTATTATATTCATAAATACTGTCATTCTTTTTTTTTTTTACCCCCCTCATGCTAATGTGTAAAGTTAGTGAACCAAAAATTAGGGCTGTTTAATTTGAAAGTACATTTAAAACAATCTAATTTGTCTGTCAAGTAATGTAAAAATATTTTTAAACTTAATTTTTGTTGAATCTAAAGAGTTTAAATTTTTATTTATCAAACTCATTTTCTTTACCCTAAATACAAAGTAGCTAAAATAGAATGTTTTTGTCATTTGCCTGTTTTGTATTTTTTTTTTATTGTAGAATCATAAACAGGACTCATTTTATTTAAGTAACAGTTGCAAGTTAATTAAGTAATATTTTAGAAATTTATTTTTCATTTACCATCTCTGTTGATGAGTTATCAAAATATAAATATAACTAGATGTAATTTTCAGTGGTAGCCAAATCATTTAATGATGAATTTCAGGTAAAATAATCCATTTAATTGTTGTAGTCAAGAGACAACTATGTCAGAACGTTGAGCATTTTCCCAATGTACTTTGTAGGTTTTATTTAAATTTTTGAGTGAAAATGCCAGAAAAATCAATTGAAGTTTTTTAAATTTCTTCCTTTAGGGAGCCTGATTTAATGTAATTGTGATGAGAAAATGAAATACTTGTCTCTTGTCAAGTGGATTTTGATTATGCATTTTGTTGTGTACTAACAGCACTGTGGTTTTTAATAAGTTTTGATATGGGCTCCATTGTGATTAGCTCATCTGCAATTCTTTGAAATCCTTTTCTGATCATGTGGACAATTGAAATAATGTTGAATAATTTACAGCTCCTGTTACAGAGCAGCAAAGATATCATCTTACTACAGATCAAGTAACAGCAGCTGCAGCAGTGACGGCGGGAGTAGCTGTTTCCACTTCTGGCAGCAGTTCTGGTTCTGTTGCATCAGACAAAGCTAATGAATGGTTGCAGTCAGGAAATAATTCGGTTGTTGGACTGAACTATCCCAAATATACACCTGTATTACCTCCTCCACCACTTATTGAGCCAAGACTTGATCACCCATCAAGGTGAGTGTATTTATGTAAAACACACACACACACACACACACATATATATATATATATATATATATATATATATATATATATATATATATATATATATATATGAAATATAAATTGATTTAGATTATATCGAGAATAATTTCTTTGATTGGTTTGGTTCAGATAATTGGTGGTTAAGTTTTGTAAATAATCAAATTAGATTTAGTTTGAGGTTATAGGACCTAGTCTGTCCTGTTATTTTACCCATAGTTGGGGGAGAAGAGATGGATTCAGATGGTGGCAACAACTCTAGGAGAATGTAACTCTGAATTCAAAATGGATTGCACTATCCTAAAAATTGTGTATACATGCGACTGGGTGGGGTCGCTTCTGAATCCATGATTCCCACTGAAAGTCCTACTATGGATTTGCACATTCAAATAAATATGACCTCTGCTACACTTGGTCAGCTTTGTTCAGATGCGGCAGGTTTGTTTGACTGAGCTGGTTCAACCAACCAGGTGAATGCTGCAACAGGTATAGCTATATAATACATGTATAAGGTGCACACCTGTTGTTCAGCTTTAGGTTGTCATAAAGGGAATCTATGTTGTTAAAAAGAATTGAAAATCTATATCCACACACAGATTTACTGTTAAGAAAAAAAAAACAATTTCAAACTATTTAAGAGAATTAAAACCAGTGTGAAAGTGAATTTTGTTTTCTTGTCTTTTCTTAGATCCAGTGATAGCCCAGATACTATTATTTCCTCATCTTCGCCAGAAACTGTTCTTGAAAGAGATGATTTTCCAGCCCTTCGTCCCATTGATCCAGCAATTCGTGACACATCTTCACCTATTCTCCCCCTCATTCAACCAATTCCTGTTCGTCCTAGTCTTACTTCAGTGAAAGAGGAAGATAAATCTTCAATGGACTCTGATACAAGAATTGTGTGCAAGAAAGAGATGGAGCTTGGTCCAAGCTGGTCTGAATTTTGTTTGGGAGAGAAAGCTCAGACTTATTCAGAATTTGGTAATAAATTAGTAGAAAAGGATAGTTTATCCGCCAAAATGCCTACACTTTCTTCCAGTCTTGCTCGTCCATTCAAGACCCTAACTCAACAAGTTTCTGTTACATTAACACTTAAAGCCACTGCAGAAGAAGATATAGGAGGAGTTATTTCTGCAATTGCTGATCTATTAAAAATAGCGGTACCTCCTTATGAAATCAGTGAAACTCCTTCTCCAGAAGTACTAAAATTCAATATGACGCGTAAGTAAAGATATTAATTTAATTTTTAGAACAATTTTTTAAACAGGTGTATCCAATCAAAAGGCACTTGTTATCTTTTGTTCATTTTCTGCTTCATCTGTGGATTTTATCTAGAAATTCAAACTCAAATTATTCATAAATCTGCTTTTAAAAACAATTTACATTCATTTTGGAACATTCTTTTTTAAGTCTTTATTAATTTCTATATAATTCTATTTCTCTCTGTAATTGTTAATAAAAATTTGTGTTGTTATTTCAATGAAATAACTCGTTGTTTACTTGTTAATTTTCCACTATTTCAATATATGCTTTTAATTTTCAATGTATACTATTTTAATTTTAACATAATTATTAATTTTTCTTTTCTTTCTCTCTTTCAATTTTGAGAGTAAGTTGTACACAAGGAAAATATTATTTTCTGAGATATACTTTTATAAAATCTAATTTTGGATTTTTGTACAAGTTAAAATTTATTCTATAACGATGTTTAAGAAAATGGATAAGCATGAACACAGGTGAGTGGAATGACGAAGGATTGAAAGTTTTAAATTAATTCCCTTTTCTTTTCTCTCCCTCCCTTTTTTTTTTTTTTTTTTTTTTAAATTATTACATTGTTTTGTGGTTTCAGACAAAGAAGAAGCTGTGAATATTCAGTCAATTCAATCAATGGTTAAATCCAAATCTAAATTCTGTCGGCATTGTGATTGGGCTGTCTTGAGTCCTGGGATCCGCAAGAAAAAGACAGAATTGCCATTTATTACAAAAGAAGAACAGGTAAGAAAAGATTTCTTTCACTGTTTCCAGAAAAAAAAGATTTTGATGATTCAGCATTTAGTGTTATTCAAACATACAAGCTGCTGCTGATTGATTTATTCTTCATGGGTTGGTATAAAGCCACTAAGATACAAGGGGTTACTGGATGTGAAAGAATTAGAAAACAGAAACATTGTGAGAACAATTGAAGAGTAATCAGGAATGCAGTAGATAATGATTGACATTGCATTTAAATTTTTGAAGATCAAACTTGACTGGAAAGCAAGAAGCCAGAAAAAAGTTCTACAAGCAAGAAGTGTGAGAAAAGAAACTGTTAGCATAGAATTTGTGGTTACATCTAACCAATTCAACTGTAAATTTACAAAACTTTGTTGCCAATCTAGTACTGCGCTTAAATTCATAAAGTCTAGGTACTCAAAGTGCTCATCTGAACAATTATCATGAAAGTATTTATAGAAAAGGCACAGGGAACCAACTTTATGGCAGTGGGGAAGTGACTGAATTTGAAACGTATTCATGTCATGGATGAATGGCAGATGTATAGATATGTAAGATAGATTTCAGTGAAAAATTGTCTAGTACAAACCAACTTTCTTAGCAGCATACCTAGAAATAAATTCAATATAGTCTTTCCACTTCATGTCAGCTGAGAATGTTAGCCTGAGAAGACGCACTTAGTCACTCTCCTGGAGGTTAGCGTCAACTATGCAGAAGGCAGAGAGGAGTCTCTCAGATGATAAGAGCAGTTTAGTTTTAGAAGCATTAAAATTAACAAGCCATCCTTTGCCTCAGTTAACAGACAGAAGGTCGTTTTTCATATAAGCCACCAATTTGACCTTATTGAACTAATCAGACTTACTATTGAGACAAGAGTAGATGGTTGTGTCATCAGCATAGATACCAAGTTGAGAGCTGATGCTATCAGGAAGGTCATTGATGAAAATTAAGAACAAAGTAGGACCAAGGATAGAGCCCTGGGGGACACATGAATTAGTACGAAAGGATCTAGAAGAATGGTCAATCAGAAAGACTGAATCAGTTCAAAAATTTGTCTGAAGACGCCATAATTTTTCCACTTGTGAAGAAGATCAGTATGCCCAAACCTGTTGAATGCTTTTGAGAATCCAAAGTAACAGCTCAAGCTTCACCATTCTTGTCTAAAGCTTTTTCTGCAATGATTGTTAATATATCAGCAGTTGACCCAGGGAATTGAAAGCCATATTGCATAGATTTCTTCTTTTCATTAATATTTCACATCCAGATTTTTTTTGTTTTTTTTTTTAAATAATTTCTAGTCAAGAAACTGTTTGACACCATTTTTCATTTCCTTATAGGTGAATATCTAGAAAGTGTACAGTGAATGTAATGAGAATAGGCTTATGCATTCCTTATTTAAAGGAGAGGGAAACATTAAGTAAATCTTTGTTGTAGAAACACATGAAAGTTACAGTATTCTAAAAATTAAAAAAAAATCTTATTTTAATTTATTCGAAATTATTGTTGAAAGCAAAATATTTACATATAATATGGCTTATCAACTGGAATGTGCATGCCGTCACCTGTCATTTCCTTTTTGAAATGTGAAAAGATTGTCACTTTATAAATGTGTATCCTTCTCTTTCAGTAGTTTTTTATTATGGTAATATTCACTTGTATCTAAAACAGTTTTTAAAAACACAATGTGTGCTTATTTTGGTTAATATCTGTTTTTGAGGATTCTTGAATTTTTTAAAATACCTCAACATTATATTTACTTGTACATGTTTTCTCTCTCTCTGGCTGTTACAATCTTCCTCACAGTTGGTAGCAACTGCTGTATGATAATGGAAGGGAAAATAGTTTACATGGAGACTGTTGGGTGCTTGCTACCATGTTTTGTGGAATCTTAGGATTTTACATGGTATCTCTTGCTGTTGGTTCAGGAATTTTAGAATTTTAGAAGTTGCTTGTCCTTGGTAGTATAAAGAGATATGCTTAAGAAAGCTGGATGCACCTCATAAAGAGGAAATATGCTTTGCAGTGGAATATTCAGCCAAACATTTTTGGGGGTAATATAATAATCAGCATATACATTCTTTTGCTTTTAGGAAGTTGACTCTGCTGAGATTTTTTGATTTTTTTTTTTATATTGACAAGGAAAAAAAATGAGACACATGTCTCATTTAAGTACAAGAATACCTCACCTTGGTGTCTTGAATTTATTAAGAATTTATGTAATTAATCATCTGTTCATGTTTAACAGCATTTAGAATTCATTTTTCTCTGGGATCAAACAACAAATTGATAAGTAGAGTCCATATTTAATCATCTATCTTGACAATCTCACTTCTCTGAAAAGATCAGCATCTCAGCCAAAAGCAAGAATGACTAATATGCCACTTTTAATTCAAATATTGTTTGTTTCATAATTGTGTTTGGGGAGAAAAATATTGTCTTTTCAACAAAGTCTGAAAAATTTTTCTTTTTTCTTGTTACAATAATGATCACTCTGTACAAGGCCCAAGTGCCAAACCACTCAAGGTTGAGGACTACAGAGTAAGAAACATAGTTTAGGGACATATGTTAGGAAGATAAGTTACCCCTAGACTTGAACATGTTAAAATTGTAGTGATCAGGGAAACATCCACTTGGGAGTCAGTTCCACAAAGCAGCAGTTTGTGGAAAGAAGCTGCTCAAGTGGAATTTCTCACCAATGGAATATGAAAGTAATGAGTGTGGTTTGCTAGAATATGCATGACATGGCGGTTCTTAGGTGTGAAGGTGAGAACTGGTAGACCTAAGGAATGGAATTTGTCTGAACACTTTCTATGGAAATAGCAATAGAGCAGCATGAGGCTTGAAACGTTTAGTCTGTTGAAAAGGAGTTGTTGGGTGGAAAATAATTTATCACCCATAAATGAAGATGCTTTTGTACTCTATCAAGACTGGGCAGCTCCTGCATGATAGCAGTAGTCTATTTTCGGTTTGATCTGACTCTTATAGAGAATAGCAGCAGGAGTTAAGTACTTACTGGAGTGATACAGGGAACCAACCATTTTTTCCAGCATTTTTAGTGAGGGATCTTATGTATGAATTCCACTTGAGGTCAAGGTTTACAAGTGAAATGACATTTCTCAAATGATTTTTCTCAATCTCGGCATAATTTTCAAAAGCCAACTTCTTAATCAGTCCAGATTACTTTCATTTCATTTCTATCCATCAGTTGTAATATTTGTTCCTCTGGAATTGTTTAACTCTGTGTGTTTCAATCACACTGGGGTCTTCACATTGATTAATTATTCTTCAAATTTCAATTCTTAAACATTTGACTGCTGCATTGAATCTATTGTTTTACAAAATTAAAGTAAGATAGAAAATGAAATTTTGGAGTCACGTAAGTGTTGTCGCTTAAATCCTTGTATTTTTCTTTATTTAGGACTCTGAAGATGAGGAAGTAACATTCTGCAGTATGAACTGCTATCTTCAGTTTGCTATCACGCATCGTTCAGCCCTGCCTGAAGAGACCAAAGAAGTGGGAGATATCATTGAACATAAAAGTGCATTGGCTGATCAGCCACAGACTACTACTACTACTACTACTTCAACATCATCATCATCATCATCTTCAACTACTACTACAACAGCAACATCATCGTCTTCGTTATCATCATCATCATCCACAACAGCCACTCCATCAACTACTACTACCACCACTACGGCAGCCTCAAGCACTGCAGCAACACCAACTGTAACCACTACGGTTACTGTGACAACTGCTGTAACCAGTGTAACAACAGTAACATCATCATCTGCCACAATCTGTACAGATACCAGTTCCCCACAATTAAAGGTAGAAGAAGCAGCAAATGCAAGTAAATGGTGTGGCAAGCGGAGACACAGAAGCAATAGTCCCAGTGTTGAGTCACAAAATCTTTCATCAGATTCACCTGCACCACCACCACCCCAAACAACAACAACACCAACAACAACTACTACTACTCAAGTAAGCAAAAAATGTTTCAACTCAAAACTTAAAATCCAATATGAAAGTTTAATAAAGGTAAACTATTGAATGATTGAATAATTTTAATATGAAATTAAAGAATTGGTGACTCACTATGAATACTTTTAAGATTGACTTTAAAAAATAAGACAATTTTGTAAATTTTTACTTTAACATGTTTCATTGATGAACTACCATTATCAGAAAGTTTTATTTCAAAAGAACAAAATTTACGTTAGCAGACAAAATATGATTCATGTTAATTGGTTGGATGCTTGATTCTTTACTTCACTGTATTATAGAAATTAGATTTTTAACTAATTTCAAGTCAGTTTTTATTTTATTTTTTTTATTGAAGGTTTCAGTACTGGTTTAGTAAGAAGAATTGATAAACTGAAATGACCTGGTCGTATTTATTCATTTTTATGAAATTTGTAGTTCATGACATTCAATCCAACTTTATCTGAGAAAATTATCATTTTTTATCAAAGCATCATTTTCCTGGTAAAACTATGATCATGACGTAACAGAAATTTCAATTTTGGGTTTTTTCACTGATGTCGTTTTGGGGAGCATTGTTTACCCTTTATTTTACACTGATTAAATTTTTAACTGTCTTTGTAGTGTTTGTGATAATTTTTATTTAAATGTCTTTAAAGTTCATTAATTATAAGTAATATAACAAGCCTAGAGTTTCTGGAGTTTATATTTTTGGTTTTGTGGATTCTTTTCTTTTGAGATTGTAGATGTAGCAGTTTGAATTAATATATTGACCTTTTTAATTTTGTTTTTTATAATGGCATCATTTATAAACCAAAAGCACTTGGCATTTTTGGGTAATATTTCTTAAAATGAGCCAGAAAAGGCCAGCTAAAAACACTGCTGACAGGACAAATCTTTGTAAAAGCTATAATTGAATATAAAACAATATTTGTACAAAGTTGACAAATTTTTATGACTGTTGTTTGATAGAGTGGGATTTATTTATAATTTTAGAAGGTAGTTCTTTAGAATTTTTATTTATTCATTTATTACTATTGTCCACCCACAACACGGCCTAAGTGCTACTCAAGGTAGAGGGTTATTGGGTGGAGATCTTGTATGTGTGTATAGGGAGGAAGCAAGGGTTGCATATTATGAGGATATCTAGGATAGATAATGATTTATCCTTCATTTGAAGATGTTAAGATTGTAGTGATCAGGGAAGCATCCCCTTGGGAGTCCATTTTACAGTTCTAGGGAAGAATCTGTCTGAGTGTGAACTTCCTCCTTACCAATAGAATATGAAGGGAATGAGAATGAGTTAACTCAGTGTAATGTGGCATGGTAGGTCTTAGCTGTGAAGGTTTGAACTGGTGAAACCAAGGAATGAAGTTTGCCTGAACATCTGCCATGAAGATAGCAGTAGACCAGCAAGAAGATAGAAATATTCTGTCTTTGAGACAGGCTTTGAAAGATGGAAAACAATTCATCTGCAAAGTGGTTGCACAAACTCTTGAATTTGGTTGAGGCTGGGAATTGAGGATTTCTCTCTCTCTCTCTCTCTCTCTCTCTCTTCTTGGGAGTGGATTTCCTATATTTTTCAGCCAATAAAACAAAACTTCACTTTTCTTTTTTTTTTTTTTTGGCAGGTAGTGTTTCTTATTCTCTTGCACACTTTTTTCTTTATTTTAACATTCAGAATGCTTTAAAATTCCATTTACAAGACAATTATTTATAATAAAATTCTATTCAATCGGGAGACTCATAACGATTGAAAACAATGTTTTGTTTGAGTTTGGGTTTGACCAATTAAGTAAAAAAAAAAAAACTAATTAAGACATGCGTGTCTGTCAACCTTAAACAATAATCTAACGATCTCTACTGATTGTACGAATACAAACATCGGATAAATTATTTATCTTTAAGGAAAGATAATGAAATCTAAACATACACAAGTCCTAACTAAAAATAATAACCGAAACGGGAAACTACTTTAAATACACATGGTGTCCAATTTTTTTACTGTATTCAATAAGTAAAAATCATAAATTGTAAAAGATTATTATTACAGAAAGTATAATTGTGTATAATGGTAATGGTAATTATGGTGTGGTAGTAACTGTGGTCTAATGTGGCAATGGCAATTGTGATGAAGTAGTAATGGTGGGGGGGAGCAGGTGATGATAATAACAATTGTAGCAGTGGTCACAAACTCACATATGTTAGCTCTATCACTGATATTGAGCGCTTTCCAATAAGTACTGCGCATATATAATATATGAATAAATTATATATGAAAAATTACACACACACACACACACACACACACATATATATATATATACATACACACACATACATATATATACACGCACACATTTTATTTATATATATTTATACACACACGCACACATTTTATTTATACACACACGCACACACACATTTTATTTATATATACACACACACACACACACACACACACACACACACACACATATATAAAAATTGAGTTGAAATTTAGTTAAAAATCTACTTTTGATAATGATGCACTTAAAGTAAAAATCAAGTGTTCAGCTGCATAATGGGAATCATGATTTGTTATTGTGAGATCAAATTCTTTTTCTGATGATGTCACTTCATTGGTGAAACATGTTAAATTAGAAATTTTCCAAAAATTTTTTTTTATATCTACCATTCTGTCAGCTGCGCATCCAGCTTTACTCACATAACCTATAAAGGGGTAAATGTAGGGTGGGAAAAATTTGTTTATTTGTAAACTTGTTTATAATTCTTCATCACTTTTTTCAGCCTGTAATCAAGAAATGGAAAGATGTTCGATGGCGAAAATGGGATATTCCGTTTGGAACATTAAAATTGCAGACCAGGGAGGAACTTGACCCTGTAAGTTAAAATATTGGTTTTCTAATTCTGTTGATAAAGCCTGATAAAAGCAGAGCATTATACATTGTTGTGTGCATTGGTAGATGGGGGATGTTATAAAAAAAAAACATGGTATAAGTTCAGTATGCGGATGTGATTATATTTTTTAATCATGCACTGCAAGATAGTATACAAAATGCAAAAGAAAAAAATAATGAAAAATGAAGACTTTTTCAAAATTTCATTATTTGTATTCATTATTTTAATTGTCAGGTGATGACTGCTATCTTAATTGGTACTGACCACTTTGAATCATGCTATGGAAATGAAAGGGAATAATGACGAGAATGGGCTGAAAAATTCATAGGCTGACTATGAAGGAGTGATGCTAGAGCTCTGAAATCTTAAATGCATTAATTTCAACTTTTATTATTAATAAGTGCATTGTTACTTAATACATTGCTTAGCATTTGAAAAGCATCTTTCTCTATCCTAATGTGTTTTCAGATTTTGGTATCACCCTTTTCCGTTTTCTAATGCTCAACTGTTATGTAATATCAATTTACTTATATGGCAGATCATGCAAGCAGCCACGGCATTTTAAGGAAAATGTAAAAAAAACAGACGTGTACGAAAGTTGAAATTAATGCATGCAAGATTTCAAAGCTCTAGTCAGCCTATGAACTTTTCAGGCCACCTTAATATCTTTTAATTTGCTAAAAAGAAAAATTTGATTTCAGTGCCATTTTTAGCCTGCATAAATCTTCCAAAAATAAAATATACTTTTCTGAAACTTTATAAAGTATAATTAATCTGATTTTAAAAATATTTACTTTGTTTAAAATATTGCAGAAATGCATTTTTTAACACTATGGTAACTGTTTAATCTTTTGACAGCTTCATGACAGGTGGATGTTCATGTAATGTTGTCCTATAAGGGGGCTTTATTCATAAAAAAAATAATTGATGAATATAATGTGAGCACCTTTATATATAATTTTTAAGTACTCAATAATCATAGAAATTTAGAAAAATATTTTCCATAATCTGTTTTATTGAATTTTAGATAGTTTGGCTTTAAATTTACTTTAGTTATTGCTCTTATTTTCTGATAATGTTTTGTATGATGAACATCTGAATCTACAAAAATCAGCATGTTTATACACACAAAAATTTTCAAAGTTCTTTTAAAAATATTGGTGTTTGATGAATTGTACTAAGCTTTTCAGTTTATGATTAGTAAATATAGTTTTACTTGATAATAATATCCTAAAGGTTGAAATTAATACAGAATTTTAAGATTTGAAACCTAATAAATTATTCTAATTAAGATTAAAAAAAAAAAAAATGAAAACAGTTCTTGTAAGAATTCATTATTCATTGAAAAAATCTTTTTCTTAAGACAAGTGTCCTTAATATATCTTTATAAAAGCAATTAAAAGCTTTTATAATTAAATAATGTCTTAGTTTTTAAGAAGCAGAGCAGATTTTTTGTAAATGGTGTTTGTTTTACAAAAATAAAACTGATGATTTAAATTCTTCAAGGAATCCTGCTTTTAACTAATGTAAATATTAAATAAGTGAAAATTAAATGGGGGTAACAGATGTATAAAAAAAGTATTTTTACCAAGATTTTCATAAAAAAAAAATTAAAAGTAATTTGATTCATTTGTTAAGAAGTCCTGAAAGTTTTATTAAAATCCAACAATCATTTGATTTTGTAACAATTTCCAAATTAATGTTTTTTTTGGGTTTTTTTTTTTACCACCAAAAAGATGCTAAAATTTCCTATACTAATTTATGGTATCCCCTGTTGACACAAGAAAAACAATATTGTTAACCACAATTTTTAATTAAAATTTAATAAAGAAATATTTTTGTCTTTCCTATTAATAATAACAAAGATTTTGACAATAAAACTGGGACATTTTTTTTTTCATTGAATTAGTGGTTACATAAAATATATAATATAATATCTCTCTCTCATCATATATATATATATATATATATATATATATAAGAGAGATATTATATATTTTAGGTACCATGACTAATTCATTGAAAAAAATAACCCAAAACTTGATAAAAACAAAGTTTTATTGTCAAAATGTATGTTATTACTTCAGTGTTTTTTTTGTTTGTTTTTTTCTCTAATCAATTTGATATTTTTCTATCTTGAAGGTATATTTCCAATAACAAAGTTTGCTAATTTAAAATTTTAATTTATTTAAAGAAATATTGGGATTCTGTTGGTGTAATTGTTCCACAAAATCCTAAGCTTGAAGATTTAAGAAAATGTGCCTTTTGTCATACTTATGGTGATGGATCTACAAATGGACCTGCTAGGTAAGACTATTTGTAATGTTCACTTGAGGAGGAGAGGGGATGTTTTTTCTTATTTATGAATTCATTACATCAGCTGAATGACTACAGAATTTATTTGAAAAATAAAATTTTTCTTAATATGAATGTTATCAATTTGGGCAAACAAGTATTTATAACTTCTGAAATACTTTTACCTAAGTCAATTAGTGTAAGATATCTAAAGTACAAGTGTTGTGGATTACTCTATAACTATTTGATCGGTGTTGATAAATTATAAAACAAAAGTTTCTCTCTTTCAATCTTATAAAAAATCTTGTTTCTGTTGACATACTATGACTTAAAAAAAAATGCCAATAAATTTAGTGTTTGTTTGGTCTTATATTTTACTTATTAGCATTTTAAAATGTCTAAGGATGCAAAAATTAAACCTAACCACACTTTAAAAATTTAATTTTCTTTGTAGATTATTAAACTTGGATGTGGATAAATGGACCCATCTGAATTGTGCCTTGTGGTCTCATGAGGTATACGAGACATTAAATGGTGCTTTAATCAATGTTGAAACGTCCTATCGAAGAGGACTTACATTGGAATGCACCATTTGCCACAAAAATGGAGCAACACTTGGCTGTTTCAAATTTCGTTGTTCCAATAGTTATCATGTTGGCTGTGCTATTAGAGATGGATGTGTATTCTACCAAGATAAAGTAAGTTTATTTTTAAAATCATAACACTTTGTTTTGATGGATGGTATAGCTTTACTTGAAAGAAAAATCTGTTAAAATTTATTACCATTGTAGTAATTAGTAACTTATTGTGCCTATTTGTTACAAAGTTGACAAATTTCGATGAAAATGTGACTAAAAAGTAAAAGTTTGAAGACTTCGGATTTCTATGCAAATTTTGTTTTAATATTAATCTGCTCAAATTCATATCTTGGAATTAAAACTAGTTTAAATTTTATTTATTTTTTTTCAATGATAATTGACTTTTCTTTTTAGACAATATTTTGTCCAAATCATATTCCAAAGAACAACCAAGAAAATGAATTGAAGTCTTTGGTAGTCTTCAGACGTGTCTATGTATGCCGAGAAGAGGGAAAACAAGTTGCAAGGTAATTTATGATGTAGAAAATAAAATTGTTAGCAAGTAATTGTAGCTGCTTCATTTGAGACTTAGGTTTTGATTTTGACTCTGGTAGTACTGTGTGGCATTGTCACAGCATTAGTATCATATTATTTTCAAATACCTCATTTAAAATACATCATTTAGTACTTAATTTTTTTTTTTTTTTATGTCGTCTCCAGTGTTCTTTCTGGTTTTTATAGGATAAATAAAAATGAACCCACACTGCCCCAATTGCCCAAAAAATATCAAAAAACCAAAAAGCTTCATTTTGAAAAATCACATTAAAAGATGGATATTAAAAAAAATCAATTTGTAATGTTCAAAAATTTATGCAGAAATAGATCTTATTTTATTTTCTGTATGATCTTTTAAAATAATTTAGGATCAATCTGATTCCTCTTCAATTGTTTTTTTTTTTCACATTTCAAGCAATAAATAAGAAAGTTACTGTGATCTTTGCATATGTTTCTCCCCCAATTATTAGAGACGGTCATTACTTTATGGCCCCGTGCTTGTAATTCACACAAATTACTAAAACTAGACACACCTCATAGTTACTTGACAGATATTCAGAAAGCTACTTGAAGAATTTTGAAAATTAAAATATTTTTGTGTGGTGTTCAAACATTGCATGATACTATGGGAGGGTAAAATATTTGTTAGCTATGAAAATCATAATTTATATTTGCATATGGATTGATTTTCTTTTAATTTAATATCCTGCGAATTAAAAGTATCCAAATCCTATCATCTGATAGATTTGAAAGTTTATTATACAGGAATAAATAAGAAAGAAAAAGCAAGACTGTAAAATATGGCAAGAATTAAGAGAAGAAACATTAAAATTGAATTATTATTCTGTATGATTGAGTCTTTGATTTGAGATTGGAATTTTTGGTAACCAGTTTTAAGTTTTCTGTAAAAGTTTTATTTATCTTAGTAAAATTTAAATACCAAGATGTTTCTAATTAACACTGTTTTTAAATAATATTCTTTATGCTTTGATTATTTACTATAATTTTTTTTTAATCACTTACTTTTCAGAAGAGTTTTAGAAACCTTATTGATTATTGATTAAATTGGCTCTTTTTACTTTTATTTTTAGCATGGTCCATGAAGAAGATAGTCGCTTTACTCTTCGCATTGGCTCTCTTATATTGCATTCTGTGGGACAACTTTTACCTCATCAAATACAAACTGGTAAATTTCACTCCAGAGATTGTATCTATCCTGTAAGTATGCATGTTTTTTAATACAAAATAGCATAATTGTATGTTTATAATTTTTACACATTTTTATTTGATTTTATTTTTATTGAGAGAAGTTTCTTCATGTTAGCTATTTTTCTTCTTTTTATTGTTCTTCAATCTGCAAGTGCTATTTGCATCTGTTAACATTAGAAACTTCTTATTTTAACTCTGACAGTATTCTATTTTATGTTACTGGTGTTTGTTTTTTAGAAGAAGATTGAATTTGATGTGTCATTATTACTGAAGCAATGTGGTAGTGATTCTATGAAGAGATGGAGCTGCATTGATCTCTTCTCTCAATGTTTTGGATGACCATATAACAAGTGAAGCTTTTAGCTGATAGATCATTGATAGGATGAAACGTGAAAGACATTATTATAACTTTTATCTCTTTGTCTATGGCTATGTGCTGCTTATATTGAAACCAACAAATTTATACTTGCATCCTATGTTATAACAAAAAGATTAGAAAATGTATTGGCTTGTAATAGTCTTATGTTTATCTATATTATTTTCATAAGAGAATGATTGAAGTGACTACAATGAAACTGAGATGCTATTAGAAATAGATACATACATAGCTATATTTTTGTGTAGATAGAACTTGGGAGTATATGAGACAATTTGAAGTAGCACTATTTTAAAATGTATTAAAAAATGTATTACCAATCTGAACATTCCTGGTGATTTACTTGTTAAATGGTTTGCTTTTTAATTCACTTCATTCATAAGATCAGGAAGTTTATTGGATTGTTTTCTCCTCCTGAAAAGAAGCATTTAATCTCTCTCTCTTTCTTTCTTTCTTTTTTTTGTTATAAAAATTCTAATCCATTGTTTCACAATGCATATTTTGCAGTGTCATATTATGCTGAATTTATCTTGCAAAAATGTTATTTTTGTGTTTCTCTCATCACTGGTTTACATAACCCATTTTTAAAATAATATTTTTGTTGCACTGTGGACATTAAAAGTAGGTCATTTTCAAAATCTTCATTGTCAAGCCATTTAAGTAGCAAAGAAAGAAGAAGCACTGGAAAAGGGAATATTTTCTTCAGCAATTGCAGAATTTGGTTGACTGATGTTGAGTATGAGTTCAAGAAAAATCCTAATGAAAAGACATTTACTTATGAGTTTAGGTGTAAGATTCTGTGGATGTTTTTACATAAACAAGCAATCAATGGATACAGCCTGACTAATATGAACATTTTGTGCTGTCTATTTGAGTTTGTCATTCAGAAACGGCACAGTTTGCCTTGTTCCAAGAGGCCATAGCCTTGTTGAAAAATTCTTTGTATATATGGAGACCTTACATCCTCAAAATATTTCAATCAAGTGTTCAAAATTCTTTGCAACTGCTTGGCTACATTAGTTACTTTGATGTGTGGTTTTCATATAAAACTTGTTTGTACAGTCCTTCAATAGTAAGGCTGTATTAAGAGCTGTGTTTGTGGCCTATTGGCAGCCATTTTATTCAGACATCTCTCTTACCTAATTGCAATTTAAGTTCATTCATTACTCAGAGGAGCAGACTGGAAACCAACCTTTCCTCAATGTTGCTATTATTAATCAGTTATTGAATTGAACATTTATTTACAATATGTTTATATGTTAATGGAAAATCTGAAGAGGATTCAACTCTGAAGCATGTTTTTCAGTGAAATTTCAGATGCAGCTGTTTTTAACCAACATTTTGAAAATATTAGGAGACGTCTTTAATTATCCCTTTAATAATTACTATTCATTACTTCGCTAAGTTTATTACAAAATTGGATGGAAACAAATTTTGAAAATCTTTTAAATTGCAACAGTAATTTAGTTTCTTAGCATAAAGGATGATTACCATATTCACATCTTGCTCTGGTTCTCCTTAGTCAAGACATGTAAGGGTTACTTAAAAAAAGAATACAAGATTTTATAAATATCTTTGATTAAAGTGTCTTCTTGTATTAATACATCATAAAAATCAACTTTTATTAAAGGTTGGCTTTAAAAGCTCCCGTTTTTACTGGAGTATGCGGCAGCTCCACAGACGATGTCGTTATGTGTGTAGTGTACATGACAAGGAAGGTCACCCTGAATTTGTACTTAAAGTGGTGGAAAAAGGTTTTGAAGATATGATCATCAAAGACAGTTCACCCAAATGTAAGTTGAATTTCATTGATATGAATTGTTTTTAATTAAATACATCTATCTGTAGATTAAGATTATTTTCATAGCTAACCTATCAATGTGTCTAAACTTACATTTTAACTGTGATAATTTTTTTTTTTTTTGTTTAATCATTTCACCTGCAAGTAAGGGGTTACTGAGTGTGAAAGAATAAGAGAAACAGAAACATTCTTAAAGAGAGAACAATAAAAGAACAGGAATTAAGAAGACAGAAGATAGCAATTGGCATTGCATTTAAATTTTTGAAGATCAAAATTTTCTGGGAAGCAAAAAGTCAGAAGAGAGATCCAGAAGTGAGAAGTGTGAGAGAAGAAACTGTTAGCATAAAACTTATGTTTACGACTAGCCAATTTCAACTGACCGTGTTGCCAGTCTAGTAGTGCACCTAAATTCGTAAAGTCTAGGTACCATAATGGAAATCTCATCAGAACAATAACTATTAAAATATTTATAGAAAAGGCACAGAGAAACTGTTACGTTGGTGGGAAAGTGACTGAAACAAAGATGTTAGGTTAGGACCAATAATAATATTGCAGATTCTGCTTTGGATTTTATCAAGAATCTTTAAATACATAGCAGAAGCACCAGAACAAATGTGACAGCAATATTCAATGCATGGTAGAATTTTAAATGTGTAAAATAGATTTTGACAAGAAAAGTTGCCTAGCATGACACAGGGAACTGACAATTGATTCAGTATAAATCATTCCACTTCATGTCAGTGGAAAATGTTAGTCCAAGAAGTTGCAATGAGTTTATTCTCCTGAAGGTTAGCATCAGCCATGGAAAGCAAAAAGATTCTCTAAGACAATTAAAAGAGAAAAGTTTTGTTTTGGTGACACTAAGCAAGATTGACTAATTTGACTGTATCAAACCAATCAAACTTAATCGGTAAGAAAGGCGTAAATAGTTGTCATCAGCATAAATAGTGAGTTGAGAACTGATGACAACAGGAAAGTTGTTAATGAAAATTACGAACAATGTAGGTCCAAAGATAGAGCCTTGGGCGGGGGGCCACCTGCATTAATGCTAAAAGGTCTAGAAGAGTGGCCATTCAAGACAATTTTTATTTTGTGATTAGATAAGAATTGGATCAAAACTTTGTCCAGAAATACCATCACCTTTCAACTTGTAAAAAAGACCAGCATGTTAAATGCTGTCAAATGCCTTTGAGATGTCCAATGTAACAGTCTGAGCTTCACCATTCTTATCTAAAGCTTGATAGACTCTATCAGCAATAACTGTTAAAATATCAGCAGTTGAACTAGAGAAGTGAAAGCCATATTGCTTGTGTGAGAGAAGACCCTGTGAGATGCTTAACCATTCCAGAATTGATGAGAGTCTTTAGTACTTTACCTGGAAGTGATAGAAAGCTAATAGACTTGTAGTTAGAAGGATCAGATGGTTTGCCTGAATTCTTAAAGACTGGAACTACAGAAGAGGATTTTCAACAAGCAGTGAAGCAAGAAGCAGTAATGCATTTACTGTAGAGTTTAGAGAGAACAGGATCCAGTTCAGGAGCATATTTCTGAAGGACAGTTGCAGGGATGACATCAAGTCCACATGCTTTGTGGGGATCCAGTTTATGATAACAGAAACCATAACCAGAGTTATATGCATATCACTCAACAGAGATGCAGTTCTAAGTGGAAAGTTGGCAAAGATAATCCAGATGAGTCAAGAGTAGAATTAGAAGAGAATTTATGAGCAAAATATTGGCAGAAGATAACACCTCAAATTGAATGAAGAGAGGAGGTATAGAAAACTTACTCTTATTTAACACACTATTACAGAGCCACTAATAGTCACAAAAACCAAACTTGTTAGGTGCTATACAGTACTTCAAGACTTATCCTCTTTGAGGACATGTTTACAATTCAATGTCTATTGTGATCAGAACTATCACATTGGTACAGCTTGTAATGAAAACAGGACAAGAGATTCTGTCTAGTAATCGTTTATTCAATTAAGAATACTACTACTCATCTGACTTGACAGCGGAAGTATACAGCTTTTATAGCTTGGATTATCTAAGAGGAGATAATCCATATTCACAACATTCTCCCCCACCAAATTTCTCACTGATAGGGAAGAAAGTCCCTTAAATGTCCAGGCTCCCCACGAAGTTCGCAGTGACCGACCGCCGGCAGTCCATGATTCGTGGTCGGAGTACTTTCGAACAGGGGGGCTCTTCAGTGCGAGCCTGTCTGTGGGCTCTAAAATACCTTGCTCCAAATGTTTCCTTCTCGGAGGAGCAGGCCGTTCAGCGCCAGAGTCAGTCTCTGGATGAACACGTTTATTCGGTGCTAGCCCTTCATCTGTCAGGGTTTCAGGTGTTGGCCCATCCGAAGTGTCTGACGGGGCCTCAACGGAGACAGTGTCGTCAGACAGCGTGTCAGGAACAATTTCAGTGCCATGATCTTCTGGAGGGGCTTCAGTGTCAGGGGTAGTTGGTCTGTTCTCGGGCTATCCACGGTCTGGGTATGTCTCCGGCTGGTGCTAGGTCCCTGAGAGACACATTAGACTCTCTACCATCTGCATGTCGTACTAGCGCGTACTGAGGGTTTGCCTCTATAAGCTCTACCTCGTCCACCAAGGGATCGTTCTTGGTGTAACGTGCATGTCGTCTCAGAAACCGGGTTGAGAGAGCCAAGATGGAAGCGAAGCTCCCGCCGAACTCCGGTCGCTGAAAAGGTAGAAACCTTTTCGTGTGGGGTGGCATTCGTGGCGGTACACAATAGGGAACGAATGGCGATAATGCGACAGGAAAGAGATTTTCCCAATTATCAATTGAACATCCATTATTTGAGGCAGCCAATTGAACGGTCTTCCAAATAATGCCGTTATATCTTTCGATTGGCCGTTACCCTTAGGGTTGTAGGGAGTTGTCCGCTTATAGCTACTCCCTCGTTCCTGTAGAAATTGCGAAGCTGCTCTGACATGAAAGAAGCCCCTCGGTCCGAATGTATATAGGCAGGGGCTCCAAAGATGTGAGCAGAGGCATTGTATAATTGCAGCAGCCGATATGTCTGAACAAGGGAAGGCAAAAAGGAAACCGTGAATATTCGCCGATAACCGTTAATATATATCTGTTCCTTGTTTTACTTGGTAGTGGTCCTTTAAAATCAAGATTGAGTCTTTCAAACGGTTGTGTTGCTTTTATTAAAACGCCAGTTTGGGGTTTATAAAACCGAGGCTTTATTTCAGCACACGTTCGACAAGAATTTGTAATTCTTCTTACCTCCTCCACTGAGAAAGGCAAGTTTCTACACCTCACAGCATGAACCATTCGAGTAATGCCCGGGTGACAGAGATTGTTATGTAGCGTTTGGAGTTCGTCCCCGCTTGATGCTGTACAGCATGCTCTTGACAGTGTATCAGCTGTTAAGTTCTCCTTGCCAGGTCGGTAGCTGACGTCAAAGGAGAAACAAGATAGCTCAATTCTCCACCTCGCTATTTTCTCATTCTTTATTTTACTCGTAGTTTTAGAGTTGAACATAAAAGCAACTGATTTCTGGTCAGTAATAAGTTTAAAGTGGCGTCCGATCAGGTAGTGTCGCCATTTTCTTAATGCCTCGACTATGGCGTAGGCTTCCTTTTCAATTGCGGGGTGTCGCTGTTCAGCCTGTGAGAGGGTCCTTGAAAAGAAGGCTACAGGACGATCAGCTTGTTTCAAAGAAGCAGCAATACCACAATCTGACGCATCCGTTTCAACAACCAGAGGAATATTTTGGTCTATTGTTGTAATTGCAGATTTCGCAATATCCTTTTTCAGTCCCTCGAATGCCTCAACAGCTTGATGGGACAGAGGAAACGTCTCTATTTGTGTCAATGGATGTATCTTTTCTGAGAACGAAGCAATCCATTGAGAGTAATGAGCAAACATGCCCATAGCACGTCGAAGGGAAGGCTGGTTGTGAGGGACAGGCATCTGGAGTAAAGGTTTCAATCGATCTGCGTCTGGTGCCATAAAACCTTTGCTTATGGTATATCCCAGTAGGTTTATTTTGTCCAGTCCAAACGAGCATTTGTTGTCGTTTAGGGTGAGGTTGTATTTATCGACGGCGGACATGAACCGTCTGAGATTTTCATCCGTTTCTCATCCGTTATGATTTGGTCGACTATCCTTTGGAAGCTGGCTACCCCATTTGTAACGCCCAAAAGGAATCCCATGAAATTGATATAGTCGACCGTTAGCCTCGAAAGCAGTGTATGGCTTGTCTCTAGGTCTAATGGCGATCTGATGGTATGCGCTTTTCAAGTCCAGAGTGCTAAACATACGATATTTGGCTATTTCGCCTATCATTTCATCTATCCTGGGTAGTGGGAAGGCGTCCAAAAGAGTAAATCTATTTATGGTTTGGGAGTAATCTATAACCATTCTCTTTTTATGGTTGCTAGAAGTGGTTATAACTACCTGAGCCCTCCAGGGTGATTTGCTCAAGTAGTCTTTTTATCTCGGAGTCAATGAATTTTTTATTATTATAAGAAAAACGTCTGCTTCTCACTGCTATGGGTTTGCAGTTTTCAGTTAGGTTTTCGAAAAGTGACGGTACTGGATTTTTTGCTGTCGCTAATCCACAAATTTTCAATGCGGGCATTGAACCGCCAAATGGAATTTCAACCTGTGAGTGTTGCTGCAAAAAAAATCGTGTCCCAGTATTATTTCAAGAACAAAGGTTTTTCATTACGGATAATTTAGTGGTTTTATAGGAGACGTCATTAAATAGCAAGTCCACCAAACAATAACCACTTACTTGCGCAGACAATGACGCATTTGCTATTGTTACTCTGCTGGGGGAGGGGACAAAATACAATTTGTTGGTTTTACCAAGCTTTCTTTGATAAAATTTCCTGAGCTCCCGGTATCGAAAGCAGGGCATTTGTAGACCTCCGTTAATTTTCACTTTTACAATAGTTTTTTGAAAGGCAGTCGGGGAGGCGGCTAAAGTTCCAGAAGTATTTTGACGAGTGGATTTGTATAGAGTTTTAGAAGACTTGCATACCTTTGAAAAATGACCAAGTTTTCCACATTTATGACAACGAGTATCTCTGGCAGGGCATGAGACTCGTAGGTGTTTAGATAAGCCGCAAAAATAACAAGTATCCTTTTTTAAAGCGGCAGTGACCGATTGTTCTTGAAGCTTCGTCGGATTATCGTCATGATGGGGGACAGTAAGAACAGGTGGGTTTAACGCGGCGCCCATGGTGTCTGGCTGTAAATAAGAACTAGACTGCTGTATAGCACTTTCGAAGATATAGGCTTGCTCGTAAGCTGTTCTAAGTGTAAGGGTCTTATTCTCAAGAAGACGTTGTCTTATCTGAGTATTGCGTAAGCCGTTAATGAAGGCGTTCAAAATGTGTAGCTCTTGGGCCTCTAATGCTGTCATTGGGCAGAAGTTGCAATCTTTGCTCAGTGTCCAAAGGCTCTTAAGGAAATGGTCCAATGTCTCGCCTGATTCTTGTCGAAGTAGTCGCAAGTAGGTGTCTAGAAAATATCTCATTTGGGGCTTTATGTATGTAGCGTTCAGTACATCGATTGCTTCTTCATAGGTAACATAATCCGAGATAATTTCGTTGACTGTGTGAGACAGGTAGTTGGTTAGAGCGCACACTTATTGATGGGACGTCCCGGTCTTTCTGAATGTAGAACCTCGATGAAATTTGTAAATGTCTCCGCCAATGTTTCCAGCACTTGTCGGCTGAATCGCTTTCTGGATCTGTGGTAAGTCGCTCAGGTCGCATAAATTGTTCCATTCTTAATTGAATAAAATGTAATGAAAACAGGACAAGAGATTCTGTCTAGTAATCGTTTATTCAATTAAGAATACTACTACTCATCTGACTTGACAGCGGAAGTATACAGCTTTTATAGCTTGGATTATCTAAGAGGAGATAATCCATATTCACAACACAGCTGTAAAAAGTGATTCCTGTTTTTTAATTTTTGAGGAGAAAAAGGCCAAAATAATCATCACTGTCTATTGTCTATGGCAGTAAAAACCGGTTGAAAGGTGGCTAAGATTTAATAGAATAAAAATGTCTTCTATTATCTTCAGTACACATCAATACAAGATGATTAATTTGGACTCCTTGATTACAAAACTTTTTCTGCAAAAAAAAAAAAGCAAATCAATTTCATGTATATTTCTCTTCTTAAAGTGGTGTAGCTGATTTATGAATATCACCTTTAAAATAATTTTAAGTTGTAAGGAAATGGTTAGAGCAAATATTGGGTCAGACACATTTGCGTTTTAATTCCTGCTTTGATCATTTTTTATCATCTGCTCTTTTAGTGGCATATTTATTAATGTCATATCTTAACTTTTTGCCTCTTTTGTTTTCTTTTTAATAGGTGTATGGATGCATGTACTTGAGTCATTACAAAAAATGCGTAAAGAAGCAGAGCTTGTGAAAATTTTCCCCAACTTTATTACTGGAGATGACTTATTTGGCTTAACAGAACCATCAGTTGTCAGAGTGATTGAATCTGTAAGTTAATCTCTTTTCATGTCATTGATGAATTTTTTTGTGATCTGGACAGGATTTTGACATCTTTTCATGCTATCTTAGAAATTCATTTTAGATTTGAGAATATCTCAGAACTTTAATAATCATATTTTCATTTTGTTAAGCTATTCAGACACATGGTGCTGATTTTAAGAGCTCTTAAGTAAAACAAAAGTAGCACTGGTGTTATTAGTTTAATTATGTATTCTCTTCCAACAATGCACTATACACGTATAGAACATAATTGCTTGGAAAACACTTTGTATGTGAAATGAAATTATAAATAAGTTTTCATTTCCATACTTTGATAATATCATTGTAAATAACAAGAAATAGTGACAGCAAAAAAAGGAAATTATTAAAACTCAAAACAAATGAAGTCATGTTTTTTTTTTCTTTCTGCATAAAGATATTAAAAGATCATTGAAAACCTGAAAGAAACTGTTTCTATTTAATTTGAAAATATTAATTCTGATGCTTTGTTGCAATAAGAATCAAATCCAATCTTCTACCTCATTATTGCATTTATATACATTTAAATAAATGTTCAAAATACAAAATAGTAGAATCATTGACATTGTAAATCCAATAATTTTTTTCTTTTTAGTTACCTGGCACAGATCTTCTGCAGAACTACAATTTTAGGTTTGGCCGGTCCAACCTCATTGAGATGCCTTTGACCATCAATCCGACAGGCTGTGCTCGCTCTGAACCTAAGTTACGAACACATTTTAAGAGGTATGTTTGAATTTTCTAAGTTCTATACTAATGCAAGCTACAGAAATAATTGACTGAATTATTTTTGTTGACCTGATGTTTACAGTGTTATTTCTTTTTGCGGTTAATTCAACTGCAATTTTATAACACTCTTCATGTACAGTCTTCATCTTTGTAAGTTTGTATTTTTCAATTAATACATTTTATATTAATAATATTTATTTTAAATTAAAGAGTAACTTCTATTTAAATTATAAATAAAGTGAATTTCTTGAAAAAAAAACACATACAAATCCATATTGTTAATTATTAATTATATTGAACTTACAAATTAGTAGTTAAATTGACAGGATATTTTGTTCTCTAACTACAATTTTATTAAATATGAATGTGCTGCAAAGTCATTGGATTAGCCCACTTCTCAAGAGCTGGCCAAATGACCAAAGATTATTCTAATTATTTTTTTTTGTGTTAGGCCAAGATCCTTTCAGCACCCCACTTTGTGTACTTAGATATTTACTAAACACAGATTAGTATGGCAAGAAACTTTTTTTTTTTTTTTTTTTCATATCTAGTCTACATCTTTTTGCCTACAAGTAAAAATGGATATTTATATCCAAACAGGATAAGTTATTTTGATAAATGAATACTTAGCATATACAGATTTTATATTCCTCACATTGACTAATCATGTTGACTCAAAAGCAAAAGAAATGCTAGAATGTATTAAAGCCTGAATTGGATTTATTTTAATGAAATAGTAGAATGAAAAAATTATTCTGATGCTTTCAGGGTTAGATTTTAATAAAGAGTTATCAGTGAAAAAATGAAGTGTGTGTGTGTTGATATTTTCTTTTAATGCTATAGTTTTATATTTTGAATTAGTAATTTATTTTAGTTTGGCTTTTTTATGATTTCATATTAAATACAAACAAGGGCAATAAATTTCTAAAAATCCTTTTTACACAGTCGGTAATTTAAATGTTTATAGACTTTATTTATTATGTAATTACATAAGAATATTGTCACTAAATTTCAATGTAGTTTACTTCATATTCAAGAAATAAATGAATGCATTATTGACCTTTCTTTAATTTTTTTAACACATTTATAACAGCATGATATTTGTATGTCTTGTGGTATGTGGTGCCTGGCCTCTGATGCCTTTGATGCATGTGTGTGTCCACATTCCGGTTTTATTTATAACAATATAAATATCTGAAGCAACATAGCTTTCCTTAGTGTTGATTTTTTTTTTTTTTTTGTGGGTGTGTGTTTAAAGAAAAAATAAAAAGACCATGGTGTGTTGTAAGCATATTGCGTAGTACTATAGTTTTGTACAGAAAGAAACAAATCCAAACAAAGTCAGTGGCATGGTCAAAAATGAACCTCAACCTCATCTTAACAGTTTAATAACTTCCATTTTATTTATGAAGATAAATTATAAGTAGTCTTATATAGCAATTTCTAATGGTAGCTCTAACAAAAATGCAGAATTTCTATGGAAGCAATGAACATGTTGATAAATTGACTTTTATTTGTCAAAATAAAACATATAAGTAATCTTTTTTAAAAATTTCTAATGGTAGCTTTAACCAAGACATAAATAACATTTATTTATGAGTTATCTAAGGTAGCATTTTCTAGCATATGAAAACCAATTTTTGAAATGTAATCAAAGTTGATTAATGTTTAAAAAAGAAAAAAATGTTCATGCGCAAATTAAATGCTTTTTCGTCATTAGGCTACACTATCCACAAATGTCAGTTCTATTAAAAAAAAAAAAAAAATAAAAAACATAAAAAGGTTTCGGTGTTTAAAAATCTTCTAAGATATTTCTGAAATGCAGTGATCCTATTTAGATTCTTTTTAGGTAGAAATAATTCTTCATATTCCATAACTCTAAAGACGTTGCTTTTGCTCCTTATCATATTTCTGCTAACTCTGATCTACCTTTTTAACTTTTCTATATTTTTTAGGTCAAATGAAAATCTGAAATAGCATATGTTGACCTCTTACATTTTGCTTGCTTTTTAAATGCATTGTTTTAGGCCACACACACTACAAACGAGCAACACCTCACGTTCTTTGCCTACCACAGTGACAGGTGTCAGTGGAGATGTCAACTCTCCATATATGAAGCAGTTTGTCCACTCTAAATCTCAACAATATAGAAGACTGAAAACAGAATGGAGGAACAATGTCTATTTGGCCCGTTCCAGAATACAGGTAAACCTATTGTGCATAAAATTGAATAATATTTTTATGTATCATTTTTATTGAATTTATTTTGTACCTTTTTTAACTTTAAAAAAAAATTTTTAAAAATAAAGAAATATGTTGGTCTTAAAGATATGTAGTTTACTAAATATTTTTTTTTTTTTATACATTTTCCTGATTTCTTGCAGGGTTTGGGTCTATTTTCTGCTCGGGATTTGGACAAACACACCATGGTGATTGAATACATTGGAGATTTGATACGAAATGAAGTTGCTAACAAGAGGGAAATAGTTTATGAAGCTCAGGTGAATAGGCTGCATCTTTTGATGACTACATTGATTACCTTTTGCTTCTCTGTTTTATGTGTTAACATATTTTAGAAAAAAATGGAAACTGAAATGAATCTAGTTTTATTTTTTATTTCTAATACTTCTCTCTGCTCCCCATCTCTTATGTTTCAGAATCGTGGTGTTTACATGTTCCGTAGTGACACTGACACTGTCATTGATGCCACTATGGTTGGGGGCCTGGCCCGTTACATCAATCATTCCTGCAATCCAAATTGTGTAGCTGAAGTTGTTCCCTTTGAAAAAGAAAGTAAAATCATCATTATCACTAGCAGAAGAATTGTCAGAGGAGAGGAGGTAATAAATGCTCCAATGGTTTGATTATATGTTTAAAATTTTGAAATGCGTTTTCTTGCTCAACCTGTTAAAATAATAAATGGTGAACATTTTATTATTTTTAAAGAAATAAAAATTATCAGAATATTTTTGTTGACAGAATCTTTTTATTGAATTTCTCGATGCACTGTAATTGTAAAGAACTCTTGAATGAAGATTATAAGTAATTTTTTAAATTGATAGGAAAAAAAAACTCCCTGTGATGATGTTAAATGGCACATTTAGTCGTGTGTCTTTTTATTACTTAACACATCACATTGGGGAAATTTCTGGTTTTTAAAACCTTATTGGTTTATAAACTAACTTATTGTTATATTTTAAGCATTAGCTAAAACTTGTTAAATAAAAAAAATTTTTTTAATTTTTAAATAACTATTTTAAAGTCTAAAACTGATTTTCCTATAAAGAATAGTTTCTGACTTTTCTGCATAAAAAATGAAAATATATTTGTTTACTCATAATATCAACATGAATCATTACAAGTAAATTCAGATTCTATTGAGTCATCTGTAAAATATGGCTTTTTATCAATCATATGCTTGATAGTATAAGATTGTTACTATTGTAACTACTAAAGCATAAATCATATCAAAAGGATTATGCAAATGGTTAACTGACATGTTCTATATTTTTAGTTATGAAAAATATATTTTATTTGGATAGTTTTTTGTATTATTAACTCATATGTACAGATAACCTTAGTGTGCATATCAATTAACTGGCTTGTCCTTTATTTGACAATATTATTAAGTTTATTTAGCATAATACAATGCTTTTGGCACAAGGCCAAATGGAAAGCAGGGAGAGGTTAGTCATCAGTAACTATCCTACTCTTAGCTAGTTTGATTCACAACCCATCCATTCTAACAATTTGCACAAGTACCATAAGAAAGCATCCTTCACCATTCAATTTGAACATGCACCAAAATATTGTTTTCACATGGGACCTAATAATACAACCCTGATATGTACACAATTAAATTTTTTTTTTTTTTTTTTAATACCATAATATTAAACAATATTTTATTATGGATCATTCTGTTTGTTAACATTATTAGTTTTTGTTTTTTAATTATGACATATAATTGAATTTGATAATTTTGATCAGTAAAATGCTTACAATAGAATTTTCTCTCTTATTTCAGCTGACTTATGACTACAAATTTGATTTTGAAGATGATCAGCACAAAATCCCTTGCTTATGTGGGGCTCCAAACTGCAGGAAATGGATGAACTAAGACATTGTTCTTTGTGAACATAAATTTTGGATATACTGTCCTGTGCATTTACATTTGTGGCTTTAGCTGATTGTCTCAGAGACAATGAAATGCTGACAAATAAACAGGCAGGCAGCAGCGGGTGGGGTAGGCAGATAGACAAAACTATCAAGTATATGTTGTGCATATTTTGCTGCTACTCTTAACTGCTGCTTATCGACATTACTGAAAGAACTGGCGTTTTTTTCTTTTTCTTTTTTCTTTATTTTTTTTTTGACTACTGCTGCACACGAAATTTAAAGTTTTCAATTGAAATTCTGTGTGAGATTTAAAGTATAAAAAGAAGAGAGAGAAGAGAAAAAAAATAACTTTAAAAACTTTTTAGACATTCTGTGCAGCTGTGATAATTGTCAATGATAAAGTTAATTTCATCAATTTGAAAAATACCATAGCTACTCTAGCTATAAAACCATGTTTTGTAGAATATTTTGTTGCAACAATGACTTTGTAGTTTGCACATAAACCCATCTTTACCTCCTTCCCTCTCCCCATTTTTTCTTTTTCCTTCTTGACATTTTTCAAATGCGACATTGCTTTGCGTAACAATGATCATGTATAAGTAAAATCTCGCCAAGTCAGTTTTAACATTCAAGACTTTTTCTATTGGTCATAATTCTTTAACATCTGAAAACTTTTTGGTTGCTCCTTATGTGTCGAGTTTTTTTGATCAGTCAGATTATTTTATTAAATGACTGCCTAAGTTTTGCACATTTACGTGAGCCCAAATTTTAACTCTTGTAACATTCAATCTTGGTATTACAAAATACAGTTGGAGTATGGGTAAAAACTCTAGAATGGATCCCATATTAATGACATGCCATTCAGAATGAGGTACAGAATGAAAACCTTAAAAAAACATTGAAAGAGTAGGTCAGTTAATTAAACCCATTTAACAATGATGGTCAGTCCTTGCTTGAATACAATGTATTCACTACTGACCAATCTCGCAGGACTGTATAAGATTCAACCCTGAATATCTCCTTCAGTTATAGTATCTGGGCATTTTCTTTATGCATAATTTATCAATGTCAATCCCTTTTGCTGCAGATCTTTTCTTTTTGCTGTAGCTAGAAGCAAAGAAAACTCAAATTTTGTTTGAGAATCTTTTTATTCAGCCCATTGATACTAGAACAGTAATGGGATTGGGAAAAAAGAAAAAAACAAAAAACTACTCAATGTATTGAACTTAAGAAGCTACACTTGTGGTCATAGTGTCAAGACTCAGACTATAGATGGTGATCAATTTTCCATACATTTTGTACATTTTGTGGTTTTGCCATACCTTTTGATACTTTTTTTGGTATGACCATTTTCTGACTTCAGCTTTTTATATGATTAATAGGACACACTTATTGATAAAAAAACAGAAAAATTTCAAGTGAAAAAACAGGAAAGAAAACTGTGCATGCATGTGTGTGTGAGTTGCATTTGGCTGTGGGTGAATTATTTTTTTTTTTTTCTTCTTTCTTTTAAACCATCTTCCCTCTCTAGTCTAGGGGGACTCAGCAATAATTGTTTTGAAATATAACAAGTATTTTTTTTCCTTTTTCTCTCTCATTTTTTTCTTCCCAGAGGCCTCTTGTGTATGTTTCTCAGGCACTGGGTGCTGAAAAAGAGTAATAAAAAAACAAAAACAAAAACAAACAATTTAAGAGGTCTTCTGTCTATCTGTACACAGAGGCCTTTTACTTACACCAAGGTTTATCCTTGATTTTAAAGTGCCATTCATTTTATCTCCAACTATTTGAAAAATTCATCCTATCAGGATTCAGTGCTAAAAAGATTTTGTTTGTGTATTTTCTCCCAAATATCTTAACTTTTACACAAAGCCAATTTCTTAATCCCTCTCCCCCTCCCTTTGATTCTTCATTTTATTTGGAGTTACATTTGAGTGGCTGTGGGATTTCACATGACCTCTCTGGGCGTGTCTCATGTAAATAAGTTTTTCTTGTGGAACGCTGTTACGTACATACCTACTCTTGTTTTACATTTTTCTGCTGTGCAGAAACCAAACGAAAAAAACCGTCTACTAATCTATTGCAAAATTACTTGTTTGGGTTTTTATCCCTTCATCTGTTATTCTCCCATTCCCCCTCCGCCCCTTTATTGAATTCATCTAATTCTTTCCAGTTTCAGTTTTTAATACTTTGGGGTAAAGGAATAGAAATTCTTCCAGAAAAATGTATTCAACTGGATTTTTAATATTGGTTTTTTTTTACAATACAACCAATGTTTTGTTTGTTTTCTTTTGATCATGCAAAAACTTTTCACCCAAATGTGAATGGGTGAAAACAAATTTAAAAAAAAAAAATATGAAAGGAAAACAAATATTTTTTTTTTTTTTTTTTTTTTTTTTTTTTAAATGAAGATTCTAGTAGGGGACAGTTCTATTATGAAATTAAAAATTTTTTTTTTTTTTTTTTAATAAATTAATATATTTTAAATTGAGCATGTAATTTAAGATGATTATCTTTATAAAAACTTGTGCTTTTTCTTGAAGGATATTTACAACATGTGAGTAAATGTCTTTAAAGAAGAAGGCAGAATAATTCACTCTCATGTCTTTACATATCTGCATACATCAAGTAGTATTTATTTTGAGACTGACTCAACAATAATATGCTATCATTTTTAATTATCAGTATTTAGGTATCATTTTTACTATTGACACTTTACTATGATTAAAACATTGAATAAATCATTGATGATGTCATAATCTCTAATGAATCAACAGCAAAATAATTTAGTTAATTAAACTTTTATTGAAATCTGAATTACAAGTGCATCTTTTTTACTCTAATTCGTGAAAATCTTTTTTTCCTTTTTTTTTTTTTTTCCACATTAAAGTTTAACTATTCCCAATTAAACTTTTTTTTTTTTTTTTTTAAATCTAAAACTCTTGGAAGCTGACTCCGAAATTGAGGAGTACACTATCATTTGTTGTGTATGAATTGAAAATTCCCTCTTTATTGATTAAAATGTTTCCATCTACAAAATGAATGAGTTTATTTTTGCATATTTTCTTAACTACAATGCCAATCGAGATAGATTTTTTTGCAGCCACTGTTAATTGTTTCATACCACAATGTTGGACAGTGCATAGCTGAATTCAATCAATGATAGGGATCGATTTCCTAAAATTTTGAAATTTCAACTATCATTTTAGTTAATTGTAATGTTTCTCTGAAGAAACTGGTGAAAACTTTTGCTTTTTGATATCGGGTATTTATGTATATGTAAATACATACTGTAGTTGTCATATTTTTTATTCTTTCATATTTCACTTTTATTTTATGGGTAGATAGTCTGGTAGGATGAAACTTACATTAGACATGAACCTTATATTTCAAAAATTGTTGAAATAAATGAATTACATGGAACTTTCTGATATTTGAGTTCCTAGTGATAGAATTTAGAAACTTTTTTTTTTTTTTAATAGAAATCTTGCCTTACTGCTTTCTCTTTGACATCATGTGCTTCCCAGGCACCAATCTTTTCAGCCTTTACTTTTTCCCTTGTTCAAATTCATTTTGTCTCTCAAATTGAAATGACAAGTTTTCACTCCATTCCAAAAACACAGCATGTCAGGTTTGTGAGCATTCATAACAATGTGGATTTCATGTTGCTTCATTAAATATTTTTCTCAGCAAGGGAGTAGGTTTTTCAACAACTCTTAATAGCCGAAAGCTATGAAAACATTCTCTCAACCTTTACATACAAAATGTGTGTGTGTGTGTGTGTGTGTGTCTGCAGCTTGCTTTGTTTGATAAGCTGCAGCATTCAACATTAGATATTAGGTATAAATCTGTTCTTATTGAAATTAAACTTTGGAAAGGAATAAGACAAACAAATATTAGGATAAAGCTTGGTCTTGTTATTTTATTTTCAAAAATGTTTTTCATATGAAAAGTAAAAGAAAAATATATCTTCCCTTAGATCTCTTCTAATGTCTTTTTTTTTTTTCCCTTGTTATTGAAGTGTCACCCCCTCCCCTTTTCTGTATTTGCTTGGTTTGGTGATTTTGATTTCATTCTTTGTAATGAAGTTTGTACACATGATTTTATTTAAACTTCTTAATTTTATTATCTTGTGTTCATACATTTTTTTTTCTTTTGTTCCTATTCTTATCTATTCATAAAGAAAATGGTCACAATTTGATCTTATATCGTCTTATCGTCTTGAAGAAATGTCAGGACTTTTTTCCTTATTTTTAAAGAGCATTTTCTTTCTTTCGTAAGAATTCATACTTTTAGTTAGTATAACTCCCAAGACTATTGGTTTTGTTTAGAGTTGTTTAATTAGAATACTGTAGCCTTTTCATATTTTTTTTTTTTTTTTTTTTTTTTTTTTTTTTTTACTGGAAAATTGATTTGTTTGTGAGAGCTTAAGTTTTTGAGGGACTGAAGTGCTTATTTTGGGCAAATATCTACACCAACACTCATTAACTCTTGCTTTTATTATTACATTGGTAATTAAAAAAAAATATTTATGAATTGATTAAAAAGGTTTTTTTTTTAAATTCTCTTTCAATGAAAAGTTTCCTTCCAGAATGTTTTGAGAATTTGCGACAGTTGAATATCTGTCCTTTGGTCAGTATATCTTATTGCTTGCAACCATATTGGTATGTAAGTGATTTTCAGAAAAAATGTGGATACAAGTGTGTTCAATGCCAACATCTACAACTGCACACCTTCACAGTTCACTTTGTATTTTTTATTCTGACAAAACCAAATCCTTGTGCTGTGATTCATTTTGTTTGGTGTGGTGAAGGCAGCCATTTCTTTTTTTTTTTCCTTTCCTCCCTCAGTCATTATTGAAATAATAAAAAGAAAAAAAATAGGATCATCATTAGGAATTTCATTTTATTTCTTTTTATTCTTATGATAATAGAGGCAGTGAGTGCTTAAATGTTTCTCATATTTTTTACCATTTGGGTTTTTTATTTTGCATTTAAAATTTTG